CAGTGCTTTGGGACTTCGTATGGCTTGAGGGGGAGTGTTGGAGGAAGAAGACACAAGAAGCTTGAGAGAACAAGCCTTGTACAAAGAGGAACAAGGCGCAGGCGCCAAACTAGGAAAGAGCTGTAGATCAGCTGGCCCGTGCGCTCTGATGGAGACAATTTCACCTTAAGGTTTACTTCCGTTTTCCCTTTATAAATCTTTGTAGCAACCGTAGCACACCTCAGTCTTTCCCCCGAAAGCTGAGGTGAGCATATACCTATCTTGACAGACCTTTTACTTACTTGTACACCTAGTTTCTCGTTGTAACTAGGTAGGATCCGAATATAGTCTCAGTCTTTCCCCCGAAAGCTGAGTTTCTCGTTGTAACTAGATATATATTAAAAAACAGTCACAACACTTCCCACTGCTACCACTGTTAACTGCTGTCATCGTCAGTTGTCACTTTTGAAAGTGATTGTTATCCCTTTCAATTAGAGTCCTTCTGAGCACTACAGTCTGTGCGTCAGGAGCCTGCTATCACTGGGAACTTTGTCACCTCATCACATTGTCATTCTCAAACCTACCTTGTACTACAATTAGCAAGGTAGTGCTCGTCTATACTCACCACAAAGCCCCTATCTTGCTATATTCCAACTATCCCTCCTCCACAAAATCCACACCCATACATCACTGGGTTTTACTTTGAAGGATTGTTATACGTACCACTCCACGAACAACCAGACCACTCCACTGTTCTAGGAGGCAAAGCCCATAAACAAGTTCCGTGGAATCTGGGAGGATTGTGTGTTAGTTTGTTTTTGTGTGTAGTTTTTCTAACAACAGTTCTCATCATCGACAATGTCATGAAGATGGACCTGTTGCCCTATTTGGACTGGCCGCCGGGGCTTTGCTGATATCAGCAGCGGCGCGTGGTGGTCGACGGATCGGAAACGGAAACGGATAGAAAGTGGTGATGTCAGATATGGTGAGGGAGCGAAGAAGATGAGGAGGAGGAGGGTGGAGGTGACAAGGAGGTGAACCAGAATAGGGATCCAGAAGCGACCATTGGGTGAGAATAAAAAAGAGAGTAAGGGTCCCATGGTGGGACTGAGTAAAGAAAAAAGGGAGGGCAACAAAAGCGAGGGCGCAATGTGTAGCCAGTGGTGACGCAAAAATTTGCTGAAATACCAAAACGCAGAAAGTACTGAATGGAAAAGCAAAGGTGAACGCGACTGGATTGCCTAATAGAGGTGGTGCTGATCAGCCACAAGTTCGAAAAAGGCCACATTAATTACTATTCCATGCAGCACTGTGCCTGTGTGTTGCAAAAAGCGAGTTTTTCGAATATTCACTCCATTACTGACACCCGTCCATGCTACCAACCAACTTTGGCACATGACAGCAGCGCTCATCGTCTTTTGAGACAAAGATCCAGCGCTTGCCACACAGTGCCTAATTAAGTTTACTGTATTATCCAATTGAATCAGCTGATCAGATGAGAAACCTATACCTCAATGTCCATATCTCACATGAGCCGCTTTGCTTTGCCTTCCAACCTCAGCAGTATGATGAAGCCTCGACCCGGACCTACCGAACGACCCGCTCAGCCCAGCGGTGTGGGAATCAATAAGCCATGCCATGCCGAGCCGTGAGAAACACGCAAACACACCACTTCAACGACCGAAAACGTCCGACTTTCGCGATCCAGACTGTGCCGCCAACGATGTTGACGTCGAATCGCAGACGGCGGCGGTCCGCCACTCAGCGAGCTCGAGCGCCGAAGCCGGGCGTACAGCGTACGACGTCAGCAGACACGTTCAGGAACGCCATGCGACCACCGAGGCCCCAGCGCTCATCGCTCATCACCCGTCGCGTCTGAGCGCTCCTTCGCCCCACGGAAGGGGCCCCCCCCGGGGCGGGCCTGATCACAGGCTCTCGACAACCACTATCCCTTCTTCGGCCGCTCGGTTAGCGTCCATCGTTGCGGTGCGGTGCGGGGGAAAGTTTTTAAAGACCCACACAGCTCTGGATCAAACTCAGGTCTGATCGTTTCTCAGGACCTCGATGGCGCGATGGCACGCACGCTAATCGGATGTTCTTAACGATCAGATCTGAGAGCTGGTTTCTTTTTTGCCTTGCCTTTGCTGGATCTGACTCCGGGGGCGCTAAAACTGGATAAACGCTGTCGGTAATAATTATGAAAGACGAGAGGTGAAGGAAAGAAAGAAAGAGTGTCGATCGCGCTTGTTTTTTTTTTTCTTGAATTTTTCATTATACGTTTGTCCGGTAAAGTAAACTACAGTGAAGGCGTTTTAACAAATGTAATAGGATTTTGGGGGGTTCACAAAACGTGCTTGGGAGGACAAGTGGAGAGAGAAACATGATAATAAATACTCACTTTGTAGAAAGGAAAAAAGGGGTTTTGTGACATGACAGAAGAGGAAACGAGAATAAAAAAAAGGGAAAGGAAAAAGAAAGAAAGAAAGGGGAAAAAACAAGAAACCTCGATGCTAGTAGTACAAAATTAAAAAATCATACAACTCCATCGCTTCTAGCCAATGATCGTCCAGAACCGAAACCGAAGGGAACTCGAGAACTCGTTGAATGAGTGGGCGTTGCAGAAATCGCGAGAGAAAAATGGGTGGGTCGTGTTGGTAAACTCAGGAAAATGCTAATGACGTGTTTTTGTATCGAAGAAAGAAAATGGATCAAACAAGAAAAAGGCGGATAGGGCGGAAAGGCTCAGATTCAGTGATGAAGCAACACCTTCGACCTCTCGGATCTCGGCTCTGCAGATACGGGCGTCGGAGGCAGCTCCCGCCCTTTATCCTTCTCCCGCTCGTATGAAGCAAGCGGGATCGTCGACGTCAGCGGGGAATGCGAGATGGGAGAGGCAGACGAAGGACCGTAAGAATGCAAATGGCCTAACCGCGAACCCGACATCTGTCCCCCTGCCCCACCCCCGCCATCGTGCGGCCCATGCTGTCGGTGCATCCCCGGATGCGACAACGCCGCAGCGGTCGAAGCAGAAGAATAGAACGGGCCCGAAGTGTGCATGAAATGCGGTCTGCTCTCGTTACGCGAGTTGGACTGTTGATGTTGCTGCGAATGCGAATAGTGTACAAAATTGATCCCTCCGCCGCCGCCGCCCGCTGAGCTTCCGCCGGCTGGAGGCGAGGGGGAGGGCGTGAGGTCTTCGAGGCCGGCGCGGTTGGGGTGCGAGTAGATATCTGAGCCTGAGCCTGAGCCGGCTGAGGAGGTGGATATGAAGGACGTGTCGTCGTAGCCGCCTCGACGGTGTCCGGCGTAGGAGACGGGAGCTGGGGGGGAGGGAGGGGGGAGAGACTCTTGTTTGGATGAGGCCATTGAGAGTGCCTTGTCTTTGCGTCGTCGCTGGGTGGCTGTGTGTCCCTCCTTCTTTGCTCGAGACCGAGCATATCGCAGTCCACAGCTATACAGGAACGAAAATGATGTCAATCAAAAATTTTCAAGGGTTTCAAGTAAATTTTGAAATGGAGAGATACCAAGCCCGAGCCGGGTATCCAAATGGCAATGCAAAAGCAAGAAAAAGAAAAGGAGCCACGTACGCATTACATAGTTCCTTTTTTCCGCTTGGCCCTTTCCTCCACTCCGGACTTGATGTGGCCTTACAGCTAGAACATTTGAGAACACCGACGGGCCGGTTTCCTGTACTTCGCCCATAATGATCTCTTGTGGCACCGGGACTAACACGGCGCCTCGGAGGTGGGACGACGTCAGGTACAGATGACGACGACGCCGCAGCCTCCCCATTCCCACTCCTCGCATACGAGCCATAATCAGGGCTAACAGGACGTTGGTAACTCTGTGGCAAGCCCGTAGTTTCCATGAACGGAGATGTATGCGGCCATTGGGCTTGTTGTTGCTGCTGTTGCTGCGATTGTGATTGCGATTGCGATAGTGATTGTGACTGGGCTTGTGATTGGGGCTGCGGTGCGTATGACGTCGTTGTTCGCATCTGGCTGGATGAGGGCGGGAGAGGCGAGGCGGTGGGTGCGGGGCTATGTGATGGCCATGGGTCGTAGGGCATTTGGGAGGCGGCGGCGGCGTCCGTGACCTGATTCCATGGCTGAGGGGAATACGGAGAAGTGGAATGATGTGACTGCGGCAGGTAGGATCCGTACGATTGGGGCGAGGAGACGGGGGGGAGGGTGTAAGAATTTACGGGTGCATCATAGTAGTTGTAGCCCGGCTGGGGGGCGTAGGTTGAGGATGTAGTGTATATGGACTGGATACCCGCCGGGGGATTTGAGGGATTACGGCCGTATGAATTAACTTTATGGCATGCGAAGATGACCGTACCTTTATGCGATCCATATTGAGGAGAAAAACGATCGAGTGGATGACGATGTGCTTACCATGGGGGATGAAGACACTCTCGACTTCTCCTGCTACGGAAGGCATGGTGAGGGTTGCCTTGTATCTGCGGGTGCAGCTTGTAGTGGCGTCATTGTCAGCGGTGCCGCCGAGGCCGATCTGGATGCCACCGACGAGCTTTGCAAAGTCCTTTGAGGTGGGGCCCGAGGGGTAGGTATCGGTTGAATCGGGGGGCCAGCTGAACAAGAGAGACCTGTCTTGGTTGTTGATTAGGATCTGGAATACTCTAGTCATGGGACCCGGTTGAGGAAATATATGAAATAGACGTTGATAGAGTAGTTGAATTTGTTCTTGGCCCATGTAGGGGGTGCCACACCAGTTTGTCCACTTTGTCTTGTTGCGCTCGTCGTTGTCGCTTGGGGTGAGGTCTACGACTGCGTGAAGAAAGCAGAGGACGAGGCCGTCTGCGGCCCAGTTGATGACGATGTCTACGGCCATGTAGTGAGCGTCGACAGCGATTTTTTCAGCCTCTGAGAAAGGAGCGGCGGGGCCTTGATAGCCGAGGAGACGGCGGACACGAGAGAGACGGCAATAGCGGACTCTTTGGAGTTGAATGAGATAAGGGGAGGGGGGGGATTGAGAGAAAGATACCTTGTGATGCTGCCATGCATTGTCTTGCTTTCCAAGACGCCTCCTAAATCTGATTCTGCGGAAGCCTGTTCTTCTGGATGTACGAACTGGATTAGGGACTTTCCGATCAGGTGATTTGCCTGTTCGCCGAGATGGCTTGCGAGGACAGGATCGAGGTAGATGAAGTGGAGGTTTGAGGAGAGAAGAGACCAGTCTGGAGGGGGTGAGCATAAGAAAGAGAAAAGGAAAGGAGACTGACAGCAGCGGGTGTGGCCAACCTTTGGGAGGAGGGGGAGCTGGGGGAGGAAGGAGGAGGAGAGGGAGACTGAGGGCATTGTGGTGTTGTGGTAGACGTGGAAGGAGGAAAGGGGCATGTGGTTTGAGAGAGAGGAGGGTTGTGCTTGCTGTGTGTCGCCTCGTTGCGACGGCACGAGGAAGCTCATGGCTGGAAGATGGCACGGAGTCCGGACGAGTGGTCAATAATAGTATACAGTACTCTAAACCCGTGACAGCGAAAAGGAAAGAGATCGATGACACTCTCTCCCGCCGGTAGCGCTGGGCTAATCATTTACCGAACACTACATCTGTAGCGATGGCCACAGCACTCTCTCGCTTACACACAGCTGGTCCGTGCGTCACCCCCCCACCCGATCACTCCAGATCCGCTCCCAGATTCACACATTTAAGCTACGGGATCGTCACCGTTCTCTCTCTCCTCCCCTCACCACCCCTTCCTTATCTGGCCAGTCGCTGTCCATGAACATCTGGGTCGCTGCAGGCGACGGTGACCTCACCGCTGTCTCCGTGCGTCATCGCCTTCCTTCTCTCCCACGCACTCACCCTCCCACAGCACCTCGTCCTCCACCAAGGCAAGTGCCCCATCGATCCACCCTCCCTGGTCTCACTCCCCCCCAGCCATATCCCCGAACGCACCCGACCCCTTCACCTACACTCCCATGTGTGTCTCACTCTCCTTGCCCCTTGATCCCTTTCCTTCTCTCCCTTTAGGCATGCCGCTGCCTCATACGGACACCTCCACGTCCTCGACTTTCTCCTCTCTCACGGTCCGTCCTCCCTCTCGCCCTCCCACACCCATTGACTGTCCACAGGTGGCGATGTCAACGTCACTGACGACGACGGCGACACGCCCCTCTACACCGTCGAGAACGTAGAGACTGCCCGATGGCTCGTCCAACACGGCGCCATCGTCGATCGCACAAATACCGAGGGCCTCTCCGTCCGTCCCTTTTCCAATTTCATTATCACCACACTAATCAGATCACTTCGATCAGCCGATAGATCATCTCCACGATGACTTTCCACAAGTAGCCGCCTACCTCCGTTCTCTATCACCGCACCCTCCCTCCCCCCCACATCCCACCCACCACCAGCTGCCCTCCCAGCACCACCAAAACATCGCCTCAGAAGTCCTCACCACCTCCCTCATGCAGTCTGTCCAGCATATCATCCAGCGCGCAGACGCTGAAGCACGCAATCCAGATGACGACCTGCGACAAGCCGTCAGCCGCACCGTCTTCGAGGGCGTCTTGGCTGGCTACGAAATGACCACTCCACAGCAAGACGCGCGCGATGACCCTGATCAAACAGATGGCCCCAATGCCGTGAATGGCGTCAAGAGGCCAAAAACAGATGGTTGATCTTAGTCGATGGCCATCACCACCCAGTCCCAGGGCGTGTGCTTTCCTGCATTGTTTTGATCGCCCACTCGTCCAGATACTAAAAAGAGAGGCAAAAGTCTTACACAGGCGTCCGCTAAAGTCGGCTCGCAATCTTAGCGTCAACCTTCCTTAGCGTCCTCGCTTACTCCATCTTTTAAAATTCGATGACATTTTTCTCGTGATCACGATCAACATTTTTTTTATTTTTATAACTTCACTAGGCGAGCCTTACTTTTTTTTTTGTTCTGATCACGATCGCGCGCAGTCGATCGAATCAACTGTCAAAAAGAACCCAGTGTGATCAAAAATATAACGATTCCGTTAGGTTTAACTGACTAGCAACGAATAAGGAAAGGTGCCGGTGCATAGTCTCCCACTTGCTCTTTTGAGACATCCCGGCTCGCACACCGCTTCTTGGGCCTTCTGACGCTTTGCACGCTGCCTTTAGGGGCCTCTGGGGATTGTTCCAGTATGTTCCTCGGACGGCCGTAGGGCTAGGTGGAGAGCGAGGAACGAGTGAGGGGAGTCATACCGAGGTGTGGGGCCAGGCTGGGCTACTGGCGCTCATATGCACATGACGCGTGATGGCAAGGGTCTAGGGATGCCTCCTACAACTCTCATTTTGGGTGGAGCTGCGCGAGTGCGAGTGCTCGCGTTGGTGGCAACATCGATGTCAACTAAAGTTCACATTTGCCCACGTCCATCGCGGCCACCACCACCCAAATCAGATTCAGACGATAACAGTGCACGGACGCTCTGAGTAGCACCATGGACAGTTATGGGATTCGGCATACTCGAATGCGTGACCGCACACACGGTGTTTACCGACCCCGGCCCACCACTGATGGCGATAATCACAACTTTAAGAACCCATACGACGACACCTGAAATCATCGTGTGTCGTGTTTCGTCCCAGTGCTTGGTTTTTTTAGATTTGATTTCGGGAGGGAGGTGTCTGTTTTCTTGTTTGTGCGATGATGAATGATGCGAGGGCGGCCTCGCCGAGGCTGTGGACGAAACGTCAGAAAGCCCTCATGCACATCTGCACACATATGCCGATGTCAATGATGATTATAATTGAAGCGGAAGATAATCAATGCGGACGTAGTAGTCTTATTACCCGGATAGCAGCAGACGAATGGCAGATGACAGTTCAAAAATCCTTCCGTGCACTCAATCGTCCCAGACTGGAAATGGAGCCCCCCGAGTCTGTTGAGAGCGAGTGTATTAACTGGACCTGCGTGTGTGTGTGCGGAAGCCGATATCAGATCCGAGGACTTGAGAAGGCGGGGGGTGGGGGGTGTGGATAAAGTTATAGTTAGTTATAGTTACAGTTTCTGGCGTGGCGGCGTGGGGCCCGGGTCCGGCTTTGGTTAGAAGTCGATGCATGCACGGTGACCGACGGCGAACTGAACATTGAACATGAATTCTGGGCCTGGATTCTGTATCGGGCTGGATGGATTGAATGGGTTCCTATGTTTAAAGGTGGGGGCAGTGTGCCTTTTGGACCTGGACCTGAACCTGGAGATGGGGGGGGAGATGGGAGTGATGTGTGTTGATGGAGGAGGCATATAATGGACGTGAAATGTTGCGTTTTAGATGCGGCTGAGCGCTGATGAGACTCTGGACATGGGCCAAGTTGTGTTGGGCTCCTTTTCGCCTTGTTCTTGTCCGTGTCTTCTTCTTCTTTCAAATGGCTCGGATCTGTGCGTATGGAGTTGTTGGTCCGGCCGTGAAATGATGAAAGGTCATCAGAGGACGAGGACGATGCTGAGCCCAGGTGTTCCAAGACTGGGCAAAAAGAACAACTGCGATCTCCAGATGAAAACAAAGTTCAGGTTCCAACAGCTGTGGGAACGAGGGGACGAATACAGATGCTGACGAGACCCCAGCTGGTCCGCGGGACGCGTCCGAGAGTCCAGAAAATGAAGCGAGACCCAATCTGGCAGGGGGATCGATATCTATAGCGGGTTTCCCTACATCCGTTTCCTCCATGTCTGGGTGGGACCGATTTGCAACTCTAGCAACGTCGTTCACGCACGACGAACTCTCCTATGCATCCGCCACCCACGCCCCCGCCGATTCCCCCAAAGACAAAGACAAGGAGACGCCCATCCTGAGAATCGCGGGCGAGGCGCGTTCGAGGGGGTATGAGCTCGTGTGTGTGCCGCTGACGACGGCGAGGTGGAAGGAGAGGTGGGCGGATATGTGTATTTTGGCTGGGGAGGGCGGAGGAGGGGAGGGGGAGAGGGAGAAGACGGTGGAGGCGGAGAGGAGGGCGGAGAGGTGGAGGATGAGCCCGAGCTTTTTGCGCGAGGAGGTGACGATGTCGAGGCTGGGTGAGTGGGGCTATCGAATATCGACCAGCTCATCGCGCTCGTCTCATGGACCGTTTTTCCTTTTCTTTGGCAGATGAAGCTGAGGGCACGATCGCGTTGATATCGGATTGGCTCCAGCTGGATGCCAGAGACGATTGGGTCCGCCATGACTCTGAAATCGTGAGTTCTCTCTAGATCGCGATCGGTCTTGCCGCCGCATATATGCATGTGCATGCGACCGTCACACCGTCGACGACGCCTCACGCATACGCGTTTCCCCCCTCCCCACTGACCATCTTCACGTTATCCAGGCCCTCCGCCAGGAACTCGCCTACGCATCCTACCTCAACATCCACACCGCCATCCTGCCCCCTCCCCGCCATCGCGCGCACGTCACCTCCTACGCTCGCGCCATCAACGCGTGTCTGAAGAGCGTCCCGTACATGCAGCTCTCCATCCGGCTCCCGATCTACGATCCTTCCGTTTTTCAGCCCAAGGAGCCGAGGAGTCGGCCGTCGTCGGGTGTCTCGGTCAGGTCGACGTCGACGTCGTCGGTGTCGACGCCTCAGCTTGTGGTGTCTGATTTGCCGGTGCTGCCTAGGAAATCGAAAGCGAAGAAGGCACCGGAGGATGAGTTGAATGCGACGTGGGAGATGTGGGATATTGTGCGCAGTGTGTGTGATTACAATCCGAGGCTGACGCTCAGTAGGTCTTTCCCCCCCTTTCCTATTGCTTATCTTGTTGTTCAATTACATCGATGGCTAATAATGCACCATGCAGCACTTGACTTGACTCCGCCGTTGCCGACGACTTTGGGGGTCCTTAGCAAATGGACGGCGGAGCCTGTGCAGCACATCTTCCTACCTGCATCCACTTTCATCGCGAACACAAAAGGCTACCCCGTTCTGCCAAAAGGAACTCAGTCGTTTGTGCGCCAGAGTATGGCGGTGAGTGTTTTGTGCGAGAGTGACGTGGACATCTTGTTGATATCGATACCGACATCGTAGCACCGGCCTATCATCATCATGTCCGACGTAAGGTCTGGCACTCATAGCAAAGGAGGCGAATCGGCGTATTCTCAGTATATACGACATTTGGAAAAGTCAAGCCCGGTTGTACAAGCCGCTCTCAAAGCTGGTACGGTGGAAAATTTTGCTCAAGGGTACCAAGATTACCTCCAGGCTCCGTTACAGGTTAGTATTGCTGTCCGTTTTTTCTCGGCTATATCAAGTAGCTGATGTTATCCGTATATTCATAGCCACTGATGGATAATCTACAAAGTATCACATATCAGACGTTTGAACGCGACCCTGTGAAATACAGAAACTACGAAGAGGTTATTCCCGCTTCCTCTGGTTCTACGTGCAGCTGTCCTGACTTGATTTTCATTTCTGGTCTAGGCGATATATAATGCTCTGGTTGAATGGCCAGCGTCTGATCGAATGTATGTTGTGTCCTGGTTGGATATGATACAAAAATAACTGGAAGACTTCAGTGTGATATGTGTTGCCGGTGCAGGACGCGGGCCTCTCGTTGCGCGTAGCCTGCTCGCTATCCAACGATCGCGACGACCAGCCTTCGTCTACGCCGTAGAAAAGAACCCAAATGCATTCGTCACGTCTGTCTACCCTATTCGCTCTAACTCGACTCGTCTCACCTAATACGAATTCGTTATGATAGCCTCCAAAACCGTCAAGAAATGGAGTGGGGGTCGGGGGTGCAGCTGATTTATGGCGATATGCGCAGTATTGAGATACCGGAACAGGCGGATATACTCGTGAGTGAGCTGTTGGGGTCGTTTGGGGATAATGAGTTGAGCCCTGAGTGTCTTGATGGGGCGATGCGCTTTTTGAAAGGTATGTCTTGGGAGAAGTCTTGCTGTTATTGATATCTTCTCACTCGTTCACCATAGCGGACGGCATATCGATTCCTTGTTCTTACACGGCACATCTCGCGCCTCTCCAGTCGTCTAAACTGTTCAATGAAACGAGGATGAATAAAGATCCATCGAAATCTGCGGAAACTCCATATGTTGTGATGTTTCAAAATGTCGATATTCTGAGCGCCGACGGTGGTGGTCTCGGTGGTCGGTGTGGACCTCAGACACAGGAATGTTGGGAGTTTGAGCATCCTAGGAAAGATGGTGTTGTGGATGACCGAGGTACGCATCGCTTAAAGTGTTAATGTCACGACTTCTAACGTGAATGGCTAGGCTTGCCTATTACGAATAGCCATAACACACGGTCTGCAAAGTTGACTTTCCACATACCGCACGCCGGTGTACTTCATGGCCTTGCAGGTTACTTTGAGGCTGTGTTGTATAAGGGTGTCGGCCTTAGCATACACCCGCAACACAAAGATCGCGTCTCAAAAGACATGTTAAGCTGGTTTCCGCTGTTCTTTCCCTTCAAGGTACTTCTTCACTTCTTTTTTTATCGCAATACATACCTGCGGCACCCATGATACTGACGTTATCGTCGCTATGACAGGATCCTCTTTATCTCCCAAGTAATTCAGAATTGCAGGTATCAATATGGCGCTTGACGAACGAACGGCAAGTTTGGTATGAATGGTACGCGGAGTCTTTCCTCCCTGTGTTCAGTGCCCCTCTCCCAGGGGGGGAAGACCATAAAACGCCAACGAGCTCCCACGATCCTTTTTTTGCATCTACGACGACGCATGTCGCTGTGCCTAGTCCGTTGATAGATGCCGTCGATTCGTCTTTCTCGCCTGTCTCAGGGGGGGAGGAAGGGAGGAAGGAGGACGAGGGTGTTCGTGAGAAGGCTTGTGCGGGGGCTGTGAAGATTGGGCAGACTTTGTTGCATAACCCTGGGGGACGGAGTAGTTGGATTGGGTTGTAGGGTGGAGTACTGCAGCTCACGAAGCGACTTGGGTGGTATGTAGAGTGACGTGATGACGTCTCCTACTCCTGTTATCGTGAGTTGCTGCAGGATGTGATGTTGCCCTCTACGGTCGCTTGCTCCTCAAGCTTCAAGTTGTAAATATATTTTTGTTATGGATGGGATTATGACCTTGATGTCCCTTGTGCTTGTTGCACTGAGAACAAGAATAGTTCTTGAGAATAGTCGCAGCGTTGTTCGCAACTCGATAACAGTCGATTGTGCCTATATTTACGGTATGCGATCTATATTAAACGGTCACTCGATCTATCGCCAGTCCTCTTCGCTTAGAAGTCTAGGCATGCTAAGAGCTGTCTGTGTGGCAATTGGTACTCTGACTGCACAGTATAGAACGGAATGTGACGAGCGGCAGTGAGACAGTTTTGAGGAAGACTGCGACGAGTCTCGCTGTCATAACAATCTTGATTTGAATCATCGCGGAAGAAAACGATTATGATACGATCCAGAGTGCGGCGTGATCGGCTTGCGGGTATAAAAACTCCGTTTACAACTCCGTCAGCCAACTCGCTTCGTCGTCACACACCCGTCACCTCTTCACAACGATCTTTTCTCTTTAGACGTCTCTTCTGCTCTTCAGCACCAGAAAAAAAACCCAAACCCGCTTCAACACAAGCACTCCACTCTTTCTCTTCTACACCATGAAATCTTTTACCTTCGTAGCCGCTCTCATCTCCGTCCTTCCCGCCGTCTTGGGATTGACCATCAACACACCGTGAGTGGTTCCATAGAACACTTTGATTGATGACCAACTGACGTGGAACTTGAAAACTTTAGGAGCAACGTTGTTGTGTGTGGTAGGCCTTTTTTTCTTTCTTGGTGCTGACCGTATCGTTCGAGTCGTCTGACTGGTCATGTTCGTTCGTTGTTAGAACCCCAACAATTCACCTGGTCGGGCGGTGCTGCACCTTACTACCTATCTCTTGTTCCCGGTGGACAGTCCATGGCCTCGCCTGTGAGATTATTGTGTTCCTACCTTGCATCCATTTTTAAACATCGGGGTTCGTAGATCAAGCAATTCCCCACTCAGTCCGGTACCGCGTACACGTGGAATGTTGATTTGCAAGCTGGCACCACCTTGTGAGTCGCGCCAAACTTTTCTATGCTCGAAAAAACACTGATTTTGTTGCACAGCAACATCGCCCTCAAGGATAGCACTGGCGCTACTGCGTACTCTGACATTGTGACTATTCAGTCCGGTGGCAGCACAAGGTACGTGGTTGTTTTCACCCCCCGCTGTTATAGATACTTATTGATATCTTGCCTTGTAGCTGTGTGAACACCTCGGTTCAGGAGGGATCCGCTACCGCTGGAAGTGCTCCCCCCGCTACTGGTGGAAGCTCGCCTGCCACCGGTGGATCGTTAGTCTCATTTCCCCTCTGACATCTTGTGTTTGTATTGAATGACGAAATGTAGGTCGCCTTCCGCCACCACGGGTGGTTCTACTCCCTCTGGTAGCGCCTCGCCATCTTCTGGCTCCAGCGCCTCCGGCTCTGCTGCGCCCAGCTCTTCGAGCCCAAGCAGCAACGGTGGTGCCCGTCTCACCGTGTCCTCTGCTTTCGGCGTTGCTGGAATCATGGGTCTTGTCGGAGCAGTTCTTTTCTAATTTCCTGATATATCAGGCTTTATGATCCGACGGACACGAGTTTACTATACTATGGGACCTCATTTATGTTCACTCTGAATGCTACCTGTCATTGCTTCGCCCTTATACCAGATCATCATTTAGTGACCTTACCTGTTACGGCTCGCAGTCTAAGCTCGATTTGTTATTTTACGATATATGTGAGACGACGTACTGGTCGCAAGCGAGTAATCTGACCAGAATTTCTGTGATGATATGCCATTGTGGGAAATGGGAAGTTCGATTCAGCAGTGATCGGAAGTAATTCGTGGATCACGTGCGGTGTCGCGTAGACGAGAGGTCTGTTTTTGGTTGTGTAGGTCGGGCTAGCTCTGCTTCAAGTTGTTTGCGCGTCTTTTTTCCGCCAAAGCCTTTCAAACTTGACTTTATACATTCAAGCTTGTTCTCTTCAAACCATATTCTTCCTCAAAAAGACGCGCACGTTCTCTACTATTTCTTTTTCCTTTAACCATGGCCACTGTCTCTGACGCCGACGGAGGACATGACCACGTCAACGACGTGTTGCAACAGATAACGAATGGCGAGACTGGGAACGGCGTTGCTGATCCCAGTTACAAGCTACATGACTCAGTCGCGAAGCAAGAAGCTCACGACGATCTCGAAGGGGGTTCTCTTTCACAGAACGCGCTTGCAGGAGAGGCCACCAATGCCGATGCATTGTCTGGCAAGGAGAACTTGGTAGAGGCCACTATCAATCACACTCAGGAGTCGCACGAGCCCACTGAGAACGATGTATGCCACGTCTTTTCCTTTGTGAATGATCTTTCCAGGCTAAATCTTTGTGTCTTTGTGTAGAGCACTGTGGACGATGCTGCGCAGGCGACGCCAGATCAGGTGGCAGTTCCTGAGTTTGATTCGCTCATGGACGTTGCTTCACAACTCAATAGCGTGGAGGTGCTCGCTGAGGTTGTCCCACAGGAGGACGAACAAAGTTTACAATACGAAGACGAAGAGTCTGTCGCGACTGAGGCGACACTGGATGTGACTGATGATGCCCAGGTACAGTCGGAGAGTGCCGTCGACGAAGCAGCTTTGTCTAACACTAAGGTGTTTATACTTCTTGTTAATGCGTCCCCCGCGTCATCATCATGGCCTCACACACCTCATTTGCAGGACTCGTCTCCCGCCACGTTCTCAGCGCAGGACGAGATATCCGCATCAGTGGAGGCCGATCCTGTGCTCGCCAACGCCGAAATGTCTTCATATGCTGAAGATACGTCAGTGCGAGAAGATCCGGCGGTGGCAGAGGTTGATGAAATCTTATCCGGCTCTGCCAACGTGGAAGAAAGTACCGAGGACTTAGCCGAGATTGCGGCACCTCAAGAAGTTGCTGATAAGGTGGAAGCCACCGTTGCAGCAAATGAAGCCGCGGAGGAGAAGATCTATGCCGAGTTTGCAGATACCGTCAATGAGGTAGGCAGGTTGATTTGTATGGATGGTTGTGGCTGGAATTGACGATCTGTGTAGGTGTCCCTCGATTCTGAAGCTACTCTTCTGGATGCAGCGGAGGTCGCAGTCCCGGTTGAGGAGGAGCCTATTCACATGGAGGAGCCTGTCTCGCCTTTGGTCCCAAGGGCTCCTGAGGCAGAGGAACCGCCTATCGCTGTTGAGGAGACAGTGACTGAGGTCCAACCGATTACAGAAGCATCCGTTCCAGAACCTGTAGAGGCAACCCCTGATGCCTCAGAGACCGTCGAAGAAGTCATTGTACAAGCTGCAGAAAGTCTGGCAGAAGTCCCGCTAGAGACGGCCCGAGACGTATCAGAACCTTCCTCCGCTCAGCCATTCATCGATGTAGAGGCTGTGGTAGACGTTCCTTCTGCCGCGATAAAGGAAGGAGGGGAAGTGGTCCAAGTGCCAGAGTCGCCTGTTCAGACACCTGTCGCAGACGCCACCGTTGTTGAGTTGGTTGCAGAAGATCCCATCGTTGAATCGTCTGAAGTCTTGGAGGAAGTCACTGTTCCCGTTGCTGTTCAGGAGGAAGAAGTATTTTTGGCTGAACCATCAGAGGACGTTGCAGCATCCGAATCCCGGCCCATAACAGAAACTGTCACTGTTGCAGATGATATTCCTGTCGAGCCTTTGACAGAAGATCTCAAAGCCTCTGAAGTTGTAGAGGAAGTCACTCCTCCCGTCATAGTTGAGGAGGAAGAGACATTGACGGAGTCGGTAGAGGATCTTACAGTGTCCGAATCCCATGTTATCGCAGAGGAAGCTCCTATAGAGCCGACGGTGGAAGAATCGGCAGTCGAAGAACAGGAGCCTACCATTTCTGCAGCTGGCGATGATACCACAGCAAGTGCCATTCCCGACGCGTCGGAAGCTAGTGAACAAGTTATCGATTCTGCTATCGAGGTAACTGAAGAACTGCCTGCTGAGGTCTCGAGTGTAACTCCCCCAGAATCTCAGTCTATTGAACCAACTGTAAAAGATGTCGTCCCCGATGCATCAGAGGCTATCGAAAAAGGCATAGCCTCCACTGCGGCAACTCAAGAAGAGCCGCCTACTGAGCTCCTTGCGGAGGATTTGGCGGTAGAGGAAGCTCAGGACCCCGAGCTACCCATCCCTGCAGTCGATATTGCCCCTGAGCCAGTGACCGAAACTTTCACCGTGGAGTCCCATGATTCTGCAGTAATCGTCGAAGAGCAGACACCTGTCGAGTCCGCAGAAGTATCTTCAGATCCGTCTTCGGAGACTGCCACTACCGTTGAAACCGCTGTCGCAATGGAAGATGTCATCGCGGAGTTGAAGCCGGAAGAGCAAGCTGTCGAAGAGTTAGAGTCATCCAGTAATGCAGCGGATGTCCAATTTGATATCATCACTGATTCAGCGGTAGAAGATTCCGAAGGGCTTAGCAATGTGGTGCCAGAGGTTGTGTCGTTCTCAGACGTTAAACCTACCGAACCTTCTCTTGTGGAGGATGTGACGCCTCTGGCGGACTCAGCTGGAGAGGCTCCCGAGGCAGACTCATTTGACAACGGTTCTTCCGTAGCTGAACCAGCAGAGGTAGTACCTGAATCTATCGCAATCCTTGATACGATAACAGACGCAGAAATCCCTGTCGTCGAAGCGACACAATCCTTCACAGTCACCCCTGAAACTCCCGCTTTCCTATCTGCAGATGGTATCACCGCCGACTCGGTCGTTCCCGTTGAGGAACCCGTAGAAGCCTCTAGTGAAGAACCAACCGAAAGTGGTCCTGCAATTCAAGAAAACGTTGAGGCTGTACTTCCCGTCGAGCTAGAGCTGCTGCCAGAACCAGAACCTTCCTTCTCTTCAATAAATGCCGACATACTGGAAGAAAGTCCAGAGGCTGAACCTGTACCTGTCGCAGAGGACATTGCTGCTGCCATTACAACCGAACAATCGGTTACTGAGGAAGCAGCACCGATTGATGTCGAACACGACCAAGGCACTTCTGCTGCAACTGATGCCCCTTCGGAGACCGAGGCACCTGTTCTAGAAGCAGAGACAATCACGTCATCTTCAGAACCAGTTGAAGCAGTGGAAATCCCTATTAAGGACGAGGATGTCGAAGGGGACCTGAAGTTGGCTCAAGATAGCGTAGCTGATGTGCTGATTACTGACTCTCAAGTCTCTGAAGAAGAAATTGCACCAGAGGACACTACAATTCCCCTGCAAGAGGAGAGTGTTCTGGAGTCGGTTGCAGAGCGTGACGCCCCTCTTGCTCCAATGACTGATACGATCGACTCTGGTGTGGATGTTGTGTCTACCGTGAAGAGCGAAGCCGCTTCAGTTGATGAGGCGGTAGCAGACTCTATCGATAAGGAGGTCGAGGAAACCGCTGCCGCTCCAGATGTTGTGGCACTGGAGGAGACCGAAGACGCTGCCATTGAGGAACAACTTTCCGCGCAACCGTCCGAACTGGCCACTGCTACTGTAGAATCGCAAACTTCTGTTGCAGAACCCGAACTCACTATCGTTGAATCAGCAGTCGACGAGACACTGCCGATCGTACCTTCAGACACACCTGATGTCGCGGTAGAAACTATCTCGGAAGAAAAGGTAGACGCTGTTGAAGAAGTCCTCGGAGCAGCTAGCTCGGAAAGCGAGGTCAACCCCACCGAAGTGGATATCGTTGAGAGTGAGAAGAGCACAGATGACGATGAAATACAGGTAGCGGCCATTGAAGCAGTTGTACAAAGCGAAGAGGGAGTCTCTGCTCTTACAAGCAAAGAAGAAGTCTCGGTAGCAGAACAAGTGCCCCAGGAAATTAAAGAGGTGGATACTATAGATGTCGAGGAAGCGACCGAAGTGATACCGGACGGTGCTGATGAAACAGAGACCTCTCTGGCTGTCGAACAATCAACAGCGACGGAAGGTGACAAAGCCGAATTGGACCTTGTTGAAGAAGCTGTAGTCTCCCATGACGAAACGCGCCTACCTGAGCCAGAGCCAGTTATCGCTGATGAGGTGGAGAACGCACGCCCTGAAGCCGAAATCCAGGAGGTTATTTCTAACATCCATTCCGAGTCGGCTGAAACGCAAGAGTCTCATGATATACCGTCGGCTGTCGATCTAGTCCAATCCCAATTCAACGAGGTGTCACTTGAAGCTGAATTGCATGCCTCTGGAATAGACGATGTGCCACGAGACGAGGAGGTACACGTCCAGGAGCCAATCATTGCCGAGGAACTAGATGTGGTTCAAGAAACGCTTGCGACAGAACATCAATCTGAACCCGAAGACATGCGCGATATTACAACTAATAGCGAGTTATCTCCCGAGCTGAATATTCGCGAAGAACAGAAGTCCGACGAATCTGAGATACAACCAGTGGACATTCCGGAGCCATCTATGCTTGCGCCAAATGTGCAAGCGACCACAGAAGATGGCGTGGTCGGTTATCAGTTCAATGAGAGCGTATCAGACGTTCAGCCTAAGGAGAATTCAGAGGGCCGTGAACAAACCGACGAGGCCGATAAAGAGGTAAGCACAGTGAAGCCGACGCAAATGTTTGTGACTCTTTGGTCTCATGCTGTCCCGATGTTTTTATAGATCCCCTTGTCTGCTAGCCTTCATATTGCAACAGAAATCGAACGTCCCAAGTCACCATGGACTCCATCTTACAGTGTCACAACTCAAGGTCCCGGTATCTCTGACAAGGCGGCTGTCGAAGGTGAAGTGCAGTTGTCTGCAGTTTCTCCTGCAGTAGTTGTATCGGAGGAAGCTGGAATTGAACCAAACAACGAGCTGCCTGCCGCCTCAGACAGTGAGGAAAGTGGAAAGGTGTTCCTACCCACTCTGATTATAACGCCTCAAGCTGTGAGTTTTGTTTCCAGGCTGTTTTAGCTGCTTACTGACTGTTACTCACATCATTATCCTAGGTGAGACCCGGAGAATCGCTTCTCGGTGAGGATGGCAGTGAGTCACGACCAAGGTCGCCTTGGACTCCTTCATACTCTGTTATGAGGCAAGGTAGCGTCTCACCACGCATACCAGAAGTAGAGCTTCCCCCCACCGTCGTTCCAGAAAAGGAAGAAGCATGGACACCCTCGTACTCTGTTACTAGGCAAGGCAGCGTGTCTCCACGCATACCAGAAGTAGAGCTTCCTCCCAGCGTTGTTCCAGAAAAGGACGAACCAACGATCTCAGCCGAAGTTCCTTTGATTGTAGCCTCTGAAACTGTGTCAGAGCCACTGGAAGCACTTGTTGCCGACAAGATCAGTGATGAGCATTCAGCTCCAGCGATAGTAGGTAACGAGGTCGTCGACGTTTTGGAGGAAACCAATGAGCGCCAAGCCGATGAAGTCAATGTAGTAGAATCACATCCTACTGTCATACTCGAACGTGAAGTGCAGGTTAGCATGCTCATCACATGCATATGAGCTACTTACTTACATTACCTACAGACTACTGAGCCAGAGTCGAGTATTACGCCATCTGCCTCTCTCCTGACGGCTCAAGAGGAGCCGGTCATAGACAGACCAAAGTCTCCCTGGACGCCCTCATACTCGGTCACCAGACAAGGAACAGGGCTGTCCGATGTGGAAGCCGGCCACGAAGAAGCAGAACTTGATAAGCTTGAGCAGCTACCCGAGCCGATCACCAATGCTCCTGAACAAGACACACCAGCCGCTAACGGCATCAATGGAGCACGAACTCATACAGACAGCGAACCCTCCCTTGGAGGTTTCTCTTCTCAAAATGCTGCTGCAGCTGCGGAAATACCCGTCACACCTGAAGTTAAGATCTATTCTGTGGAAGATGATGAGAATACCGAGTCATGCCAAACATTCCCCACCGCTGAGGACTCTGAAGACGCAATTCATAAATTAAGTCAGAAGTAAGCTGCTCGACTCTTTTCTATTGTGCATTGGTTGATTGTCATTGTTAGACCTAGTCTCGCCACCGTAGATGAACTCAATAGCACTGACGGTCCTTCTCTTCATATCGAGATTCCCACCAGCGCTTCAAGCCGGAAGAGATTAGAATCCACAACTTCGTCACGGTTCTTCCCTGGCGGGTGGTTCTCATCTTCGCCCAAAGTCCCAGAAGAGGGGCGCACTTCGCTCGATGTTGCTGCAGGCGAATTCATATCAAAGTCTGCGGAAACCACACCAACGACACCCATGCCGACTGCCGTGGAGGAAGACTCGGAGAAGAAGGCACGTTGGTGCACCATCATGTAAGAAGAGAAAGTATACGCTTCGCAGTTTTTGTTTTGTCCAGAAATCCTTCGTTTTTTACGATCTTTTACGATTCTTCGATGACCCCCATATGAATACCTTTTGCTTCCAAATTGGATTTAACTCCTACTCACTTTTGCATTTGCAAACTTACTAATCTTCGCAACCTTGATAACTTCTGCCATCCCCTCTCACGAATCATGCTGAATACCTTGTCGAGATACATAGAGGCAATTATTTTTTTCGTAATCATACTTTCTGTGTACGTAACATATTTTGCTTATGGGAACAATTATCAAGCCGACTTTAGCTCAGTTGGAAGAGCGCGAGACTGTAATTGGTTAACATATGACATCTTGAGGTCGCCTGTTCGAGCCAGGCAAGTCGGATATATTTTTCAATTCCCGCCTTTTTTTCCCGTTACTTTCTGAATCTATTCAACATCCGTCAGAAATGTTATTGATCTCAGTGTACATGCAGCAACAATTAGCAATGCTATAGTCCGGACCATAGAGCATGAGTACAATGCATCCTATTTAGTGTTTAAGCTCCACGAAAAGATTGACAGCCATAAGTATAATGTATGATACAATAAGGAAAATACCCCATTTTCGAGGCAGAAAATATGCGTTGAGTGGGACGACTACTAGTGTGATTACGAGGAGCAATAGGAGCCCTATCGTACTCACGAAGAGCGTTGGTGTAAAATGCAAGCTATATGGTTGAGCGGTTTTGCTTATGATATAGGAGCCAGAAATGCCGACACCGAGAAGAATGTTGAGCATTGGTCCACCAAAGCAGGCGGAGAAGCCCATGATGGGAGCGAATACCTAATTTAAGGTTTGGTAAGATGGGATAAGACGACGATTACGAAGAGACACATACAGCTACGCTGGTGTTGGCAACTAGGTCAGCAAGTGAATTTCCAACGGCGAAGACAGTCAGGCCAATGATGGCATCTGATAATCCAAAAATGAAACCGAAAGCCTAGATACCGCAAGAGCATATATGATGAAAATCTAGGGTTATGCATAATGGTAGCAAAGGAACGAACCTGAAGCACGTTGACCACCTCGTCTGCGATAGCCATTATCCACACAACGGCAACGATGAATCCCATTGAACACCGCGCCATTTGCGAGGGAGGAGAATTGCCTTTATCAGCAAGGACAATCACGAGGAGGCCTAACGCTGATCCCCCGATTGCGGTTGCGATTAAGAGCCAGTTCAGCTGCTTCGTCCCACCTGAAACTCAATCAGTCAACGGGAAAAAATGCCCACAATTTGAAAGGGCTTACTGAACAATACGCTGACACAGAACAATGGTCCAAATGCACACTGCGCAGCGGTGAGCCACTTGTTAAATTTCATTTCGTGCATGTCCTCCATAACTTCCTCTTCCGCGATCAACACACGCTCTATGCCTTCCTCTTCAAAGTCAATCAAGTGGCTCTCAGCGGCGCCTCGGTAATGTAACTTCTCCTCAGACGCACCACAACAGTCATATGGCATCACTACGACGGGGAGAGTCAGCGTTAGTACCAGCACTGCAGGGGCTGCAAATAGAGCAGCTATCTTCCCCAGGAGTGTCTTTGACCGGAAATGATGTACCGCAGGGAATAGGACATGATATGTGCGGCAGATGGCCCACCAAATGCGCTGCCGAGAAGTTGGGGGTGAATATATCTCTACCTCCGTGCCCTCGTCCGATGTCGTTGGAGAGGCAGGCGTGCGCGAAATGGATGGTACCGAGGGAGCAGTCATTGGAGTTGGTGTACCATCTTCTAGGTTACGCTCGCGATTCGTATCATCTACATCTTCTGCGAGCACAGAGTTAACCATTAAACGCGGCGAGCGATCGTTTAAGGGAACACCAAGCGCTGCGTCCCATGGGTCTATTTCTCGAGTTGGGGTGTGGGAGCCGGAACGTCTACGGCGATGGTAGTGGCCACCTGCGTAAGGTGTAATGGGACTGTCAAATATACTCAATGAAGAGGAGGAAGCTTGGTTCTGAAGTGATGCAACGACCTGACGGAATTCAAGGGCGCCGACTAGGGAGAAGGAGGGCATTTGGGTAATATGTGGGGTTGCAGGTGGTGGCGATGGTGTTCGCGAATGTGGCCGTGGTGGAAGGTCCGTTTGAAGGCCTAGGCGCATAGGTCCTGGATGTGAGATCGCGCGAGCCCGACCAACTGGTGGGGCAGCGAAAGAGGGCACAGTCAGTGAATTGGACAACGCATGTGATTGAACAAACGATGTTGCTTCAGCCTGACATCAGCATTTTAGTGGGACAAAGAAATCCGTTCACTCACGTTCATCTCTATAGGGATCCTCGTCATGAAATGATGGCAATGTAGCATCATCGTCATCTCCATACTCTGCACGTATCAATGCTTCTATGCGCCGTTTGCGTTCTTGCCTGCGCTCCCACCAACTGCCCACGATAACTACGAGAGCATATATAATGTACAGAACGACAAGTGCACCGGCTTCCCAGCTGTGTATCTGTCCATCCCAGAGAATGACGAGCAATAACCCTACTGCAGCAGTGAAAAAGCCGACGTCACGTATGAATGGAACTTTATCGACTCTGAATGGCTTGATGATGCACATTGAGCCGACGACACACGAGACAATGAATGATGCTGCACCGAGCAGCTCGCCGATAGCCAGACTACCGGAGTTGGCACGCATGGCAGAGAAAGTAGAGAAGACATCTGGACTGCCATTTCCAAACGCAAGGAAAGTGACACCTGCAACGTTCTCGTCCAGACCGAGGAGCTGAGCTATTGTCGCAAGATTAGGGGTAAAGAAGTCGGAAGCACTGATCCCGAGGGTCGAGAAAAGGAAGAAGAGCCAGAAGAGGAGAGCTGTGAAGATAAGAGGGCGTGTTGCGGCATCAGCACAGAAATACATTTGTAGATATGGTATCGACAATGCGGTGGTTGAAGCTGGGCAGTCCTTCCATACGTGTGTGCACTGATCAGTTACATGTGTGTAATCCAATGGTCGACACTGCACAGTCCATTCCATGGCATCAGCTAATACTCTGGTTATCGAGGAAGACTCACAACGTTTTCGGTCGATGTTATATTAGTATAGATACCATCTGAAAAGACACTTCTTTTCAACATCTGGAGGTTTTGGGAGCGGGCAAACTGGCTCTCGTAGGGTTCGCCATAGCGAGTTTGTGCCAGGAGGATACAGTTGATGATGAGCGCGGTGACGAATACGAACTTTGCTTCTCCTGAAGACATGATCAAGCTGGCGGAAAGCAAGCCTCGAGGGCCTTACATGTACGAACGGTTTTGCACAGGTGCTTATAAGCTGCCCCGGGTCAACATGCGTTTTACCATATGGGCACTACCGCGGGTCCTTATTTGTCCGTGTTGTTTTTGGAGTACCAATGCTTTTCTGGCGCTCTCTACTCATCTGACAGATAAGTACGAGATAAGTAATATGAATATACCAGTATTTGACTACACACACTCCTATCACACCTGTCAATGATAACCTGTACATGTATCGATACAACCAATATTTACACCTTGTAGAAACAGGCACCCCTACCAACGAACTGCACCGCGCTGTAACTGCGTCGGTTCAAATACAGGGCTCAATTCTTACCAGGTTCGTCGACAAGTTCGAGCGTAAAATGGGGAAACCAATGCCTACTTTAGTTTCCATTGAATTAAACTTGGATCATCCGGAGCTGCCAATAGGAAAAGGAAGAAGGAATCCATGGGATTGTGCCAAACCTCCTTGATGAAGTGATAACCCAAAAATGACCCGCCAGATATCCAAATGGAGCCGTATCCGATTCACGCCCACGAAACGCGCGGCCTGGAGACCAACGGCCAGGCAAAATCACAACACGAGGACAGGAGCTCTGCTCAATAACTGTACGGCATTTAGTAGATGCTGACGCAAACTTGCATCGAGGACGGAAACTTACTTTGAGGGTTTACATGCTTGGAGCATCAGGCTTGCAGGTACCGAAATACACAGCATTCCCACCGCGTGAGGATAAGAACCTATCGTTTACGTTTGCTCATGTTTCCAGAAACTATCGACCAGACGATATCTTTGGAAGACGTCATCGACGATAGAAGAGACACGACTGTAGCCACAGACGTCAGATATTACGATGTTTTCAGGACGAAGGGGGGTCATGTTGACATTCACAGTCCTGTTGGAGATGTATTCTAATAAACCACGAATAGGTGATTCCATTTTGCGCAGAAAACGTCAATGAGGAGAATTGACGAAGGTACCAGCGCAGTAATCAGTGGACTGGGATAAATTTGGACACGTCATGCAAAACAGGTACAAAATCGGCGCTTCTATCTAGCAGCAAGGACTGCGCGATTACGATCGTTCAAAGGGATAAACGTATATCGAGGAGAAGTGGCCAGGTAAACGGGCTGATGCCATTTTGCTGGCGTGCGTGCGGATACCATAGCCGCGACTTGAAGAACGTATGCTTGTACAATGAACCAACGCTCATCGCTCAGCTCCAGCGATATATCCAATAAGTTAAGCGTACATGTGCCATTTCGCTCTTAAGTCGTGTTGTATGAGGCACTTGCAGTGTTGCGATAGTTTTACTCGAGATACGAAATATGGGAGGGCTCTGTATACAACGCAAAAGACGTCAGGAAAGCATGCACCAGAGTCTGTGTGTGAAGTCTCGTTCACATGCCTCATGTGTGGGACAGCCTATGATACTTTGCAAAGAACACAGGTTCGAGGCACATAATCAGTTCCATGATTCTGGGATCATATCACGATACGCCACGCGAATGAGGGACCAGCTTGTTCAAGAGTCATCGCCAATAGTAAACGGCCGTCAGGTGTGGACAATGTAGGACCGTGTCAAGACGTCGACGGTACTGTGGTCATTCTGAATCATGATCATGCATGATAGAAATATGTGGCCTGAAGTTCTCTGAACTGGTCAAACGCATCAGCTCCGAGTCGTTGGTTGAAATGAAGGAACATTAAAGATGGGAGGACACACGAACCACATCAACCTCCACTGGTGTACGTAGTAATACAAGTAAATACTACCTTAGCATGAAATTACAGTTTAGTACGGCATATGTTTGTGCGCATTCGTCATGCATCATGATTCACAATTTGCAGGACCCTAATTACTGGTTCGGATTTAATCACCATCTTCTCTTCTCTTCCCAACTTCATCCTCATTGTGCAAAAGGTCAAATTTCACGACAGTGAGATTTCCGGGCTTTTTGACTACAAGGTAAGATAGTCGCGGACAATTCGCGGATGCGGAAGAGAATGAAACTGAACTTGACGCTGGCTTGTACAGTGAGAAGGCATCAGACCAGGCAAAAAGCCTTCGTGAAACAACATGTATTTGCCTTTAGCAGCCCTTGTAACGCTTATTGTAAGTCCTCATCTGCGGTATATTTCATGCAAACCTAAAAAAAAACCATGTAACAGGCTACCTTCGCCTACCGAAGTGGCAGAATCATTAAACATAACATACTTAGCATTCCCGATCTCCCAGAAGGTTACTACCAAGGTGGGGACTGGAAAGAGAAATGTAACATTGTTGCCGACGAAGGATCTCATACGCTTAAATATTGCGAGGACATGACGTTCTGGGACCACTTTGACGCCCAGGGCGCGCTCGAAGAGCGCCTCATCCTCATGGGATGTGACCCTAACAGAAAAGCATGGAACACCGTGATGGGTCCCCTCCGTGACCCCGAGCCACGAGGCTATCTCTGGCTTTACTCTGCCACGAGCCATGGCTCCCCGCAGCCCGTCTCTCTAGACAATTATCCCGAGGCACACGACTTCCATCCTCTGGGTCTCGAGATTTACCCGTCGCACGCGGGTGATTCGTCCAACCTCTTCATCATCAACCATGCGCGTGCAGGGACCACTATCGAGCAGTTCACTCTCAACCCCGCCAGCCCTACTCACGCGGTATGGGTCCGCACGCTTACTTCGCCATACTTTGTTTCTCCTAACGCGCTGGCGTTGACGTCCCCCACGTCTTTCTATGTGAGCAACGATCACCTCATGACGCGTCGCTTGCCCAGCCCTTTCGGTCACGTCCTTCCTCTTATCGAATCCGTCGGAGGCTTACCCCTCTCCTGGCTCAGCCACATCTCTGTTGAAGAATCTACCGAGAACGACGGAGAGATAACTTTGAACCATACTTTCGCCGCATTTGGCGTCTCGTTTGCCAATGGTGTTGCCATATCTCCTTCTGGAACCGAACTGGCTCTGTCTGGAACTTCTATGGGCGAAGTCTATTTCTACAAGCGAGACCCATCAACGAACAAGCTCACTTACGCTCACACCGTGCCTGTACCATTCTTCAACGACAACGTCATGTATGATGATTCTGGCGCCTTGATCGTCACTGGACACCCTCACTTCCCCTCGCTTATAGCCGTAGCGGCCAACAAAACAGGTGCAGTTTCATCCAGTTGGTCCGTATCAATATCCCCTCTCCACATGGAGGTTGCATCCCCTTCCTTCGCTCTAAGAGAGTATGACATGAGGGCGCCTCTGTCGGCGAGTAAGCTGTCCCCAGCAACGATGAACTACGAGGTGGAAACGCTATTTCAAAGTAATGGCACTGCTTTCCAGACAAGCTGCACGACCTTGCGGGATGCTGAGACAGGTATACTGTACATGATCGGGTTATACGAGGAGGGATTAATGGTCTGTACGCCGTGATATGATGTTCCAAGAATGAATGTATTGTACAATATGAATGTTTGAAATGAAAGTGGGAAGTCTCAATTTCTAGCTCTGGAATTTTTTTACAGCATTGATATTGTGCAGCGAAGAAAACTTACCCCTACATGATACGATGTACCACCAACAATTAGGAAGAAAAAGAAACCAAAGAAAACCAGTTTAGAACGTTTCGAGGAGTGACAGGTATCGGAATGAGGAGCTCTTGTCTCGGAAGCTCATAGGTAAGAAGAGATGTGTCGCCAGAGAGCAAGGGTTGTACAAGTATAATATATAAAAGACACTATCAACAACAAAAAGAAAAAAGGGGAGACATCAAGTGTATGATAGTTATGGTTTGAGAGAAGGATAATATTCGTTTTCACTAGAAGAAGTTGGGTAAGAATGACCTGCGTGAATAGTTAGCTCCTTGCTCAGGTCGGTTAATGAGATAACTGCGCCACTTACACTGCACCAAGGCCAACCGCAAATGCTGCGACACCCCAAGCAAACGACTTTTTCTTTGGTCCCATTTGGAACATCCCAACCCTCTTGTTAGTGGCAATTTGCCTTTCCTCGACTTCTGGCTCTTTAAACTCAAATTGCAGTGGTTGTTGCTCTTCTTCTTCCCGTGGTCTCTTCACCACAGAAGCTGGTGCAGCATCCTCCGCTTCGGCCTCCATATCCATTTCCGTGTCCATCACCACGTCTTCCGTCTTCTTTTTCGCTGCTTCACGCTTGGCCTTCAGCCCGTCGATCAGCTCTTTTTGCTCCGCAATATCCTGGCTCATATTCGGCCTTGAGATCTCAATGGTCTCTGCTTCTTCCTCTACGATGGTCTCATCCGATCCACCGGGAGTGCCTACTTCTGCTACCCTTAAAATCTTCGTGGCCTTCACGCTACGCGGAGACTTGACCTCCATCGGCAAAGGCATAGGCGCTGGGCTCTTCGTGCGAGCCGATCTACGCGGAGGAGGAAGAGATGTAGGGGTAGTTTGTCGTGGCGCCTGTACTGGCGCTGGTGCTGGCGAGGACTCTCGACGCCGTTTTGGCGTCGGGAGTACCATGGACTGAGCAGGCGTAGGAAGATGCACTGGTGATTGCGTCTGTGCTTTGGGTGTAGAATTTGCCTTAGTTGAACGGCGATACGAAGTACTTGGGTCAGGAACAGCCTTGGCCATGTGAGGGATAACATGGGTGAGGTTATACGTTTCTGCAAAGTCGGGAAGCAGAGCTACTTCGGGGCTGAGCCAAGTACCCGCCAGTCTGATGATTGTAGGCTCTTTGAGAGAGCCGTTATTCCCTGAGAGGTCATATGCCTCCTTCACCCATGCTATCTCCTTCTTCTCCTCGATGTCGCCAGCGGTGGGAAATGCAGCGCGGAACATCGTTGTGAGGCTGATGGCGCCAGTGTCAAACCGACGAAGTATGAATGCATGTCCCGTAGGCTAAAGAACGTGTTTAAGATAAGCAAAATCAACAAGTGACTCCTACGTACCGTTGGAATCTTCATCCGACCAACCTAGATAGCAGTCAGCTTCAAATTACCAACAATAATGCATTCAACAAGACATACCAAAACCTCGTGTCCGTCACGATCAAGCATTTGATACTTTACAGGTGGTAATTTGTCCGAATCGACTGCAGAAAAAGTGATTTAGCGACCACAGTGAAACTGGATGGCATAAAGTAATTACGAGTCTTCAGATGAGGATTTTCGTGCCGAAGAGGAAGCGTAGGTCGTAGCGGCATTGTGCTGAAGGATGTAGGGTTACGATAAAGCAGAAACTAGCGGAGGCCAGATACTAGGGAATCTGGACGGAGAACAAGCAGGGGCAAAGCAGATCACGTCCCGCACCGTGGACCGCGTCCACTCAACGTGCAACCGTGCGAATTGTCAGCCACTTTTACAAGCTCCGCCCATTATGGGTGGCGGCAAGCGATGCAAAAAATAGGGCGGATTTTATTGAATGTTGTCGATCGATACTAACGACGTGTCAGATGGTTGTGTGGTCTAACATAGATTCTTCAAATGTAACTACCAAAACAAGTGGATGTTGAGTGGAGCATCGCATCTACATAAATACACACGCAATAACCTTGTTTCTATGAGTACATCCATAACCAGTTTATTGATCTAGCCGCTCTCCAATCTTCTTGTTTTTATGTCAACTGTGGTCTCCCAACGAGGGCCTCGACCAAGTCCTTAATATCCCCCCACCATGCAGTCTTTCCCCGCCGATTTTTCATGTCCGCATGCTGGACCATGTCCTTCACAGGGACCCACTTGATTGTCGAACCTTGGATAGTAATCACCGCAGCGCTCTCAGGCTCGGCTTGCTTCACTTTTGACGGCTGCTTTTGCAGTTCATCGTGGTATCGTTCGAGGAACGCCATACACTTCAAGGAAAGCCGTACGGCCCGAGCACGGTCCATCGGGGAAGGTATTCCACCCTGTAAAGTATGCCCCAAGGACGCGGAGCGCGAATCAAATAGGTCACCACCTTCCTCCTTGAACATCTTCGTGACTACATCGGTCGTGTAAACCGACGAGGCAGTCTCGTTACTACAGTATATCAACAATGTCAATCGTCAATAGGAATATACATGGTTCAAAGTACTTACCGAATAACTAGGCGACCTTCACTTCGACCTTTGGCGTCAAGCCCGTAACGCCTCTTTAAAAATCTGACATCAGCCCTTAGCGTGTCAAGATTCATTCCATGTTCTGGAGTATATACAAGACTTGCTCCAGTCTATTCGAGTAAGCCGTTCGTAAGAAAAGTAAAGATAGAACTTGCAACGTTACTTACTGCCAGTGCACCCATTGTTGCCAGATATCCACACTTACCACCTTGAGTTTCCACAACAAAAACCCTATTCCTACTGGCTGAGGCGCTCTGTTTAATCGAGTCACATGCGTCGACCAGTGCATTCAAGCTGGTGTCACTTCCCAAACTGAACTCTGTCAATGGGACATTGTTCGAAAGTGTCGCAGGAAGGTGTACCATCGGTATGTGAAATGCTGGGTAATACTGTCGTCCATTCTCCAATATCATCAGAGCACTAAATGCCTCGAAACCACCGATCATTAGCAGAGCATGGAAATTATGTTCCTGGAAGCGTGCGGCAACTGCTCCGAGATCTACGTCAGGCAGAGTACGATTTGTGCCTAGTTCTGACCCTCCTCGTGCTGTCCAGTTGTCGACTCCAAGCCAGGAAAGCTCGTGGATGTTGTCGTTAAGAAGACCACGGAAGCCATTGTGGATCGCAATCGGGGTATGTCCTTGTCGAATACAGTAGCGTACTGCGGCACGTGTAGCTGCGTTCATGCCCCCTGCTGGCGCTCCCATGCTTTGGCAAGCAACGAAAATTAAAATTAAATAGGGGTGAGATTATACAGTCAAAGCTCACTGCATGATTGCAACTCGCATTCTCTGGGGTCGATGTCTAGGTCAGATATCACATGCAGAGCATCAAATCACGAACCTTCGATTCAGGTAGTTGTTTCTCCTTGTACAGAGCAGCTGTAGAGAAGAAGCCATCCAAACTCTCACAGAACTCCGGATCACGGAGAGACATTGCTTTTGTAAAGTCTTTTGCTGCAATTGCATCTGCGACGGCTCTCGTCTGTGGATAATTGATGAATAAAATATCTCCATTGCCCAGGGCCATTAGATCAACCACGCACCATCGCAACAGCCTCCATGAGTGGCACGCGTGTGATCTTGTTTTCTCGAATTCCAATCATGTAAGATGGCTTTTCTGGTGTGGCCTCAAGCAGTGCATTAACGGCCTCCACACCTTGGAGCGTTGGCTAAAACCCGCATATTCATTTATCAGTTGAATGTCCAGCTGGGATACACCTACCAGAATGCGGTCGAAAGCGCAAGGTCGTCCGCCACGCTGAGTATGTCCAAGGGTTGTAACACGAGTGTCGAGCCCGAGACGATCAGTAAGGACATCTTTCACATACTCTGCACGAATAGGTTGCAGCAATGAGTCATGTGCGCCTTCAGCGACGATGACTATGGTTTTGCGTTTACCGACCTTGCGATGCTGTTTTTGAGAAGTCAACGGGTAAACAAATTTGCATCTCATCTTGCACTAGAGCATACACTTACGCGCTTGATAGCATCGCACATCTCATCCTCCCATGGGTTGGTTTCGGGTGGGCGCTCGGGAATGAAAATGAAGTCAGCACCAGCACTAGCCAAGGTATAATTCAATATACGCTTTATGTGAGAAAGCCTTTGAAAAGAGTACGTACCTGACACCTGCAAGCAGGGCGAGCCATCCACAGTGACGTCCCATGACTTCAAGTACGAAAGCCCGCGAGTGAGACGCTGCGGTGGAATTTATGTTGTCGATAGCCTCACAGATACGATGCAGTGCTGTAGGAGCACCTATCGTGAGATCTGTCATGGACATGTCGTTGTCGATGGAGCCAACAAGTCCGACTATCTTGAGATGTCCATGGCGAGCGACTTGCTCTCCAGAAATTTTGCCTACAGAGAAGATTGAGAAGAACTAAACTTGGCGGTAAAAACATATCCTTGCCCTGAGATCGTAATTCTGCAATAAGCTTAGGCCATTCAGACCTGAACACGTCAGCTCCAGTTAAGGAACCATCACCACCGCATACTACAAGTGCGTCGATGCCCTCCTTAATCAGATTATAGGCAGCAGCCAAACGACCTTCCACTGTCCTGAATGCAGTCGAACGCGCCGTTCCGATGAGTGTCCCACCCTATCGTGACCAGCGATACGTGATAAAGGTAGATATAGGGAGTTAGGTGGTAGTTACCTGCGCAAACCAACCCCTGACATCGTCCCATCCAACTCTGACGATATATCGCCCGATGAGTGTGCGTCCGCCAGGGTGATCACCAGTGCCATCGAGCAAAAGTTCACCATCCCCGAAACGAAGATTGTTGATGAGATCAGCATCGGCTCCGTTCAAAGGTAGTGGTATAGTTGGAGGGTCTTTATTGACATTCTGTGCGTCTACATTACCGCGAACGAGACCTTCATAACCCTCGCGCACAATCCATGTCTCACAGCCTCTAATATTATCGAACGGTAGGGACGTGCGCGTGATCGAATTTTATATAGATAAGGGAATTCCATGGAGTATGTGAGAACAAGAAAAGAAGAGTAAAGAAGGGCTCACTTGAGGATTCCGGCTCTAACGACAGAACGAACCACTGCATTCATACCTGCGCTGTCACCACCGGAGGTGAGCACAGCGAGTTTCATTTTTTGCTGGCCCGACATGTCGTCGGGGATGAGCCTTGCTGATGATGATTTGATTGTTATCGCGGATGTGCAGAAGAGTGGCTGCCTTAAGATGTCGGCGTTAGTAAGGTTAATTAACGGTTATGTGGAAGAACGCTGACGGCTTTTCACCAGAGCAATACCTTTTTGCAGTGAGCTGAGCAGTACTAGTGCGGCCGTTGAGTCCGATCTTTCGACTTCAAAACCCACGTGCGTCACTAAAGCGTAGCGCCAATCCCCGACACACCTTTATGATCTCCTGCCTTGAGGTTGTAACGACAGCGCTGCAATTTTTATGCGAAATATTGAAAATGTTCAGAGAAGACTCATGTCAGAGTCCACAGATCGTGAGGTGGAAAATATGTATCTACATATACATATAGACACGTATACACATACCGCAATTGACAAAGACACCGTGATCATGATGTTCGACTCAAATGGAGAAAACACATGCCAACTCGCTACAAATACACTACCTAATAACCATAAACGTTACAAGGACCAAGACCATTAAACTCGCCAACCGTTTGTTTCAGACATCGCAGGGATCATTGAACACCTCCCCAAGGGAAGAAGATAGGAACAGTCCTACGAAGAAAGAAAAACATATTTAGCAAAGATAATGTCTCATGCAGTACCGTCATTTACCTCTTATACTCCTGCCACTTCGGATCATCCCCAAATTTTTTGTCCCCAGCTCTTTCAAGTGGAGGTACACCGGATGCCTGTAAGATACAATACGTTTAGGTTGATGTGACTGCGATGAGAGAGCAGACAGACTCACGTATCGCGTTAGAAGATAAGTAAACACAGGACTAGCAACAGCGAGAACAACAGAACCGATGGGATAATGGGCTGTCTGAAGCGACGCAGTCGAGAGCGCCCAAACGCCTGTCCAAATACCAACCTCGCCCACATAACTTAAACCAGACAATGTCAACATTGCTACATGTTGGTTGCATGTGTTAGCGGTTGCTTACTTGGGATGCCTGCTCACGCTCCATAAACCTCTGGTTATGAATTTTTCATCGTGCAATTTATTATCTTTCCGGTGACGCCAAGCAGATTTTTGACGGTCGGCGAGGACCTCAAGCATGAGTGACCCCGCGATAAGACCTACAGAAGCGTAATCACGCGGTCCCAAGGGAGGATGCAAAGCCGCTGGAAGAGCGTTCGTCTAAATCAAAGGCGGTTAACGACTTTATGCGGGGCTCCTTGTCAGTGAGAGATATCTACCAAGTAAACAGGAAGACCGACGAGGCAGATCCAAGTTGCTAATAAGTGGTATGAATGCACAGTGAAAGTAAAGAACATATATGCGTCCAAAATACCTTGTGCCATCCAATAATAGGTAAATTTTTTGGGATCATGCTTAATCCTATCGAATCTAGAGTCCCCACCTGCCTTAATTGCACGCTTACTCACAGGGTGGTATAAATATGCTGACAGAATCCGTTCAGATCAAAGATCGACGCACCATGGCCAAAAAGCTGCCCAGCCTGACACTCCACACTCCAAGGGCAGCACTTACGAGTAGCTGGCGAGGAGCGAAGCTGGTGATAGGGGGAAATGACATAGGAATACCATCCCAGAAACGAGCCTTGAGTGTCGGATAATAAAGAGATACGAAGGTCGTGGTAAGGAAGCCGATTGCACCAGAGAGATCGTAAAACTTTTCGTTGGCCTGAGGAACAAAGGTAAGTGCACACGCTATTACAATTCGCCCAACATCAGCTCGTCTTGGGAATCAATAGATAATTAATAAATACCTGTTTGCAGAATGTATGCACTTATGACTGTCGGTACTAGCTTGGAGAAAACGGTCATAATTTTTCCTTAGAAAAACGCGTATAAAACTGAGCAAACGATGAGATTGGCGATGAACTTCGAGTGCCAACGATGGGATTGCGCTTGGCTCCAACATCTCATCATTTCGAGTAAGTAGAAGTCTCGTCACAGATCCGAGAGACGTCATTTCATATCTTATTTTATTTTATATTTTATATTATTTTATTTGCTTCTTTGTAAGCTTACCCTAACCACAGCTACGCAAGATTTTATTCAATTATCTATTATGACCTCATAGCACTACACGCAAATAAAGATTTCCGTCTCTCTTTTCGCTGGCCCATTTCCCCCACAACAAACGCCTTATCCAAGGTTCCTTCACTTTCAGCAGAATGCCCATTGTAGCAAACGCACATCCAGACAGGAAAATCGCCGAGGGTCAACACTCTGACATTCACCATCCCCCTCCTCAGGATCATACCGAGGATCCCCAAGCCTCCAAAGACATACCTGAAACGGGATGGACCGGTGAAATCCCAAGTAAAAATGGCGGGGACTACGAAAAGAACTGGATGCATCAGCCCCCGTATCAGTGGAAGTCCGAGGGAGACAAATTCAAAACAAATTATATCAGGTGAGCGTAAATATTGGGATTAGGGGCAATGCTAAATCAACGTGGTCAACGCAGCGAATGCTGGTGTGGGAATGGTACATGGCTTATTTACCATGTAATTGTGAACTTCCACTAATGTATCACCAGTGTCCTTCGAATTCCACGGAGAACCGGTCGATGCGAAGCACTGTCACTGCCATCAATGTCAACGCCTCCACGGTATTGCTCACCTGTCTTGTGCACGAATGATACTTGACGCTTTTTTCAGGTGCACCATTTCAATGGGCTGTAATTTTTCCCAAGGTGAACTGAAAGTACCCTTCATTTCTGATGCTGCTAACGGAGAAAGTAGACCTCTGTCAGGCTCTTAAGGAATCAAGAAGATAGTCTTCATTGCTTTAGTACGCAGACGTATGCAAACAACATGGCGTCGACGAAGATAAATAACTCACACATGGTTCATTCACTAGCCGGAATGCCACCCATCATGTCCCATGCAAGGTAAACACCTGCATATTTGCCCTATTTGTATTGACTATTAGGGATGCAGGTGTCTTGTAATGTCTGTAGATCGCCCATATTCGATGAAGGAAGGAACACTGTTTTAGCGTATCCCAGTAGCTTTCGTTTCCCCGATCAGCACATTCCTTTGCATTTCCAGCCAAGCTGCCACATCTTCTATAAACAGAGGTGAGCTATAGTGCATGGGGTCGGTAATGGAACACTCATGTCGATTTGTTGCAGAGTGATGGAGGTCCCAGATGGAGTGTAAGTTCCGCGTCACGTTAATATTTCAGCCAGATTATCTGACATATAAACAGCCCGAAATGGTCAGGCCACAAAGACCAAAGTGTTAGTTTGTGTTCCAACTGTCACTCCGTTCACGCTTACAAATGTAATCTGTGACTGTGTAGGAATTGATGCAAGAACTGTCGGATACTGAAGGGTCAGTGCTATACTATTTTCCACTGTCGCATTATCACCGTTTCACTGCTAACACGGTCCTCCGGTCAGCATCATGCCGAAGTATAAGGGACATCTGGAAGACGGACAAGGTTAAGAAAGACTGAGAGTAGAAATTGCAAGTTTTTATATGCGTTGCAATAGTTCAGATGTGTCCTTCCGTATATCCGATCCTTGTATCGTTGCATTACTAGCAGGTACAGAACTCTTATCGAATAACATAGACTCCTATCAGTCCGGACTCATAGTACGGGTAAACCTGCGCCAAACAAGTGTACATTGCTGAATATCTGATTTTCGTTGATTGAACTCCCACGATTGTGACGATAATTTCTCTGTCTATCCATCGACTACTCACGCTGTAGCTTTATTATTTCCTTGCTGTATACCTATAAAAAATATCTATGGACAATCCACAGCATTATCAGCCGTTGTCGCATGCACTCCATCCCCCGGTCGCCGGCGGTTCGCAGTACTCGGGCTTCATTACTACTACCAGTGTGCATAAGGACGCCAATCACAGAGACGTAGAAGAGGAAGAGGAGGAGGAGGAAGAAGAAGATGAAGACGAGGGTATGGTTGAGGAACAGCTTGGCGTGCACGACGTCGATCAGCAGCAAGACAATAACGGTCAACCTTCACCAAGTGCAATTGCAGGAAAACTTAAAGGGTGTGTACATACTTATCTACTTGCGCGACCAGAGAAATAGACCGATAATATTAATCGTATTTGCCAAATCGTGCATATGTCCATTATTTTCGGCGCTAATAGCCCGGCCGATGCCAGTGGTGGTAGCCACATGGAGAGGAGTATCAAGACAACCATGTTGCAAACCGATCAAGAGCAACTGCAGAAACAAGGACTTCAGCATCAAGATGGTGATCATTCTCAACAAAAGCGCCGACCGGGTCGTCCAAGAGGATCCAAGAATAGGAAAGCACGTGCCTCTGCTGGGGATTCTACAACGACTCCCACCAAGGCGAATGCTCCAACACAACATCCTGGATTCTACCAATATCCTCCTCTTCAAGGGCAGCCCCAGCACTCAGATGTGAATCCACACAACCAACAATATTATGAGTTCCAGTGGCGCGTACTTAACTTGTGTGCCGAGTTTTATGGCGCAGCCGAGGAACTTGTTGTGAGTCTCGAGCTTCATCACGTTGTAAACTGTCAGAGTGAACAGTGGATGCTCTGAACTACAGAAAGCTACTCCTTCACTGGTTATAGCCCAGTGCTATCAGATGGGTCCTTCCATCAAGGTGGATCCATTGACTATGCTTAATGAAGCAAAAAGAATTTGCGACAACCTTGTGAGTTCATCAGGTTGCGTGCGTTTCAATTTCAATCGAGTTGTTGAAATGCTTTGCACAATCAGCTCGCTAATCCATCGCGACTAACTACGAATCCCCCACCACCCATCTATCCAGTTATTCCCAGCTTTTCCCTTCCCACGAGCATGCCTCCTACAAATCAACCTTCCGCTTCAACGTCGACAAGCTCGAACTCCAAATCTGCCACTTCGCCAGCCAGTGTCATAACAAATCCTCAGTCTTTCGTTGTCTCCCTCGGAGCACAAGCCCCAATGCCCCCTCCTCCTCATGCCATGACGCACATGCAGTATCCCCCAATATACGGACCTCCCACCGCACAATATCCGACTAGTCCGTACTATCAATATCCTGGCTATGCAACGCAAGGATACTACCCACCAAATACCCAGCCACAGGTTCCAACGTCTGTGTCAGCGCCTCCATCCACTACTGCTGCCTCGCATCCAGGGGTCCAAAATCCTAACATAATTGGATCTGGAGGCAATCAAGGTGCATGGTCCGATGAGGAAACGGAACGGCTGAAGAAACTTGCCGAGGATAGTAAAGCCGTGGGTACGTCTGGAGAAATTGAATGGGACTGGGTTGTTCATCAGTGGGGCAATACTAGAACGAGGTCAGTTTCGCTGAGCGTCAAATATTTCGAGATCATCAACTAAGAACGTAAACTTAGACACCAAATACTTATCAAGGCCACCTCGCTTGGCCTCAAAGAGAGCTCGTCAAGAGGAATTAAACGTCGACGGGAAGCAGACACAATAGGACCCTCGGGAGATAACGTACGGCCTCCGCCACCGCCACCAACCACTAACATGACTTCGACACCATCCAATGTTGAGGCAAAAGTGTCGGCACCGTCTGCGTCGCCATCGCTGAGTCATGCAACGTCAACGCCTGCGACACCTGCTACTCAATCACCCGCTGTCCATCACGCTCGACCTCCATCGACGTCTCAAGCTCCTGTATCATCTACAGTTCCATCAGCTACACCAGCACCAATAAATACATCTCGATTTCCCTTTCCAATGCCCACTGTTGCTGCTAGCACTCCTTCCCCTGTGATAACTGCAAACCAGGTAACGACAGATTCACAGCGAGCTTCGAGTTACTATCGACCACGTCCTAACCAGGCCTCGGCAGCGGCGTCAAGTTCTGCATCACCAAAACCAACGTCGTCTCACGGTGTTCATCAGTATATGTTTTCGCCCAATGGGAGTATGAATAATTCACGTTTAGGGAAGGAAAATGGACCTAAGTAGTCATGACATTATGGATGTTGCTATCGTTCTTGTTGCGCCCACGCTGTTACTTTTCAGAACCACCTCTTTCGTTGTTAATGTCACATGAAGTTGTCGATCGTAGGTCGTTTCACTGGCTGAATCGGCGCCACCCTCTCCCGACCCTCCCCCAAAATCCGTCGTATTTAACTGTTCATTATCGTAATATCTTTCTACCCCTGTTGTTGTTTACTTTTGCTGTAACTCTGCTTTGGCTGTCGGCAGTTCTCTACACCTCTCTGTTACAGCGCTGCAATACTAGAAGACTAGTAAAGCAATTCGACTGAACTTCAAGCTTCAAGGCTTCAACTCGTACTACATGCGGTAAAGGTCTGGCTTTCAGACCATAATTTACCACACAGTATTTTTGACTGAGACTTAGAAACATAGCTGTCAACACTTCCGGCCCATTCATCAGAATTTCTTCGCCTTGTCCAAACGTGCGTTTTGTTGAACACTGGCAAGGTATGATGGCACATTGATTTAATGGTTCTGGCTGACATAGGGATGATTTTTTTTTTCTTCGTAGAAAGCCTGTCAACGCCTTCACAGATGAGTACGTATGTATCCCCAAAGTATTTCTGTGTGACCTTAACACCCCTCACAGGTATTGGGCAGATTATGGCCGTGTCTTCGACGATATGGCAACCCTTACCGAAGACATCCGCACTGTTGTGGTTTCATCCGCTTTCCCAAAAATCTTTAGCGCAGGAGGTTGTGAGTGATGCATTGCTGAATATTCATGATTTTTTCCTTTAAATATCGCCGAAGTTGAAGGGCTGTCCAGCTTAGACGGTCATGATAGTGAGCTAGCAACGCGAGGATATGTTACTCGCAGACATAGTCTAGAGTTTCAACGGGCAATATTATCGCAGCTTATGACATACGCCGCTACGCGGCCTCGGAAACCACGTTTTCTATCAAGGTATATTTAATCGGTTGACAGCTAGATGTGTAACCTGACAAAGTTCTAGGAAGTGGATGTTGCTTTAGCTGCAGATATAGGCACCTTAGATCACCTCTCGAAGATCACTGCCAATCAGTCCTTGCTCAAGAATTAGCGTACACAGCCCGTCCATTTTCCCCCACAGATGCCGAGAAGTTGGGATTAGTCTCGAGAGTCATTGATGGTGGAAGGGAAGTCGTAATGCTTGAAGCGTTGGCACTTGCCAAGGTTATAGTCCTGTGGCTGCAACCGGTACCAAACATCTACTCCTTCACGCTGGGGACCACAAGTTCGTGGTTCATTTTTAGCTTTATGATGATATGCGAATGACATATGTTTACAGTGTGCCTGAAGATCTTGAGTATACTACCATCTGGAACGGGGCTATGGTTCAATCACAGGTCAGTGAACGTGGTCCTTTTATGCCATCTGATCTTGATCTGTATGATCTAAACAGAATTTAAAGGAGGCAGTCAAAGCAGGCATTTCCAAAGCGGAGACATTGCCGGTCTTCCCTCCGTTGCTCAGCGTCCCTTCAAAACTTTGAAGCCATTTTATATAACTCTCTGGTAACTATGTCGTACTAGATTTGATCGGTGTATATTTCTCAATCGAGAGTGATAGGCTATCTGTTTGAAGTCTGATTTGCAAGCATAACCTCCACAAGGGGTGCTTGATAATAACACGTTAATATAGATAGATCATAACGGTCAGAACCAACCGAACGAAATCTCATTGGTTCTCAATACAAAGCGATGTTCGTAAACTGTGTCAGCTTACATTGAACCCTAATATCTCGCTTTTATGCTTTTATGTTCAGAACAAAGAAAAATGACACGACGAGCAGGCATTTACGTGAACATAGAAACCGATAGTCATCGATGTATAAGATCTCTACGATTTGAGAGGTAAGACCAGTGTCCACAACAGAAAGAGAGATTCAGACGTCCGAAGAGGACAGCTCTTTGCTTTGACCTATTTTTTCTCGCTCATCCAGCGCTTCTGGTTCGCTGGGGTTAGTGGATGCGTGGCAGAGTACACCTAGTCGGTTGCGTAATCTGCAGGCTCCTTGTACAATCACAAATATGACACATTCACCCAAAGCGATACCAACGATGTAGGCCGCGAGAAGACCATGCTCCGTTGAAGGATCAAGAAAGGCATAAGCTAGATTTCAGAGATCAGGCAAGTGTGTAAGATGGGGACAAACTGAGCTTACTGTAGAACCCTTCAGTAGCGTAGGTAATGTAGGCCAAGGCAAGATAGCAGGCAAGTATGAAGAGTAGTGGAATGAGATGAAGCCACGGACTCGGACCTGCAGATGTTAGCAGGATTTCGAAGAGTGCAAAACCACTGTTCATGGCATGTTGAGCTACATTAGACCAGCCTGATCAGACTATGATATGTGAGCATTCCCAATGTCAGAGAAGTAGAGAGCGCACCTGAAAACGTCGAGCTAAATGTTGTCGGAGGAAGAAGTACGGACCAGAAGACGACAGTAACAATGATAGCTAAGAAAGTACCTCGTCAGCTCAAATACATTGACAGTACAAAATTCCACATACGGTATGTGGTGATAGTGGAGTAAAGCAATATGTGCAAAAATTGAAGCACTCGAGGCCACCTCTGCAGCGGGTAGCTTTCATTATTGTTCCGGGAAAAGGCTATTGTTTGAACAGCTGCAGCCCAGAAGTAGGAAACGATGCCAATATATGTCAGATTGGTAAAGTAGGAGAAGTATCTTTGGGGACAATGAGATGGAAGCCGTGTTGAAAGTTTAGATAAGATAACTCACCCTCCAGCATTCGGTTTGAAGTGTACCGCGTTGTAGGCGAGCACAGTGACAGCAGTAGCAAGCGTATAGAGAGCAATGACCAGACGAATAACACCGAGAACACGAGGAGAGAAAAAGGGAGACGAAACGAGAGTATGTGCTGGATCAAATGGAACGGACAGCCCAGACCACGCCAACAAGGATTTAAAGCTCCTGCCTGGCATCAGATTGGCGCCAACTTGAAAGTGGGAAGGTACTTACTATCTTAGAGCCCATGGCTTTTATGCAGTATTGTAGTTGCTTCGTTGGCCTCCCGGCGAATTGACGGGCCGTTGGCCGATATGCCGAAATACGACCATCCGATGTGCGGTTGTTTGGCTGGAACCTGTGAACCAAACAAAAACTCATCATGCCGCTGACAAACAAAGGACGCTTTTTGCATCGCTCTTGACTCCCGTTTGTGCTTCCTCGCAGCGCTTTACTCCAAACCATATTCTCGTCGACCACCACCACCCAGACATCCATATTCCATTCGCTCGTCGATATCGACAGCGACCACCGCTTTCGTTATTATCGTGGCGCCTACCAGCCCTCAGATGTTCTCGAGCCCAACTCCAGCTCCGGGAAGTCGTACTCTCGCCGCCAATGCGCTAAAAGGCGCAGGCCTCATCGACCGCGACGAGCGCATGCGCGATATATCCGATAAACCTGGCGGGCGTAAAGGATCTTCGAAGATTCGCTCACATCGATCCCGACCAATAGATGTCTTCAAGGAACAACCAAGTACCAATCGTCCCTCTTCCATGGTAAATATTGAGACTTGTTATTTCCATTTTATTATCCGATTTTCGGGACTTCTCGCACACCCAACTTCCCTCTTATCAGTATCCTATCCCCCTTCCCTTGTATGAGAAAACACCTCGCTCACATTGTTCATTCTGGACCCCCCGTCGACGCTCTCGTATCTTCTTATAGCTTGCCACGCGAATATCAGGCGCTTCGGAAGGTCTGGCTATCCGTGGAGCCTCGAGGCCGACGACGATGGGGCGTCTTCGCAGGAACGCCGTTTCAACGGCTCCCGGTGGAAATCCTGGGAATATGGTATCGTCGTCCGGTCGCATTGCCACCGTTGCCGTCAAAGCTGTAGATATTTGGAGGGAGTTTGTTAATAGGCGTTGGAATCCTGAAGCGCGATTTTTAAATCTTGAGGTATGCATTTAATGTTAAGCTGACCACAGATATTGTCTTGAGGCAACCTAATGTAGCGCATGATGGACGACTCGGAGCTCCAAAAGCATAATTTACTACCCCCAGGCGCCCCAGGGTCTTCACTTCGCGAAGCATCCGTTATTTTCAAACTAGCGTCTCACCTGAAGCCTTCGGTGAGTCACACGACCCTTCCAAGTTTACGACGGTATTTACCGAGCGGTGCTTAGGTGCAAACGTTATCGCTCGCCAATAACAATATCGGCGGTGGACAACTGCTATCTACTCTTGCGCACTATTTACCGAAGCTCGCAAATCTTTCTTTACAGAACAACAGCTTGCGACAGTGGAGAGACATCGACTTTATATCTGGAAGAAAGGGCAAGCTCGAGCATCTCCGGGAATTAATCTTACTCGGAAACCCTCTTCGGGATACAGATATTCAGCATGGACGTGGCGACAAGTACAAGAGGTTAGTGTACCAGCCCAGCGCAATTACAGTGAATTTGAGTAATTGATATCTTTGTAGTGACGTGAGCAGAAGATTCCCCTCTCTGGTCATGCTAGACCAGGAAGCAATAGCCGCTATAGCATTTGATGCGCCGGGCCCTTCATCAGCTCCGGCTGCTCCCAAACGTCCCACTGCCACAACTTTTCCATGCGAGATGGCGCCGTCATTTATCGCTGGTGTAGAAGGTTCTATCGTTAGCAACTTTCTCATGCGGTACGTAGATGTGATATTGTTGTTTGCGTTGCTTAATCATGTTGGTGAATGTAGCTTTTTCCCTATGTTTGACGACCAACGTTCCAATCTGGTGGATGTGTATCATCCAACAGCAACATTCTCGTATTCTATAAACACTGTCATCCCAACACGCGCTCGAATGCAAGGTCTTCACAGTTCAAAGGAGCTGCCGAATCAGAAGAAATTAGAATGGGCCCCTTGGCTCTCCGGAGGTTCAGGTGGTTCTCGGAATCTAAGCAGAATGGGAGGCGGTATGGATAAGATGGTGAATAGCCTACATATCGGCAGTGAAGAAGTCTTGAGATCTATGATGGACTTGCCCAAGACGAAACACGACGTGGCGGGTGCATCGGAAAAGTTTTGTGTGGATGCTTGGCCTGTTGGACAAGGAGAAGGGATGAACTTGTTTATTGCTGTCCATGGCCAATTTACGGAAGGTGATTTTCAATTTGATCAGATGAGGTGAAATTTTCTTATATCGAATTGCATAGCACCATCACAAGGTGTTCGATCCTTTGATCGGTCCTTCGTTTTGGCGCCTGCGCCTCCAGGCTCTCGGTTCGTAATACTTACTCCCGCTTGAACTTTGGTCTTACGATGTAATTTCTATTGTATAGAGCGAAACTCAATGGCTGGGACGTCATGGTTCTATCAGATCAATGGGTCATTCGTGCTTACTCTAGCTATGAGGCGTGGCAGCCGGGACCTATGCGAGTCCAAGCTGGGGAGGTTTTACCTGCTCAGCCTCAGACTGCACTGCCAGCTCCAGCAGCCCAAGCGCAGCTACAAGAAGCCTTATCTGCATTTGTAAGTCTAGTTTTTCCTAATTAAAGCATGAGACTTAGGCTTTTTCTTGAAATAGTCAGAACCTCAGCGTATGCTAATCATGCAGACATGCCAGCGGACCGGACTGAACGTGAAGTTTGCCGTGGACTGTCTGCAAAATAACGCATGGGATCTGGATCGCGCTATCGCGAATTTTGAACAAGTCAAAGTAGGTTTGCTATTTGCTTATATGGGATATAGAACTTACGTTAAATGACATGATGACAGGGAGCGTTATCGCGAGAAGCGTTCCTGTGACCCAAGCATAGTTTTCACACATTATTAGGACATCGTTTTCGGCACGATGGGTGTTCTAATATCAGGACTGTCTTAAACACTTTTTACCACATCAATCTATTTACTTTTGGCGGGCTCAATGTTAGTAAATGTAATGCTCATATCATTCTTGACTTCCTTATCGCAGGCATACGTATCTCTGAATTGCATCATCACCCACAGTATCACACATAAAATTCCACCGCCCTTATTTTCCCATCCAAATGATATATGTTTTGTGATTTTGCCGCACCAGTGGATATCATGACATACAGCACACTGACTGAGAATGTTAAACGAGAATGACGGTTATCTACTTTGAAGACCGTAATAATCGGAGGCCCGTCGACGAGTGAGTCAAATGGCAGTGATATAGATCAGACCTACGATTCTAGAGTGAAGCTAGCTCTTAGCTGTGTGACATGCTGGTTCCTCAGCTGTGCAACGCTAGATATATGTCTCAGAGTACAATGCTGTTTTATTTTTTCTGCGACAGAATCGCTTGCTATTGAGGGATTATTGGAATGTTCCATTGATGGGCGCCTTGAGGCAGACGCGCTTACGGCGAATTTGTTACGACCATTGTCGGTTGCCACACTCCGACTGCGAATACTGGAAAAGTCAATACCAGGGTTGTCCGCGATTTTGATGGCCCGACGCATTCTCTGCCTCGTGCATTATCCCCTGTACGTATACAAGAACCTTTGCAAAAATGCCGTCCCTCATACTTCAAATCCCCACCTCATCTCTGCATGCAATCTTGACCAGCAACATCTAAGGCTTATACATCTTTTCTTGCTTTCTTCCTTTTCTTTTATCTGCTTTCACCTTTCTTCAATACCACTACGAAAACTGACGAAAACCGATGATTCGGGGACACCGCTCTTTAGAAAAATTTCCTTTACTTCAAGCTGCCACTCTCGGCGACGACACTGGTGTTCGCCATGCCCTAGAGTCTGGTGCGGATATCAACATGGCTGACTGTTCAGGAAGGACAGCCTTGACTTGTGCTATCGCGGGGGTTAGGTGCGATTCATGTCTCAGTCATATTATTTGCTGTATGTTCTCAAGTTTTTATCTTTTCGCCCACAGCTGGAAGACCATCGACGCGTCAAACGCGTCTTTTCTCACCGAAAGTCGCCTGAATGCGCTTAAAATCATCGTATCGCATCCAAGCATATCCCTCTATACCCTGAATGCTCCACAGGAGTCTCTCAACGATGTGACTCCCCTTGGGATGGCTGCCTGGCTTAATATGCTTGAGGCAGTCAAAGTCCTGCTTGAAAGTAGCGCAGGAACGGTAGCTGTCGATGGAATGGACATCCATGGAGCTACCCCACTCATGTGTAAGTTTCTCTGGTTTCTCAATTCCACTTATATGCTGAATACGTAGTAGATGCTACCCGGGATGGAAGTTTCCCTATAGTCCAGCAATTGGTATGTTGTTCGCCAAGGTCGATCAACGATCACGAATAGCTGACGATGCTTCTCCTCTCAGCTTGCGCACGGTGCTCGACCAGACATGAGAGATATGAACCACCACACAGCTATCCAGCATGCTCTTCCACACCCTCGAGTACTATGGTCGTGTGAGCATTTTTTACGACAGCATCGCTGGAGTGAGTTTGAGGTGAGCATTAAATGGCAGACCATAATTTGTGTTCTTTTGCATTGTATTGACAACATTGCAATAGGATGGAAACAAGAGAAATCTTTGTTTACCCACTGAACTGCCCATAAGCAAACTCTCACCATACGCTGCTATCTCATACTCTCCAGATTTTCCCTCATCAAACGCATTTTCAGTGGAAGACACTGTACAATTCACCGACTCACTTGTACAAGCTGTTGTAACAACCGATATCCCTGTGCTTTACTCGCTACTGTTTCCACCTCTGTCGCTTTCCACTACACCAAAGACCAACTACGGACCTGTCCTTGTAAACCTACCGGATATCGAAGGCTGGAGTGCCATCCACTACTGTGTCTCTGTACAACCGTCCATCGAAGTTCTCGATGCTCTTTACCGCGCTGGCGCCGACGTCAGTTTATTCACTGTTGCAAATCAGTGGACACCGCTACATTGCCTTGCACGCACTGCCCGGACCACAGACGACCATCCTCACACTGCGTCCTCATTGTATCAATTCGTTGTACACCTCATTCACGACTTACGCGCACCACTCTCTGCTAGAGATCAAAATGGGGAAACCTGTATTCATATTGCTGCCGAGTTCGGAGAATGTATTGAAGTACTGGCAGCCCTTATCGACTGCGATGTCACGGGTTCTATTCGGAATATCCGTAACTCAAGAGGGTGAGTGTATAATCTCCTCGGATACCAATAATTTCCTTCTCACAAATCTTTCCTAGTTTGACCCCGTCGGAAGTGGCTAAACCTTGCTTCCTATCTGTGTTTGGGTTAGATGGTGAGCTGGCTCGACCTCAGTCCTCTCTTTCGGTACGCACAATACGACCTGCTACTTCTCTGACTTCTATACCTTCCATTCCGGAATGGGTACCTCCACCACCAACCGCCCCCTGTACCCCATCGAGCCCTGTGTTCGATGTTGATATTATGTCGTCGTCCCAACTACTATTGGAACACCTTCGAATGACCTCCGTGGGCCTTCAGTACTTCAAACGTCCCACCGAGTTTGACGATCTTCAAGCAACCCTGATGGACACTGCACGAATTGGAAGTCGTGTGGTCTCGCATTTCCGAGCCCAAACGGAAGAGGCCGCCAAGGAACTTCGTGGCATGCGAGAGGCCTTCAAGCAAGTTGACGGCCTGTGGAATCATGTGTCACAAGATTTAGAGGATCAACTGCAACGCCATCCCGATGCAGCCAAACTGCAATTGCTGGGGCGCAATAGAAGACGCAATAGAGGTTCGGAGGATTCGCAAGCTACGGCCGTCTCGATCGAAGGAGAGGTTTGTGCCGACAAGCCAAAAACGCAATCACAAGTAAATCTCGACTTGCAGTGTACTTCCCCGTCCTACAAGGACGTATCCGTATCGACGGAACCGCCTGCAAAGCAGATTATCGAAACAAGGCATCAAGTTACCGGTCTGCGTACCGTTCCATGGCCAGAATGGCTTGATAGTTTTATCCTCAACGCAGACTCCTCCACCTACAAGGCACATTTGGATAACCTCCTTGAAATCGAGGAGCAATTGTATCCCCGTGACGCGCCACATGCGGAGGAGGTCCCGAGCGCAAACTCGCACAAGGAACACAAAATCAAGAATTTGTTGAAGGGCTGGAAAAAACAAGTTACCCCTGCCGAAATTATTGAAAAGGGCAATCCGAAGGTGGACAAAAGCGGCGCGTCGAAACTCAAGACGTGGATGAAGAAAAAGGTCACCACCGAAAGTCCTCTCAACCTCGAACTGGTCTATGACCTTGATGATCCGCAATGTGCAGTTGCCGGGGAGGTCAAGAAAAATCCACCTGTAACGGACGACGCTCAACCTTTGCAGGTTACTTCCCCATCCCAAAAACCAACTTTACCTGAAGACTCGCTACGTTCGTGTCACGGTACGCTTATGTCGGCCAGTCGTGATTTGTCTAGCATTGATGAACACTTGAATATGGTAAGCAATCAGCAAATATGTTTCAGGGTCACATCTTATTGTTTTTCATCAGGTTGACCACTATATATCGACTGCGTGTCATTCGATCTCTCGGGCTGAGCGGATAATCAGGAGGGCGCTCGAGGTTAGTTGTCCCCTTCGGGCCAAAGTCGGGAGTAGGTCTAATCTGGTCTGATGCCGTGTTTTTAGACCCGAGAAACCAATCTAGAGCAATTGCGCGTTCGTCCTTCTGAAAACTATGGAGACATTTTTGCCTTTACCTCTGTCACGTTCGACTCCGAGTTTGCTGGCCTGCCTGGCCACTACGGGCCTTCTTCGTCTTCTTCGTCACCCGCTCGTAGTACCACTTCATCAGCATCGTCGTCAGCCCGATCTTCTAACGTGTCGCTTGCTTCAACTCTGGATAGCGAAGAAACCGAAGATATCCGGGCGCTGCGGAGATTGTTGTTGCGCAAAATAGATGCACGGGTGGGAGGTGCATTCGACGAGATCGATAGGGCCAGTACCTGGCTCCGTGTCGTGAGGGAGGTTCTCCGCGATATAAAAAAACGGACCCCCTTGTAACTTATCAACTTGGACGGGACCTTCCGTAAAGTTATTGTAGTAATGTATTTAGTGTATATTACCCATTGAACACATGTTGTAGCTTGTATACATAGTCATAGCATAACTATCTATCGCATTTCGTTGACCAATCATGGTTTGGCAAGAATATATATGACTGTAAAATGCAGAAGGGTATATTATATAGATCATTATCTCACTCTCAACTCGGTCAACTTGAGTGCGAAAGCTTCCCGACATTGATAATGGGTCACTTCGCCACTGTCATTCCATACTCAATTAACAAACTTGTAAGAAGTAACGAAACATTTCTTACCGAGGGGCATGGACAGCTATCACGCTATTTCCAATCCGCTTGTGACACTGCGGACATCTACAGCACAGTCAAGTCGCGAGCTTCGAAGATAACAAACAACGTACATTCGACTATCTGTGACTTTAACCCTCCTCGTCTCCAAAAGCATTAGCTTGCGAGCAACACTCTCAGCCCGAGCTTTGTGGATTTCGCGTACAACATGCGTATCAAAAATAGGAGCACGAAGAGTTTCGAGTAAGAATGTCTGTACGTCTTGGGTTGTAACAAGAGGAGGCAAAAGCTGCAGGGTCTCCACTGAGTCCAACCGAGGACTATGGCGACTAATAAGATCCAATGCGGGCTGCAATAGATTTGATGAAGTTTTGACCGTGGGTCGCAGGTATATTCGAAGAAGTATCAAGAAGACGTTGCTAGTTTCAGTACCAGGCTGATAGACACGTTTACAGTACCTGAAGAACAAAATGTGAGCGTTCGGGAGCGGTAAGAGAGACTATAGCTGACTCTTCCGCTTTAGAATAATCTTGTAGCTTGTAAACATAGAGCTCTAGTGCATGCTGGTGCTTTCCCATACGACCCAATAAGATAGCCCTTGCTTCAAAGAGGTCTAAGCGAATCGCATTGGAGTTCAGTGACATATGGATGAAAGGGATAAACTCAGCTTGCCTTCTGAAGATAACAGTCCATACAGTCGATCGATACTGAAATGATGTGTTGTATTGATAAATTCGAGAAGCTTAGCGTAAATTATACTCCGTATCTCTACAACGGGTGTATTCATAAAGGTAATAGAGCAAGGGGATTAAAACGTACTTTTATCCTTCCTTTTTTGAGCAGTCAGCGTCATACTCAAATAGAGCTCTACCAAACGATCGTGAAAGACTTGGCTTTCTTCGCCCTTCTCGTCGATCAAATATTCTAGAAATCGAGCGCACAACTGCGGGTCAATCCTCTCCAGATAATCTGCCACGGGTGATCTAGGCAACTCGACGTCTTCGGACGTGAAGATCTTTACAAGCACTTAAGCGGAACAGAATGTGGCGGTATGGGGAAAAGGTACCTCGAATGCCATATCACGGTCCTGCCCGAACACCCAGCGAGATGATTCAAATATCTGTTCTAAATGCTCTGGTCCTAGTTTCTGAAGGTATGATATTGATGGCTGCAGTCTATCTCTTATATCCGGCTCATTCTCATTTAACCTGTGGAGGATTTTCTGTTAGTGAGTTTTTAGCTCAAGGGATGACGAAAACTTACTGTCGTAAAAGATTCAGGGCCTTGGAATGCATCTTCTTCCCGTTGTATAAGTAAATGAGTTCCGCATGTTTCTGATAAATCATCATTAAATACGCAAAAACTGACAGGACATAAAGCTTGCCTCTCGTGCACGAAGCTCCTCCTCCACTTCGGATACTTCACACCAATTTGAAACACGGCAAAGAGGTCCTAAGAGCGTTGGTCGTGTTAATAAGTATGACTTGAACAGCGCAGTATCAATAATCTGCGCGAATCGCAGTAGCTGCTCTGGTGTCAAGGAAGACAGTGGAAGGTTTGGTAGTGCAAAAAGGTCTTCAGTAGATGTCTCTGAAAGAAATGCGATTTGATGAGATTGGGCAGGCGTGATATGTACGACAGCCAAGGCTCCCGCCACCTTGGGTCTTCGATCTGTAAGGTAGCGGAGTAAAGTCTCAACCGAACGATGAAAGTCGTCTGTTGACAATGGTTTAGGAGTGATGGCTTAGACGGTACGCGACACATACCATTGGGTTTCCGCCCCTTCCGGCTACTGATAGATGCTGCATCATCATCTTTGGGACCCGACGGTAATAGAGCAGCAAAAGATGTTTTCGTCCTTTGCCTTACTGATCCAACAGGAGACGGTGATCTTTCTAGGGCGTTTCTAACCAATTTCTCCCTGATAGGGTCCTTTCCCTCTTTCGATGTATCACTCGACGAGGTAGACGTCGTATCTTCTGGTTGTGTAGCGGGTCCACCGTAAAGAGGAATCCAACTGTCACGAGGAACTGACAACCGCCCAGACACGCTTTCAGGATAAAGCGCAACAACTTTAGCCGGGTTAAGGTCCAATTCAAGAAAAGTATTGATGGCATCGTCATACTTTCCCAGGCTGAATTGCGAGACGGCATGTAGGGCTCGAATTGGTGTCCTCCGCTCGTCCTTAAAGCAAACGTCATGTGCCAAATCATCACTGTTTCATAATTTATTATTCACCTTATCACTCAAAACCGCGCTATCAATCGAGTCCAGGAGTGAAAGAGCATCAGAGTATAATCCACTTTGCACAAGTTCGTCTAGTTGATCCCCCCAAGGTTTCATGCCAATTCGCCATATAGAGGTACCTTCAGTGGCGGCAACGGTACGATCCGTAGGGGTCGTGACGACGTACAAGGGAGATTTAGCTGAAGGCAGAGATGTCATCAGCCTCATTGTGCAATGGGCGGTCGCTGTGGCAGGTGGGGAGATGGAGATTGCAGTGCCAAATGGAAATGGTATGGTCTGGGGAGGAAGATTTGAGATTGATGAACGAATCTGAACAACGTGGGAGGGAAACGTAGAAGGTTGGGTTGCTGAGGCTGACATGTGGGTGCTCCCTGCTACAGATACCGGGACTGTACCTGGCGGTAAAATTGAAAATATATACGGGCTAACGAAAGCTAGAACAGGTGCTCAACATTTGCAACATCAAGGCTGCAATATTTCATACCAATTTCCTCCGGAGGACTGGGCCAATCGATAGTATTCGTCCTTGTTTGCTTTCCTTCCGCACCAACGATGAACCCCTGATCTAAAAAGACGGTTGATAATCTTACAGACAAGAATAAACAATAATTCTTACTATCTTTAACTATGAGAGCCTCAGTGTCATTAAGTCGAATGAGTCCAGGTTTTGCTTTGGCGCCCAAACCCAATGTCATATAACCAGTGAGTCCCGAAAAGGTTCCCATTGATGTGGAGGCGGTGACTGGCGTCGTGACTTCTACCGTAGTGAGCTTCGCAATAGAGAACACGGCGTATTCAGTAGGGGAATACGCAAAACAGACGTTATCATTATCGAGGAAGACGATCGCCCGAGGTGAATGTGGTAAGACGGCTTCCTTTTGGTATACCATTAACATCTACTCCTCAAGTTTGAACGTAAAGAAGATCATACCTGTACTTCTTGTGTTTCTCCATCCCTCCATGTATATATTACGACCTTCCTTCTACACCCTATTATGACCTGCGTCACCATCGTGGGGATTGCCTTAGCAAATTGCCCATCTCCTGATTGAGGACCGGCTTCAGGCATAATGTCCTGTACGGAGGAATGTACAGCGAACGATAATGCTCCTTTTGCTTTAGCGAGCGGTGTTGGTGGAGCAAAATTAGGAATAGGAAACAGAGTAGGCAAACCCTCTGCTGGACGACTAGGTAACAGTGCGTGCATAGAGCGATCGTATCACTCACCAGATAGAACAATCAGAGAGTTAATATCCTTGATGAATCCTAACTGCTCTATGGACCTCCTTGTAAGACTCTTCTTCGTTTCAACCAGGCTTGCGATAGCCTCGCCTTCGCCTGTAACCAGCTCAGTCGTGTCTCAAAACATACATCAGCGAGACAACGCACTTGTTGAATCATCAATAGAGTAAACGTGAAGATTTCCTGTGGCAGTTCCAACATATAATCGGTCTCCTGCTGATCAAAATCAGTGTATGGTCTGGGTACTACACAGTGGAATGACATTGCCTTGCACATGCAGAGCTTCCGCTCTTTCTCTGAATCCACTCAATACGATGCTGGGACTGTCAAATGGTGCCATGACTAGTATGCTTCAATTGTGCATCAAACAATGAAGGAAAATATCAATGTTCACTATTCACCACGATGTATGCGTGGACGAACTTGAAGACGAGCGCCGCACAGAAATGGTTATACAGTAATACAGAAGTAGTCACGTGCACGTCCGTATTGTAGGCTCTATGCGCAATAGTCGTGGATATGTACTTTACAGTAATTCTGTTGGTAAGTTTCTATAGCCAAAGGTAAAATAGCTATAGGGTGATATGGTGCCGTGAACTAGCTTCCTATTTGGCTGGAAGCCCGGAAAAATAGTCTTCTAAGTGCTGGATCATTTGCTCCACCTTCTTCAAGTACTTCTCAATATTCTTGACAAGGATTTCCTTGTCGATAGGAGGATCATGATCCAGCCCAAAGTCGTGCCGATAGTTAACACAAAAGTCCTCCATCGAAGCACTTGAGATATTTTTTGAGACACAAAGTAACGCTTCAGATAACAGGTACTCACCCTTCCTCCTTAAGCTTCATTGCGCGAGCGTTTTCCCATTCTGAAATATCTTTCATCCACTCTATACTCTCATTTCTGACCACAAGCATGTCTTTCTTCTCTGTGTCGGAGAGATCGAAGTGTAACATAAGAGACGAGCTCTCGTCACCCCCAGATAACGACGAAGGGAAGTATTGTTTTAAACGTTTTGGCAGAAGCGATGGGTCAGACGATGGCCAAAGATGGTAGATATCCTAATGCAGTATTCAGTCAGAGTCAACCAAGCTAAAATGTTTGCTTACCAGTTGACAGAGATTGAAAACCAGGAGCATATATCTCCTCCTATCCTTAATGCTCTGCTCCTTATAACGTAACAGTCGCTCTTCCTGAGAAGGCTTCAGGACTCTGACGCCACTATTGGGTTGCTGTTTGTAGAACTCGTTCCATACCAATGCATCTGCAGACTGTTTTAACGCCCTTTGCCTAAAGAGGTCGACATTGGCGAGAAGGTCCAGCAAATCCGTGATTTGCTCAAATAAAATATTTGGATATAAGATATTTCTGATCGCATAAAACGAAACAGCCGGAGGTGGACAACAGTCAGCGAGACGCGTGTTAGGTATTATGGTCTCTCTGACGTGTGCTAAAACCGTATAAGTCAAGGCAATTTAGACGTGAACATAGTAGGGGTCTGGGGCGTACTGTATATTTCTCGACGAATCTTCAAGTCCTCTTCTCCATTTAGCTGAGATACCAACTTCCTAAATTCATTCATGAGGCTCCTCAAGAAGTAAATCCTTTAAACAGTGGCCTCGCGCAAGATGCACTTGGAATCTTGTATGGCGATAATACATAACATGAGTCGAGGAAAACTCAGGAAGCGCGACTAAATGTCCAGTGCGCACATGTCACGTGACCGTGACTTTGCACCACATTGCGTCCACTCACTTCAAGCTCGAACTTTAGTGAGTAGTATGCGTTTAGACTTCACCTAGTGGTAATTATCTACACATACAACGTTAAACCCATTTGTCAATAAGCCATCCCTCAGCAAGTTACTCTTCTTCTTCAAGATCAAAGAATAAGCAGGGTCCTTGAATGATCTTCTCTTGGGCGCTGTCTTTTATCGATGCACTTATCGCTACCTCCTTGAACTCCTTGGTGGGTTCCGGCGTAGCGCATGTAATCTGAGTGTCACACACGGTTTCTTCTGGTGATAAATCCATGTCTCTTGAGGCGATCTGAGTTCTGTGATTGATAGGGTACCAAATCGGATCATCGCCGTGACAGGTAGAGACGTGATGGGTCGCCATCGCTGGATGTTCGCGATCCGCTGCAGCATCCAGGGGAGCAACCTTCTCGGGAACTCGATCTTCCAAACCGAACCACTCGTCCTTTTTCAAGCCCGGGGAACAATGATTTTGTTGGAGTGATGGTATGCCACCTGGGCTAGTGGACCTAGCCACTTCTATACCGTCCAAATGATCCAACAGACTTTGGTTTTGATGTGCTTCTGTTCGAATTACACGGGAAGGTAAACTAAATGGAGAGCATTTGACAGGATCATTTTTATTCGATGAATGTTGTGACTGTACGTCCGGGGAACGGTCTCGATGTGCTTTTTCAACAACCAGAGCACTCCGCTGGTCATGTATAAAAGTATCGTCTGAACCGACGTCAGCGAGATACACCAGTTCATCTTGGGGCGTGCCGCCTTTTTTCTTCGAGCAAGATGGGAGTTTCAGAATTTTGCCTATTGTTGCCCATGGGTCATCGTCGTTAGCAAAGTCAATCGGCAAGACATCCAGATCATTGCAAGGGATTCCATATGGAGAATCATATCCAGGGTTTTCATCCCAGGCCTGTTTGCTTATGTTTATCGATTGTTTCATTCTATTGGTTGCTGGAGGTGATTGATGTTGACGCTTATCAGAATTACTGGACGAGCCCAATTCGAGATACCGGATAGGAGAGCGCGAGCGCATACCGGAGTGCAGCTATATATTGGACAAGCTAGAACACCGTGTTAAAGAGTACGAACGAGCTTCACTTACGAAGTGCTCGGAGGCAGGAGGCGAAGTATCCATGTTGAGGATTGACATGTCAGAATCTTGAGAATAAAAGAGCGATAAGGAAGGAGACTCTTCCGACGTGCTATGGTAGCTTTGTATCGAAGAAGGCAATGTTGTAGCACATTCACCGGCCTGCAAGTTGGGACCAATTGCCAAGGTTTCGTAGCTAGGACTCCGGTACCAAGGTTGTCCATTCACGACATATCCATACTGAGATTGATGGCCAGAATTATCGTTTACATGTTCCACGCTATAGTCCTGAATCATTGCATCAGAATCTGGCACGGATTGTGCAGAAGGGAAGTCTGAAGAAGTGTCAGATTGCGAGGAAGGAAAATCTGGAAAATTCTGATAGTGCTCTGCTCGAATAGTGACGTGCGGCCTCGCAAAGGAACCATCCGAAGGGCTATGAGCCTGCGATACCAAATTATCCGCTGAAACATACGATGAATTAATAAATCTAGAGAATATACCTGTCCAGTCCACGAGGCAAGGGAAATAGGACTATCTGATTGATCGCTCTGCACAGGATGTCTAGAGCTACTCGACGATTTGGAAAATGGAGAAGAATAAAGTCTGCAGGGTACAATCCCCATATAATCTGGAATCAAAAGAAGACGATCGATCTCAGCTTGAAGTGAAATCGCTGTTAGAATGGATGAGCATTAGAAGCTTCAGAGGACGCAAGATTCAGATGCAAAAGGCACACGTTCTGTAGTGTCCAGTACAGTAAGAACCTTTGAAGTTTTCTGCTCTGAAATTGATGGCGGTTGTCGACTCAGACGCAGTCTCTTCTGAGGTGTAGCCAATATTGGTGGCAGTTCATGAGCGGCAATATCTCGCTGAGCATGAGCCAAATTTATATCTGTTAGCGCAGATCGAAGAGTATGCAATTTGCGCGATGGGCCTTCCTCTTCAAGTTCAAGTTGCCTTTTGCAAAGTAATGCAGAAAGGCGCTGTCTTCCAAAATGGCCCCTCTGGGCTCGTCCTGTAGCATCCCGTGTCCGTGCCTTCGCCGCGTTTCTATACAAAATTAGTAATATCCACAGCATCGACATCCTAATCTGCATGTCTGTGGTATTGCACTAGTAGAAAACTTACCTTTTCCCTCCCATGTAGTTCGCTCCCGTCATGATTCTGGATGACAGACTTGCAATAACATATATTTCTTTACTGGGTAGTCGATTACCTGGCAAATATATTACATAAGTAATTTGCACGCCCAAGATGGATGTTCCCGAAGATTGTGAGACTTCCGACACTCATAGAGTCCATACGGGAACAAAAATCTATTCTGATTTTTCTCAAATTTTGGCGCCACAATAGATGCCGCAAATCCTAGGTGGTGCCGTGCCACCACTTTGTACTCCCCTTGAACTCAGACCACCATAACCTAAGTTATGCTGAACGGCAACTGTATGCCTAAGAGAAAGGCCTGTGTGAGGCTTCCCTCACCTGCAGTGGCCAAACAACCTCAATACTGGGATGAACAAGAACTCCTCTAACATGTCTTCTACATCATTTCTTGACCCTCAAGCTCCAAGATCTGACACTGTGTCTGATGGTGAAGAGACTACTATCATATCAACAAGTACAGGATCCAAGGATCATTATGTGTGGTCCGAGAAGGACATATCTGCTTTGATTCAGTTCCTCAAAGCCAACTTAGCAGCGGCTGCTGATGGTGGAATGTTCAAGAAGTCTTTCTGGGCACCCTTACTCAAACAATTTGTGGAAACGCATACTGCAGGTGCTTCCAAAGGGTGGGAGGCTTGCAACAGCAAATGGCAAAGGGTACGTGCAGATCGTTCACAATCTACTAGGATTTACACCACTGATAATGATATTTACTTTGTTAAAAGCTATCCACAAGAATGTCAAAACATAATCGCAACAATCTGGCTTCCACTGGGATAATGAGCATGGTGCAGTGATTGGCATTGCAAGTGAGGCAGTCTGGCATGAGTATATTAAGGTATGTACACTATCTATGCAGATCTAACACTGCTGATCGTATGTTAGAAACACCCTGGAGTTAGTCGTTTCCAAAACAAAGGCTGGCCTCATTTTGACGCTGTGGATGAATTATTATCTGGCCATGGTGCAAAATGCGTGAATGTATTCCATCCTACTCCACTATCTGTACCTATAAACATGCAATCATCGTCTGTATCAACATCTGCTAGTGTTCCTTCGTCTATAGTCCCTGCCCCCCCATCTGTACCACATACACATGTCCATCCTAGTCCTCACCAACACAACACAGACAATGGCTGGGCAGCCTCACCTCACCAACATCAAGCCTCAGCAACCAATGTCACCGGTAGTTTCTACCACGCAGGGATCCATGAGTAGTAAACAAAAAGAGCGTGCATCTGATGCGGAAACAGATGATGATGCCATGTCAATTGTGACTTGCTCAATGAGTGCAGGCATTACAGTGAGTGGCCATTGGTCCAAAACTGCACAAGTCACATCGGACCAAATGACCGCCAATGCACTTACTGGGTTGAATAATACGTTCACCCAGTTTGTGCCAATAATGAAGGATATCACCGACACAATCTGGCATGAGTTTGGGCCTGACTAGGCTTATGCCCCTGCTATTCCCCCTTCTATGCAACCTGGGCCCTCAGATGTGCCTCCAACTCCTGCCTCATTTATTGCAGGCTTTCCCTTCGACATCATAAAACAGCCGGCACACATTTGGTGAAGCATTGCCATCCGGGGCTTGCAGGAACTTGATAGCAAACTCGACATCCCTACATTAGTCAAGATCATCATCATATTTCAGCAGAACATTGGGATAGTGGATGCTTACCTGAACATTTTGCAATGGGAGGACTTGCATATGGCGTGGATTAAGTCTGTTGTAAAAGATGACAATTAGTATACAGTTTTTTTTGTTTAAAGTTACCATTATATGCTATCCCTGTTACTCTTACAATTGCAATCGTTTTGAGCAGTAAGAAAACTGACTGATTCATAGCTTGAAAAAAACAAAACAGCTAAATAATACCTCTATGATGCAACTCTTCCTGATAATTAGCCCACATCAACCTGGCTATTCTATCCCGCCTGGTGCTTGCATCTGAACATTTGGCTAGAGTGAGTGGTCTGGCAGCAAGTGTACCCATTGTAGCATCGGGAACTGGGTCATCTATGTTGTCAAAGCCATTGATTTTAAGTGGGTCATGGACCTGTATGAAATTATGGATGAAGCAAAGAGCAGGGGGGATATGGGCCTGAATGGCCATGCTATATTCAGGGGGAAGGAGCAGTATTCAAAAATGTTGTTTGAGGATGCCGAAGATTTGTTCAACCACATTTTGAGTAGAGGAGTGTTGCAGATTATAGTATTCTCATGAGTTCTGTGGTCTGAAAGACTATCAGTGCAGACTACACAAAATGAGGGCACACTTACCGGCAATCCCCTTGAGCATATTCAAGTTCCTGGAGGTGGTATTGCTCACCACAATAGGGAACAAGCAGCTGTGGGCATGATGGAAAACCAGCATCCGCTAGGTAGAATCTACCTTATGGAATGCACAGACTATTCAAGTGAGTGTCATGAAATAACGCCACATCAGCTACAGACCCTTCCCACCCACTCAATATGTAGGTGAACCTCAAGTTGAAATTGCAACAGGCGAGGCAGTTTTGTGACAGCCCACCTTTGCAATTCTGAGAGGCATCATACTCAGCTGCAGATGGGATACACACAATGTGCGTGCCATTGATAGCTCCAATTGCTCCAGCAAAGCAGCAGAACTTGGGGTTGTCAATAATATACAATGGGAGAGGGTTGTTTTCACCCAGTAGATAGACGTAGGTCCCATAAATCCCAGGAGATGTGATTGCATATAGAATCTGTTTGAAGTAGCTAAAAAAATGATGTTGGAAAAGGAAAAAATTGGAGTGGAGGGGCACACACCGCAAGATTGTATCATTTGAGCGTTGGAAACGCTCGCCAAGATGGCAGACAGAAAGTCCAGTGATAGATGCATAGAGGAATATGGCAAGTTGTTCCTTGAGATTAACATACCTCAAGTCTGTGTAGTGATGACGCTGCAAAAGCTTGATTAGCCTGAGGAATACATGTTGCTGAACACCTAGCTCAGATCAAATTTGATCAGGATGGCCATGTAAAAGCTCCATGACCCATCTGTGACTGCTCAGGATGGACATGTAATATGGGATAGGAGTACTGGAAATTACACAGTCGTTGATAACAAGAATGGCTGACTGGATAACAGTCTGAAGCGTGATGATGAGGAATAATATCTGTTGGGCACAGGTTAGTAGTAAAACTCTACGTCTATATAACCTGGTAGCCTCGCAATCCTCCCCCTCCCCCCCTCCACACTCTCTTGGTGGTCTTCATCCATCTGTTCCCCATCCTGATCAGACTCTATTGCACTGTGATGTACTGCAATATGCTGCAACATTATCAACTGCCAGTGTAAGGCCAAGGTTATCTGATCTGAGTTCTAATTATTTGGCATGGCACCACCTAGGATTTGCGGCATCTATTGTGGCACCAAAATTTGAGAAAAATCAGAATAGATTTTTGTTCCCGTATGGACTCATAGGCATTAATCCTGAGAGTATCTGCAAATCTGCAAGACATAAAGGGATTTTTACTCTTGGCTTTTTCAGAGGCCAAGAATCAAGGGATTTGGAAAAAATGATGATGAAATGGCAGCCATTTCAAAACAATGGCTTATCCAGAAAGTTTTATTGACTTTAATATAGAATACCAGCAATCACCTCTCTGTGATAATTCCATATATGTCTTCAACCAGCCACTTTGGATAATTCATCTATATTGTAATCAACATGTTTCAAGCAAAACTGCACCACTATGTATAAATTAGTGGATAACAAAGTATTGTCTGATAAATAGGGGTAATCCTTGATATGTTATTAGAATTATTTTTGTTGGTGTAAAACCTTGACCTTAGACCTTGTTGGGAAATTAACACCAGTGACATAAATTTATGATGAGACAACCCACAATATTATAACAATATTTTTAAAATATAAACTATAGCCCCACTATAATATATAGTGCCTGATATTGTAACTACTTTTAGGCTTTTTCATCAACTATATAGTACACATGTACATATAGTCTGTAGTTGTATATATACCTCAATAGATCAAGGAGACTCCTCCCTCTCCTAGTGTATACCAATATTAGTGATGACAACCTCCCTCCTTTAATAGGTTGTACACTTCTTTTCCTCCATTGAGTGTAAAACTGTGCTCCAGTGCCTCAAGGTAGCCCCTTGGTGTTATTATAACACATTTTCGGACCTTCAATTTTCATTCTCCCCTTTAACCTTTTACTGTAGTTTTCACACTCCGTGCCATGTGGCACTTTCCTTTTGTTCAAACTACACCTTCTCGCGCCGCGCTGCCTTTCTTTCTATTTTAGATACAAGTCTCTCATGCAGTGGAGCTGGTCATACGGGCTAGGCCATATGACATCATCAGCCACTGCCTCTAGCAACTGTATAGTACATACGTTGTCATGCACCAAAGTTGATTAGTAGCATGGACAGGTGTCAATAACAAAGCGAATATTCAAAAAGACTCGCCTTTGCGCCACACAGGCACAGTGCCACGTGGAATAGTAATTAATATTGCCTTTTTTGAACTTGTGGCTGATCAGTACCACCTCTATTAGGCAATCCAGTCACGCTCACCTTTGCTTTTCCATTCGGTACTTTCCGCATTTTGGCATTTCAGCAAATTTTTGCATCACCACTGGCTACACATTGCATTGCGCCCTCGCTTTTGTCATTTCCTTCACTTCCCTTCCTTTGCCTAGCCCCACCATGGGTCCCTTACTCTCGTTTTTATTCTCACCCGACGGTCATTTCTGGATTCCCATTCTAATCCACTTTTCCGTCACCTCCACCCTCCTCCTCCTCATCTTATTTGCACCCCCACCATTTCTGATGTCACCACTTCCTATCCGCTTCCGTCGCCAATCCGTCGACTACCACGTGCCGCTGCTGATATCAGCAAAGCCCCGGCGGCCGGTTCAAATAGGGCAACAGGTCCATCTTTATGACGTCAATCTACCATCATATACTATCAAAACATCGGTCGCTCGTCTTGCCTGGTTGGAGCGTGGGTGGGTAGTTTTTGAGCTGGAGAAGGTTCATCCCCTTGCATCGCCCATGTTCATTGCTGTCCCATTCACTTGGGTACACTTATCTTTTGTCCATCGTCTTCGCTACAGCTACACCTACCACACGCTGCCTGGGACTCACTTGTTCCAAATTGGGACTACTCCTCTCCCTCCCTCGTTTGACCAGGTGGTCCAACACAACCAGTCCATTGGTAAGGCCATGGAACTGTCGGATTTGGACTAGGTGGTGGACCGGTGGCTCCAGTTTCTTTTTTTTCAGCAGAACATTCATTTACAGTGCGATTATTTTTGATTTTTGTTTCATTTTTATGGACACATATTTTTTAGAATGCCTGACTGACAATAAAGGAACTGTGTTGATACTGATAGTATTTTGCCTTGCCCTTTTTTTTTACTGCATCTTCCCATGACATCATGATTTTCCTGCTCTCTTTTTGCTATTGGACTTTACTTTATGGCTGTACAAACCTGTGACATTACTCACAGCATTCATTGTTCTATCCCTTTCTTTTCCTTTTTTTGACAATTTTATCCTGTACTACCTACGCAGGATTCATCAGCGTACATTCCTTCCTTCATGTTCTTTCTCATTCTTTTTGCACAGCTATACTGTGCATAGCCTACTTTTCTTTTACTATATAAACCCCTGTATTTTACGTTGTAAAAACAACAAAGAACTCAAATCCAGACTTCTTCTCTAATCTCAAGTTCACTACTCTGCTACTTGTGATCCAGTGTGGTCACAACACTTCCCACTGTTACTACTGTTAACTGCTGTCATTGTCACTCGTCACTTTTGAAAGTGATTGTTATCCCTTTCAATTAGAGTCCTTCTGAGCACTACAGTCTGTGCATCAGGAGCCTGCTATCACTGGGAACCTCATCACCTCATCATATTGTCATTCTCAAACCTACCTTGTGCTACTATTAGCAAGGTAGTGTTCGTCTATACTCGCCACAAAGCCCCTATCTTTCTGTATTCCAACTATCCCTCCTCCTCAAAACCACACACCCATACATCTTTGGGTTTTACTTTGAAGGATCGATATATGTACCACCCCACAAACAACCAGACCACTCCACTGTTCTAGGAGGCAAAGCCCATAAACAAGTTCCGTGGAATCTGGGAGGATTGTGTGTTAGTTTGTTTTTGTGTGTGTTTTTTTCTAACAACAGTTCTCATCATTGACAGCGGTGACTCATTCTCTGTGTTCTTGATACTTGACCAGAAAAAAACATTTGTGCGTGATGCAGCTACCCGCATTAAGTGTACTGTCAATGTCATAAATGGGGATAGACATATCTAATTTTATAAGGGGGGTCCAATCTGCTCTGCCCAGAGCTGATCTATGAAAATACCATTAGCACCTGGATCAAGCAGTGCGCTTGTTGGGTGTACTATTCCTCAGGCAAGGCCTTCCACACCAACATGTAAACATATATTTTTTTCGGAATAAATATGTGTGCATCAGCACACACCTTGAGATTTTGACAATTTCCTGGCATTCAGCTTGAAGGGAGCTCAGCTAATCAAAGAATTTCCTCTGCCTATTGAGCACCTCAAATACAGCAATGTGGTCAGAGAGCTTCTTGCAGGTAGGTGTGGCATGTTCACTAGTTCTGTATGTATACTATGAACCAATGTGATGTGTAATAAAGGTTACCAGGGATGCTATGATAGCTATAAAAGGAAACTAAGTTTTTCCTGATGCGGGCTCCCCACCTGTAACTAACTTAGTTTAATTACAATTTGATTCATTGTTATCCAAGTATCTGGCTATTTGTGAAGATTACAATAATCTAATTACATCAAATGAAAAATGTACTAATACTGGTATTAGATATGATCAGTTCAGCTTCGAAAAAAATCTATAACAGTAGTTTAAAAATATATCAAATGACGTCAAATATCCGACAAAATTCGATGTCATTCGATATATCTTGCCATCTCTGACTGGGCTTGAGTTGTTGGTCGATCGCCCGCCGATCGTCACCACCCGTGCGAAAATAGAGACCTGAATGTCGCAGCCCATTGAATATATTCACTTTTCGGGGGTAATCATTTCTGAATCCTCTCTCTTTCCTTCACTCTCACTTGTTTTGTGTACTGTATGAACGTTATGTTTGTTAAAGAAATTGACGAGGAAGAACGCGACATTGGGCTTTCTCGCGCTTCTGGAACGCTTGAGCTGGCTCCAGCACCGTCGTCTCCAATGCACACATCCTACCTATCTGTCACTATACCCGAACGCCCTTCCATTACTGACACGCGCGCAAATACTCTCAAATCTCCATCTCTAATGAACATTTCTAACCCACATAAAACTCTGTCACCACGGACAATCTCTCGATCAAGAACTCTACCTCACCTGTCGCACAAGGAATCTCGTCAGACAAGTTCAGACATTAGCGATATAGTTATGGAGGAGAGAAAACTGCTCAGATTGCGTCGATGGATTCTTGGCTTTGCAGTTGGTACTTGTGTTATTTCTAATTCATTCACACCAGTCCTTATGCAGTAACATTCACAGTTAATTTTGACTTGGACCACGGGCCAAAACTGCAGAGCGTATATCCCTCATTCTGGCTCTCTCCAACAGAAATGGAAAATGTGTGAGGTCGTTGTCTACTTCCATCATCACACGAACTAATATGTCTTGTAAATGAAGAGCCTTTTCCGCTCTTCCAGACTCCTTGCAGTTCGACCAAGGCTCAGAAGTGCATTCATTCAGGATCAGGGATGATAAATTGTCGAGTAAGGACGAAAAAAGTAGCAGGCCACGTTCTCTAGATGGATTTACTTATGGATTTTCCTATTTCTCACAACAACGAGATGCATCCTCGAAAAGAGGTTACCGGCAGGTGACGAAGGAATTATAATTGAATTCATGGTTCTGACTGTTACCCCAGTCAGCCATTGTGATTCTCACCCACTTGCAATATCCAGCTTTATTTTGTAACCTAGCCTCGACAGTCGGTCCGCTGTATCACGCTCATGGCGTACTCATGCTCGAGACTGCTTGTCACAATGTTGCCAACTGGTTCGTTAGAGATTTATTTATATGTGTCAAGGTACTGACTGAACTTGCGCAAAGTGCAGGTGTAATCCACTACCTGGAAGTACATTAGAGCTAGGTTTCCTCGGTTCCGTTATGCACGTCGAGTTGCCTCAGTCGATGGATGAGCAGCAACTAACAGAAACATATTCTTTTCAGCAAAAATTTGATCCTAGTTTACACGTGAGTTACATCTACTGCGTCGTTTCAGTACTCACGCGTCTTCTAGATTTTGGCTTCATCACCAGTATTTCATCCGCCACCTATAGATCTATTCGAGGCTTGCATATCACACCTATGGTCAATGTGGGAGTGTCTCGTTTTGTGCGAACCGATACTAGTTTTCGGACGATCTCCAGCCATGACAAGCCAAGCGATATGGTGGTTAAGAGACATACTTCGCCCGGTAAGCCTTTTCGTGTTTTTTTAGTCGCCATAGCCATAATACTTTCTCGCACAAGCTCCCTCTCGCTATGGATATTAGGCCTTATTTTACCATTCACGATAAAGATCATTCATCTCTAGTCAATAAACTGCCTCCTAAGGCTGGGCTGCTTCTCGGAGTAACTAATCCATTCTTCGAAAAATCTTGTTTACACTGGCCCCATGTTTTGAGTGTAGGGAAGCACTTACGGTATATTTGTTTTTTTATCGGTAATGACATCGGATAGCTGATGTCAGACCTTCGCAGTGCGAAAAGTGCATCTGCAACTTTCACAGGACCATCTCCAGGCTGGCAAACCAAAACTCACAAACGATATATCTCCAAGGACCAAGCACTCCTCAAACAGCTTGAACACGCCTGTAATGGTAGTCAGCTTACTAGTGCGTGTTATATTTGTTCCCAATTATCGCAATAAAGCTGACTTGAGCTAAGGAATGGAAGCATCGTTCACTCTACGCCGTCATTTTTGTTCGCGTACTAATGCTCTGCTCGTCCCTCTCAATCGTTACCTGAACTCTCTCATTCCAACGCCTGCCGAAGCCGGTCAGTTCTCGACTCGACTGAAACCATTCAGTTCAACGAATTTCTTCTCATCTCTGAAAAGCAATGGTTCTCCATTGCCGTTCCGATCTGCTAACAGACAGAAAGACTTTTATGAGAGGTGGCTGAGGACGCCTGCCTTTGGTCTCTGGTTGGCACAGCAGGAGGATGCTATTCAAAAGATTTTGCTGGAAAATGCTGTTGCCCCGACTGGCAGCTGACTTCAATTACACTTCCATAACCATATCTAGTTTTTTTAATAATGTCGGATCCGTATGCTTGCACATACCAATGGTAGTAGTAATCTTCTACAAAATGAACTACGTATACCATAACATGGAACTGAGTTATATATGTGGTTCACGTATGTAAGTTACCGGCGCCACGATCACCAAACCCATGCAAACAATGGGAAGCTATACCGAAACCGACTCTTACCCCGTTTTCTCTGTTTCCTTCCATCACGTCCACGACTACTGGTGCTCCTCTCTTTCCGTCTTTTGCTCTTGTCGAAGCTTCAGTTCTGATACATTCTGTTGTGCTTTCGAAAACTTGTATAATTGCACCTAAAACAGGGCTCATAAACCTGTTCCTGTATCCATACTCATGTAAGAATCTTTCTATTTGTTTGTGCTGCTGATGCTGTAGCGCACCAAGACATTTTGTATACATGTTCCGCTACTTTCTATTCTGTCGCATTTGTGTCGCATTTACTGCCTGTTGGTACTCAAATCAGCCTGTGATTCTACTTTTCTAGAGCAAAAAAAAATTCTATTCTGCACTTCCTGCCTGAGTCAACGAAAACATGCCTGAGGACGATTTTGACATTTACGGAGAAGACGATGGTTTCGGCGTTACAAGCATAGATCAGGTAGGTCTGAATTGTCTTGTAATAGTTGAATAGGACTGACAGACTGTATGCGCTTAAGCCAATAGAAGAGCAGAAGTACGAACCACCGGAAGAAGAGCAAGTCTCTACCATTACGTCGTCTGTTGAGCCCGTTGCAGGTGACAAACGTCCCCGAGAGGAGGACGAAAATGAGCAAGGACAATCAGCTCAAGATCCCCCTCAAGCGCCACGGGCTGCTCAGAATACTTTGCAAGGTCAAGTGTCAGTGCCAATGGACACGGAAGGCAACCCAAATGGTAACCTGAATGGTGGTCACAGTGCTACCCCATCAAATGTTGGACAAATGGGTAATGGGACAGATATGTCTATGGTCGGTTACGATGCGTTGTATATTGGAGACTTACAATGGGTCCGTTTGTCTTGTCGTTTAGTCTCGTCATGTGCATATTGTTCTGAGCTCGTTTCTACATGTTTTCTTTCGTTTTACAGTGGACAACTGATGAGGATTTACGTCAAGTCGCTCATAACGTCGGTGTATCCATAGACCATAAAGATATCACCTTTTCTGAACACAAAGTTAATGGTAAAAGTAAAGGGTAAGCTCGAGGTTTTAGGATGATGCCTCGTGGATTAATGTAGACATTACAATCCAGAATTGCATATATCGAATGTGACAGCTATGAAAACGCAGCTGCTGTCAAGACGTGGTTTGATAATAAGTAAGCCGTTTGTCTCTACGGATAACTATTGTTCATTTCATATACTTTATTTCGATCAGTGACTTCCAAAACCGCCGAGCAACGGCAACTTTGACGAATTCCTCGCAAGGTAACCCGTTCCGAACGCTTCCCAAAGGTGTGTCTGCTATTTACCCAATATAGCTTTTTCCTGATATGCCTCTCTAGAGCCACCCCCGCGAGAGAACCGAGTAAATCAGCAAGGTGGCGCACCAATACCTACTGCAAGCACTGGTGCAGGTCGCGGTGGAGGTAATTATAGAGGTGGTGTTCCTAACCAAATGGGAGGGATGCAACAGAACAATATGATGCAAATGCGCGGTGGGGGCATGATGGGCGGTGGTATGCGTGGTGGCGGCATGACAGGAATGATGAACAATATGGCCCAAATGGCTGGCATGGCTGGCATGGGGGGTTTCGGTGGAGGAATGGGAGGTGGAATGGGTGGAGGAATGGGTGGAGGTATTGGAAATAACTTCATGAGCGGAGGAAGAGGTATGATTCCTCAAGGCCCCAGGGGTGGTGGCATGATGGGAGGCGGGGGAAGAGGCGGGCACGGTATGATGGGCGGTATGGGTACGAGCTTCTAGCGACTTTCACACATTGTATCCTTATTCTTATTATGACTTTGATGTATTCTGTACAGGTATGGGAATGATGTCTGGTGGTGCAATGGGCGGTCGAGGCGGCTACGGTATGCAAGGTCACTTCAATCCAGCGTTCATGCAAGGCGGACAGGGTGGAGGAGGACATTTTCCTGATGGGCCCCGAAAACGATATCGTATGGAAGAAAGTGGTTAAAAACAGCTATTTTAATTCAGCCTTTTGTTTTCCTGTCGCGTATTTGACACTTTTATCAGGTTGTTAGCCAAGCGTGGGCTTGGACTAGCATTTGCCGTTCTCCTGCGTCTCATCTTGTTCGTCTATAATTTGTATGATAACGGGGAGGAGAGTCTAAACATTATTTTAATCTTATCATGAGACGTTTTCCCTTGTAGTTCTGACCGCACCTCTCAAGTTCCTCAATCGATGTCGACAACACGGGTAAGTTCTTAAGTGAAGTAGGTTGATTTCTCCAATCCAATAATAATATGCGCAAAAATACATGGGTGTAACATATAAACATACTTTGCCAAGTGTGAAACAGATGCGTGGGCTGTGATGACAATCCGTATAGCTGAAGATTCTGCATTTAAAATGATCGCAAAATAAAAATTCGGGGACGTGGACAAAAAAGTTCATGGATAAGAAAGTCATGTCCGCGTGCCTGAAACAAGATAGATCAAGGAAAACCAATCATCTAATCCTCCCTTTGAAAAGAAATCACTGCCCTCGCTTTTCCTTCAATTCCCTTTCGCGCTTTTTCCTTCGCTTCTCTTCCTCGTGACGCCTTTCTTCTTCCAGGGCCAGTTCCTCCTCCTTCTTGGCAATGCGAGAGCTACAAGAAAGACGTAAGTAGACCGAAATAGCAGACATGTCAGGGTTATAATAATGCTGACCTCCTCAGTTCTTCCTTTTCTAAGGCGCTTGCATCTGCCTCCATATCCTCGTCGTCACTCAAGACATCGCGCTGAACATAGGCACCTCTGTCTTTGCCGAATAACTTCCAAATCTCAGCGCTTAAGGCTGAATGAGATGCTTGTGGTGAAACGGCGCGACGCTTCGCAGAAGGGGGAGGGGAAGCAGACGAAAAAGAGGAAGAACGGTTGCGTTTCTTGAGTGAAGCAGCAGAACGAGGGTTAGTGGACGACGCAGATGCTTTGGATGTTTGCGTTTTGAGAGGCGGGGCACTGAGCTTCGCAGAAGAAGACTGATTGTGCGAAGATGAGTTCATGGAAGAGTATTTAGTATCGATTGGAGCAAGTTTGGGTATGGATGGTGTTTTCGATCCGGAAGACGACGTAACAGCTTTTGAGCCCTTTGGGGTAGATGAGGCGAGCGAAGGTAGCTTGTGCGCAGACGATTTCTTAGCTGCAACGTACGTCGAAGGCGTAGCATTGCCCTCTGTAAGTGTGATAAGAATGAGGTGATCATACCATTATCACTTTCATACTTACTCGCAGAGTCCTGGGAAAAGGGTGAGTTTGCACCAGAGGAAGGTGCAGAGACCACCGCGACAGGGGTGCCCGTCTTCAACGCGACATCTTTCTTCTTTGACTTCCCGAACCAGTCATTGAACTCCCGAGCATCATCACCGTCCAATACCTTGACTTCCCGCGCTTTCGCTCTATCTTGAAGAATCTCATCAATGGTCCGTGTATCTCGTTTGTTGACATTGAGCCTTGTTAGAGTGTTCGGTAGAGCGGCAATCCGGGCCTTCACCGACTGCGATCCACCTTGTGAAGAATCGACGTTCAGTGCAGATGTCACGTCAATAGCTCCACCTGGTAGTCGTCTCCCTGCCTTAGAATAACCTGAGGTATGAGACCGGTGAGAGGATTTGTAAGTGCGGCGCATTTCAGCGTCCACCCTGCGCTGTCGCTTTTCCTCTCTGGTTAGGGCAAGGGATGGCGATTCTCCACGGGAGCCGCCTTCGTCATCAGATGGTATCCTGCGCCTGCGCACTTCCTCATGAGAACCTGAATGCGAAGACGGCAACTTATGTCGGCCGTCGGTTTTGGCTTTCTTGGGGCCGTATAGTAGAGCTTTCCTTTGTTCCTCCTCCCGCCGTTGCTTTTCCATCGCTTTCCTCCGCTCATCCGCCTCACGACGTTCCTCCATCTCTTTCTGTTTCTTTTCCTCCTCGAAATGCATCGTACGAATTTTCGCCTGAAGTTCACGTTCCTTTTTATCCTGTTCTTCCTGTTTCTTCCGCTTGATCTCCTCGTTGCGCTGGCGCTGCTGTAGCGCCGATTGTACAGCTGTCTGAGCTTGCTTGGTCTGTGTAGCGCTCAGAGCCATGAGCGCAGCGAAACCAGACATGGTGATGGAATTGCGTCGACAGGATGTTTTCAGCGATATAAGGTAGAGATAATGGGAATAAAAGTCAGTGTTACACAGGAAATATAGGCTGACTGAGTATATAAGACTTGCTTGGAGGCGGTGTGGCACAATAGCGCTGTTTGCCTCACTTTGGTCACCTCCATTTTAGGAAGGACCTTTTGTGGGTTTCATGATAAACGAGTTACAGGGAAAGGGTATGTACTATGGCGTATTCGGCGGCGACCGTTCTATGATATGTGCAATGCGTATCAAACTAGAGACTGAAGCTACACAAGTGGGACGTCGTAATGATCATTGTAACATGCATGGGGAAGGGTCGTAAAATCCTTTAACTATTCCAGAGACGTCGAGGAAGGAAAGCAGATGCAAATAATCCAATGAGGACAAGGAAGACCATGAAATAATAAACCAACCATCCACCAAGATAATTGTGCTGAATGGAAAGCGAGAAAACAGAGCTGGCTGAGGCCGGTCCAATGGTTCGCATGATTGACACTATCATTTGAGCAAGACCGTTAGTCGCTCCCAATGATGCTCGATTGGGAGAAGCGGCGGAGATGAAGATAAATATACATGCTGGAATAAGATGGCAGTCAGATTTACGTTGCACACAGTGTAAACAGATGAACTCGCCGTAAGCTAAGTTTAGAATGACAGAGAGCATGACCTGCAGGCCGACTACAGACCATACCATCAAACTCAGTCCTTGTGATCTAGCTAGCATGTTGATGACAGGGAATGTCATAATGGTAGGTATTCCAGAAAAAATGGCGACAGTGAATATGGCTTTAGTGCCAAAGCGGTCGTGCAAGTCGGCAAAGAAGAAAATCGTGAACAATCCATTTATAATGCCATAGACAGCCAAGATATTGCCAATGCTGGCAGGTGGTAGACCAAGACCTCCTAGTTCTATCGGCGTAGCATAGAAAAGTGGTTGCATGGCTCGAAAGGCAATATCCAATAAAGACAGGGTTCCATAGTTTCCCGCTGCAATAATTACACGGGGTATCAAGAGAGCTCGAAGTGGGAGAGGTTCTCCATCGTCGTTATTTTTCTTCGTAATGCTTTGATTTTGTAGGGTATCGGTCGAATCAGTTCCAATCAATGTTGGTTCCAAAGAATCCGTAGTCCGAGTGCTTTCGCTTTTTTTATTAAATTTTGCTTTGATCAAACTGCCAAGGGATTTAGGAGCTGACACAGTCTATATGGGATGTGTTAATGCTCCAATTGGACCATGTACAACATCAAACGGCCTTACCTCCTTCAAGAAAATTGATGTGACTATCCACGCGACAGCAGAAAAGGTTGCAGGGACAGCACATGCAAGAAAGTAGGGGTACGTCTTGAAAAACTCAGAGTTCCCGAAAACATCAGGGAAGCGGTCTGCAGGCCGTGCAAGAGCTCCTCCAATAAGAGGCCTAAAGACAAAAGATGACGCTTTCAGACCAGGTGGGAAAATACTTGAAAATGAGGACACGAACCCTAGTGTCCCACCACTTGACCACGCTATCGGCATATATGCATATGCCTGAGGGAGACTAGTCGAATCTGTAATCTCCACCATCATACTCTTAATCACGCCAATATTTCCGTTCAGGGCGCCGTTAAGAGCCCGACTGCATCATAATTGCGTCGTAGAACAAAACGATGAGACAATTGATAAGTGAAGAAGTCTGATTGTATAACGAACCTTAATACAAGACCCGCGAATGTTTTTGACAGGCCAAAACAGTACATGGAGGCCGACAAACCAAATAACCCTGTCAAAATCACGGGCTTTCGGCCGATATGGTCAGAGATACGACTCCAGTGAAGTACAGTAAGTGCTTGGGTTGCAAAGAAAAGAGAGTGCTATTGCGTTGTGGTGAGACATAGCGAACATAGCCATTAAAACGATCATTCAACGAACCATGAGTCCGACATAATAGCCAACTTTTGTTTCGTCTCCATTCGTGATCCCAATATCTCGTATCAGCTGCCAAGCACAAATAAGAAGCATGTAAGCATGTAATGAGAGGTCGATGATCATGGCAACGGGCACATACCTGTGGCGCAAATGGAGAGATAACTTGCGAAGTGAGCGGTTCAGCAAGTTGCAGGAACAAGATGATAGAGAACTGTCGCCACGGCAGTGGGGTCCGCTGCTTTTTCTGTTGCTCTTGTTGCAACAATGGTGTCTCTTCATCTGCCCGCTGGGAGGACATGATGGTGAAAGGGAGAGAAAGAAAATGGGAAAATGGCGACAAACAACTCGAACGAGTCACTGACAGAGGAGTCAGAATCACAAAATGCTGACAAGGCCGCGCGACAGAGCCGACTACATAATATATACGGCTTCAATTATACTAGTACTAGTAGTACACGGTAATAATATTAATCCTGTCATCCTGTCAGTGTCAGTGGTACTTACCCTATTCTAGAAGTTCCAAACTGGTACAGCTCTGCGGAGGTACTTACTCCTATATCGCTTCGTGAGTAATAGATGCTGTATCGTGGAGGAAGGCGTCTAGGAGCGAGTAATGTCTGAGCATACTTGTACTACTTACGGTCAGGTTGACATTCGGACTTGTAAGTCAGATTTCGGACCGGGTCATATTATGTAAGGGCGCCTCTTCCATTACTCCCATCATCCAGTCGGGGCTAAAGTTCCGAACTAACACCGGCCCCGGGGTTGGACACTGTGGGTAAAACTGTTTTTGTGCATATGCGCGCAACTCAGACTCCAAACAAGTGGTTGGTGGGGTTTAAGCCTGTGTTGAGTAAGTGTCATTAGAGCTCATACAGTTGCCTGGCCCAGGTTTTTTTGCAACCACCCTCAGATGGTGGGGGCTGAAATCAAGAAGTCAACCAGTAAAGCACTATACCCTACTGAACTGTGGATCATCTAAGTCACAGGCGCAATGGACTATGATTTTACAAACTATTGGGTTGGGCTAGGTGAATAGGGGCAGGAGCAAGACAGGGAGGATGGGTATCTGGATAAGGAGGACAAGGATCTGGATCTGGATGGGGAGAACAAGGACAAAGGCAATCGGGACAACAATTAATTACAATCCAGGGCTGCCCTTAATCTTTTGACATAAAAGGCGTCTCTTGCTCCTCACACAATAATTCACTGTCATTATGTTAGTTTTGGTGATTCTGCACCTTTGTGCTACCTATATATTTTCATTCCTTTCTCTATCTATTCTTCTATCATTCACTATTGATTGTGTTCTCTATTATTTCGCCTTTATGGCTGCTTTGTTTACCTTTGTTTACAAAACTTCGGACAGTACTGCAGAGTCCAATGCTTCCTATTCTCTAGTTACTCACATTGGACTCTAGGTACTGTATACCTATCATACTCTCTAATAATATAGTTACTCACATTGGACTCTAGTTCCAGTCCCTGATTGCTCTCAGCAAGTGGCTAGACACTTCCTTCAAGCTTTGTTCTTAATAGGTTATGAGCCCTGTGCTCTAGCCATCTTCCTGACCTCATATCTCACCATCCAAGTGTCCTACTGCTTATCCATCGTAACCATCGTCTTCTGGGACTCTTATTATCTCATCCATCACCTCAGATTACTCTGATCTCATCTTGATCTCCAACAACAACTCCTTGTTGCAAGTTACCCCCATTTCGGACGCTTTTTTGGTCTTATCTGCACCATATCTCGCCCAATCCTTATCTGATCGTCCTGTAACTTCTACCATCGTCTTCTACGGCCTAAATAAACCTAGGAGACCTGTCAGAGCGGTTGGATTTGAGCTGGATCTTTCTGTGAGCCTTCATCATCATTTGACCACCTTTTGGCCCCCTATTCCATATCTCCACATCCTGTGCTCGGATCTTGGCCCTATTTGAGCCATCTACTACCCTATACTATTGCACTTTACACCCTCAATTTGGGGGCAATCCATCCACTCCATCATCCTCTGTGAAGTTCGCATTTTTGGCACTTTCACCCCTATTGGACCCCTATTGCATATCTCCACATCCTGTGCTTCACTTCTTGTGATATTTGGGCCATCTATTACTCTATAAAAACGTTTCCTATACCTCTGATTTGGTGGCAATCCATCCATCTTATCTGTCTCTGCATCAATTTCGACTTTTTGCCCTATTTTTCGCTTTTTGGCATATCTGGTGTGTGCATAAAGCTCCAATCTTCTCTACTCTGTCCATTATCAGATAGAACAAGCCTATAGACTGTGAAGCTCGCCTGCATTGCCTCAGTTTGCTGTTGCCTAGAGCCTCTCTCAGTCTGCGGTGTTTGGGGAGCTTAAGTCACTTTGTTGACTCATATACAAGCCCTATTAACCAACACTGTCTCGAGGCGATTTCTCTGTTAATATCAGTGTGGAATTGAAAGGGGAACACAGGCGTAACCCTGTAGCAGCACTAGGAAGCCTTAGCACCCTCCTGGATCGCTTTTGGACGCTTTTTGGACCCTATTTGGACCTATCCTTGCGCTTTCTGACCCTCTCCATATCCTCTCTCTACCGCCTCACCATCTTATCTGCTCGCCTCCTACTGTTGCCCATTGTCTTTGCCACTATTCCATCGCCTATAGCCGTCTCCTACATCATTTATCATTGCTCTATTGTCTTATACAACACCCATCATGTCTGACTCTGATCCCAAGTTCCATCCCTTGTCTGGCACTAACTACCCCCAGTGGAGTGGTGAAATGCAAGCTTGGTTGATGACCAAGGGACTGTGGAGGCTCGTCTCTGGTGCTGAAAAGTGTCCTGGGACTGACGCTGAAGCAATAGAAAAATGGGAGTTGAGAGCTGAAAAGGCTGCTGGTGCATTATACCTCAATGTCACCAAAGAGCAGCGCATCCATCTTGATGGCATCATTGATGATCCTGTCAAGATCTGGGAGAAACTGGCAATTGTGCACGTCTCTAAGAAGCCTGGGACGAGATTTAATGCCTATGACGACTTCTTCTCTATCAGAAAGAAGGAGGACGAGTCCCTGCAGTCTCTCATGACCAGAATTGACGAAGGCATGCATCAGATTCAAAATCTTCGTCCTACTGGCTTCTCATTGTCTGAATTGGACGATGAATTGACATGCATGGCCATGATTAGGGCGCTTCCTGATCAATATGCCCACTTCACTTCATCTCTACTACTTCTGGGCACCTTGGACAAGACCCAGCTCAGGGATGCTTTCCTTGCTGAAGAGGTCAATCGCCGTCGTCGTGCTGAAGTCGATTCTGCCTTGCATTCTTCGTCTACCACTGCCAATAGCACCTGCACCCATCCTAACTGCCATCATTGCAACCAATCCACCACCTCTACTCGCGTTCAGTGTGATTTCTGTGGTTTACTTGGTCATACCCAAGACAAATGCCACAGATACATAGCTAGTCGCCAACAGGCAGTGGAGGGTGCTAAGAATCGCTACAAGCGTGGCAATAAGGCTCAGGCAGGCTCCAGCAACTCTCAGAATACCTCTCAGCAGCCCAAATCTTTGCCCAACAATGCCAATTTATCTACTGTGGTCACTGAATCAGCTGGAAATGCAAGTCTTCGTTCCATTCATCCCTCTGATCCTCATTGCCCTCTCCAACTTGATGCTGACATTGATTGGAATGCAGACACAGGCGCCACTTCTCATATGACACCTCATCGTCATTGGGTGCACCACTATACCTCATATCGTGTGCCAATCAAGCTGGCTGATCACACTGTTGTCTATTCAGCTGGTGTTGGTACTGTGGTGTTTAATCCTGTGATGAATGGCAAAGTGGCTAGGGCTGTGGAATTCTCTAGAGTGCTCCATGTACCAGATCTTCGAAATAATCTCCTCTCAGTCTTGTATTTAACTCGTCAAAGTGGTTTCAATGTCACTATTTTGTCTCATTCCATGTCCTTTATGCGTGACAACACTCTTTTGTTCACTGCAACTATCAATGACAACAATGCAGCATTCCTTGATGGATTTACTGCTGCTTGTGTTGAATTGGGACATTTTACTGCGACTATACCACTTGATTTGATGCTCTGGCATCGCAGATTGGCTCACCACCATCATGCTGATGTCAAGAGACTGATACAAAGAGATCTGGTCACTGGGCTTACACTGGAATCCAAGGCTGCTCCTGATCCTGTCTGTGAACCGTGCTTGTCTGGCAAGATGCATGCCAATCCATTCCCCTCATCTGATACTCACTCTGCTCATCCTTTGGACCTCATCCATTCTGATGTACACCAAGTCTCTTCCCCCACATTCTCTGGTTATCGCTACTGGGTCACCTTCATTGACGATCACAGTCGATTCCGTGTTGTTGTGCCTCTCAAGGCCAAGTCAGATGTCTTTGATGCTTTCAAGAGATTCAAGGCTTATGCTGAGACTCAATTGGAGCGTAAAATCAAGGCTCTGCGCGATGACAAAGGGGGAGAGTACATGTCCAAGGAATTTGAGCAATTCACAGATGACCATGGGATTGTCAGACAGCATACCACCAGGAATCGTCCTCAGCAGAATGGTGTGGCAGAGCGAGCAAACAGACTTCTGACTGAGCGTATCACTGCCATGTTATCAGAGTCTGCATTGCCTAACAGCTTCTGGGGTGAATGTCTGTCCGCTTTGGTGCATGTCTGGAACAGGTGTCCCACTGATGCAGTGGCCCATGCCACTCCATTTGAGTTGTGGTATGGACGCAAGCCTGACATGTCTCACCCGCGTTTGGGGCTGCACTGCCTATGTGCATGTGCAAAAGGACAAAAGAGGCGTCTTTGGCTCTCATATGGAGAAATGTGTGTTTATTGGTTACCCTGAGGGGTACAAGGGATGGAAATTCTACAATCCTACCACCAAGCGCACTGTTATCTCTGAGAGAGCTGATTTTGATGAGCGCTACTTCCCTGGCTTGAAAAGGTCTTCTGACAATGTCCCACCTCCACCTCCCACTCCACCTTCGCTATCCATGCCATTGGGTCTGATTGAGGATGTCCCTGCACCAGGTCCAGGGGGAGATATGGGCCCACCAGCTGCACTTCAACAGCCTCAGCCATTGCCTGACAATGGGCCTCATTTGGACCTTGATGCAAAACCACCTGTGAATCAACCTCCTGAGCTTCCAAATCACCCTCCTCATCGCTCACCTTCTCCTGACTTGCCTATTGCACTGAGATGCCCTGTAAGGGCTAGGAGACCACCTAGACCATGGTGGCTTCAACACAGACAACCTACTCCTGCCATTGAGAGTGATGACAGTGATTCTGAGGCAGTTGATGATGAAGTAGCACACTTTGGAGACTCTGCTGAGCCTAGGTCGTTTGCAGATGCAATGAAGCGTCCTGATGCAGATAAATGGAGAGAGGCAGCCATGGAAGAGCTTCAAGCTCATGAGCGCAATGGTACTTGGTCACTAGTGGAACTACCTCCTGAAGTCAAGGCTATTGGTGGCAAGTGGGTCTTCAAGATCAAGCGCAACTCAGATGGCACTGTTGAGCGCTACAAGGCCAGATATGTGGCCAAAGGTTATAACCAGCGCCCTGGCTTTGATTTCCTCGAAATATTTGCACCTACTGTCCGCATATCATCCATCAGAGTTGTCCTTGCCATTGCAGCCATCCACAACCTCCATTTGCGCTCCATTGACATTTCCCATGCATTCCTGAATGGAGTCATGGATGTCAAGGTCTACATGCATCAGCCAGAGGGATTCCATCAGGGTCCTCGCAATCTTGTTTGCCAGTTGGACAAGGCCATCTATGGGACAAAGCAGGGAGGCAGAATGTGGAACCAGAAGATGCACACTGTGCTTGAAAAACTCGGATTCAAGCGTACTTATTCAGACTCTGCCATCTATGTCTTTAACAGAGCTGATGTGCGCATTATCCTGCCTGTCTTTGTTGATGACATGACACTGGCATCCACTTCTACTTCTGCACTTGACCAAGCTGTCAAGGACCTCTCCCTGCACTTTAAGCTTCGTGATCTTGGCCCTACTTCTTACCTACTTGGCATTTCCATCACTAGAGACCTAAGTAATCGCACCATCTCCCTCTCCCAACATCAGTACACTCTGGACATTTTGGAGCGCTTTGGCATGAAGGACTGCAAGCCTGTGTCCACTCCCATGGATCCTGGTTTGCGCCTCACCAAGGACATGTCTCCCAAAACATCCAGTGATGCTGCTTTGATGAAGGACATTCCCTACCTTGCTGCTGTTGGTGCTCTGATGTATCTGGCCACTACCACTCGTCCTGACATTGCCTACACTGTTGGAGTCCTTGCCAGATATAACTCTAATCCTGGTCTTACTCACTGGAGCGCTGTCAAGCACTTGTTCCGCTACTTGCAAGGCACCCTTGATCATTCCCTTGTTCTTGGTCCTGATCCCAATTCCACTGAACTCTTCACCACTTTCTCTGATGCTGATCATGGTGGTGACAAGGACTCTGGTCGTTCTACTGGTGCCTATATTGTCAAGATGGGATCTGGTGCTGTCTCCTGGAGCTCCAAGCTTCAGAACATTGTTGCTCTGTCCACCACTGAAGCAGAATACATTGCTGCTGTTGAGGCTGGCAAAGAGATCTGCTGGATGCGAAATTTGTTGAAGGAAATGGGCTATCCTATCACCTCTCCTTCCACCCTTCATATTGACAACCAATCTGCCATCTCTGTATCCAAGAACCCTGAGCACCATGGTCGGATGAAACACCTTGATCTGCGATGGCATTGGTTGAGAGATGTTGTTGACTCTGGGCAGATTGCTCCTACCTTTGTTCCCACTGCTGAAATGCCTGCAGACTTGTTGACCAAGGCTCTTGCCAAGCCTAAAGTGGAAGTGTTCAGGAAGATGATGGGACTTATTAGATCAGGGGGGAGCTGATGCTTGGGAGGTGCAGCATCAGGGGGGAGTGTTAGTTTTGGTGATTCTGCACCTTTGTGCTACCTATATATTTTCATTCCTTTCTCTATCTATTCTTCTATCATTCACTATTGATTGTGTTCTCTATTATTTCGCCTTTATGGCTGCTTTGTTTACCTTTGTTTACAAAACTTCGGACAGTACTGCAGAGTCCAATGCTTCCTATTCTCTAGTTACTCACATTGGACTCTAGGTACTGTATACCTATCATACTCTCTAATAATATAGTTACTCACATTGGACTCTAGTTCCAGTCCCTGATTGCTCTCAGCAAGTGGCTAGACACTTCCTTCAAGCTTTGTTCTTAATACATTATTCTATCCTTGATACAAGTCATTATCTTTGCATCTGTTGGTTATACTCAATTAGAGCTTTTTGATTACCAACCCCCCAGGCCATATCATAAGTTTAATCCTTATGGGCTGTACATGGACCAATGAACTTCTCAATGGCCATCCAGATTGTATTTGTGTTGCACTAGGTGTTAATTGCAAGGTTTTCCTCAAGCTGGTCCAGCTGCTCAAGAATCATAGATATAGAAACTCCAAACATATTACCATTGAAGAGCAACTATCAATATTCTTGCATGTGTTAGTAACAGGTTTGACTGTTTAACACTTAGGCAAGCAATTCCAATATTCTTCAACATTATTTCAAAGTAAATCATTTACTATCTATTTTTTCTCTTTTTACTCACCATTAATTTTAGATACTTCTGACAAATGCTTCATGCATTCATATCTGCAAAAAATATACATGGCATATGTGTGTTTGACTCCCCACAGAAGACAAACCAATTGTACCTTATATCACGCAAAACCCAAAGCTCTGTCAGTTTAGCATTGCTATTGGTGTTGTTGATGGCACCCATATTACCTGCACACCTTTGCCTGCTGAGTGTTTAGCATTCCACTTGAAGTTTGTATATATGCTAAGCAGATGGGAAGGATTAGTGGCCAATGTCAGATTGTTTCATCACATGCAGACACAATTGATATTACTTTGCTGATGCTGGATTTCATTCATGTAATTAGCTTCTTGTCCCCTACAGGAGTGTTCATTATCATTGTTACGCACAAAGTGCTTAACAAAGTCTGAGGGTTTGTTGAGGTTTGTAAAGAGACTTACCCGAAGACAAGTTCAAGAACATAGTTCTGAGTGGAGGTCTTCCAACGGGAGTTGGTCTTCTTCTGAGTAGAAGTCTGATCTTAGGAGTCTAGCTTTGTAAGCGTAAACTGCGTAGAATCGTATTAGAGAATACTACTGCTGTTACATGGTATTTATAATGGAAAGGAATCGGTGATAGGAGTTAGGTCCTATCTATGGCAGGTCCGTCCGTTGAGGACTAAGTACTATAATAGGTACTGCGAATGCGAGAGGAACGGAAGTGTACGTGAAGGAAATGAGTCATCAGTCCGTGGTATAACCGATGAGTAAAAAAAATGAGTAGTTCTTAAATGTCCAATAGAGATCGTAACATTACCCCCTTACTTGCTCCGAGTTTCACCAAAATTTGGTACCTTCGCCGTCAATATTGTAACTGTCGTCGTAGCTGACGTCTCCATATAATCCTTCCATCAGAATCCTATCCTTGTCTTCCCTGCGGATGGGACACCAATTAAAACTATGTCCCAGTGCACAACGGTCACAGTTGGGGCAATAGTAGGCTTCGCAATAGTATGTGCGATGATTGCTCCAACTGCAGTTTTGGCAGTATGGAGCATTGTTACGAACACCTTTGTGGTATTTTTGTTGGGTGTTGGATGAGGTGTTGGATTGGGGAGTGGTTGGATCGTCATCTCCTAGGTCGTACGTTCCTGCGTACAACTGATCGATCATGGCTGCATGGTCATCTATGTTGATTGGGTTGGAGGGAGAGCCAGTCTCAGGCCTGTGCGTTGCGCCAGGCAGACTGCCTTTCTGACCCTTTGACATACAAGATTGCCGTTTTGATGGAGTTCTGGCGGCGGGGATCTGGAGTATCACTTCTTGTCGGCCGCGTTGGGCTCCTCGCCGGTTCATCAGACGACGGGTTTGGGTGTTTGGTACTGGTTGAGGTGGAGATGACGGGGGAGACAGTGGTTTTGGGTTCGACCCAATGGAACGGGGACTGGAGGGGCTCGACTCTTGCAAGATCAGGCTGGTTGGGACGGTGGGAATATATTTTTCCACCAACTGGGTGGGCAGACGTTGTTGAGTGACGATGTGGTAGGTGTGCTCTGGGGTAACACTGGTCCGTTCTGGGTACGATAGGGACTGGTGGGACAAACCGGGTGGAGGAGTACGCGTATAGCCGTCTCACTCTATCCGTGTGTGCACCTCTGTTAGCAAGGTCCTCCCGCCTAATTCCAAATATGCCTTTGCTGCGTCCGTCTGCCCGTTCAAGGAGTTCATCCTCAAGTGTTGTTCCAAAGATTCCAAAACTAATTTTTCCATCCGGAGTACCCGACAGATACTCGAGTCCTGACTGCTGAGCTGCGAATGCTCATTTTCCAACGAATGTAGTGAGTCTATGGCTTTTAGCAGTTCATCAGCTACAAGATCTATGGCAAGGAAGTTATGCATGGAAGAGAGTGCGTGGTACGCATGGGGGCAGCATTTTTCTGTTTCATAAAATAAATAGACGTAGGCGTTTTTGGCTGACATTAGCTCTATGGTGTCAGAGACGTCAGCTTGGTTGTGTTGTTGCCCTCGGGCAAAGGACACTCGTTCATTGGCTAGCATGTTGGCCTTGCCGGGTACGGAATAAGTGGTGATAGGGAAGCCGGTAGAGTGGGAAGTAGACATGTTTTGTGTTGAGAGAGAGCAGATTGTTGGTAGTGGGGTGGTTGTCTCTTCAACACAGCTTGTGGTCCTTCTTATAGGCTTCCAGTATCTCCGCAGCATTGGTTAAATGTTCTTCCAGTTCCCATGAGTTTTTGGAATGAGGGTAATGGCGCCTGCGTTTCCAGGGTTTGTGTCTAAGAATACTTTCTATTTCGTATTCCTCTTCTTCGTTGACCAGGTTAGGTGGTGGTTGGATAAAGTTCGGGCCATAAGTGTTGGTTTCCGTATACGGCGTGAGAAGGGATGTGTGGAAAATGTTGTGTATCCTCCAATGGGGAGGCAGGGATAGTCGGTAGTTTACCGGGGAAATCTTTTCTTGGATGCAAAAAGGTCTGATGCGTTTCATGTTGAACTTCTTGTATTCGGTAGCTTTTTCTCGCAGGTTGGTGTTCTCTAACCACACCTTTTGTCCTTCGGAGAATCGCGTGAACTTTCCATTGTTTCGTATCATCTTGCTTCTTGCGAGTTTGTGTGCTTTTAGGGCGTTTTCCCTTGCCCTAAGCAGTTCGGATAATCGTTTTTCCACTGATGGGATATTCGTGGATCTGTGTTTAGTCGGGATTCCTCGGGGTTCATATCCCATGAGGAGGTAGAATGGTGATTGGTTGTTTGTGGAGTGTGGTCTTTGGTTGTGACAGAATTTGGCGGTTGTAAGGTATTTTGCCCAGCTGTGTGGTTGGTTCTGGCAAAATATGCGGAGGTAGATCTCCAGTTCTTGATTGGATCGTTCTGTTTGTCTATCTGTCTGGGGATGATACACAGAGGAGAGTGCGGTTTCAATGTCCAGGAGTTTGTGGAGTTCTCTGGATACTTCAGAGGCAAACCGTGGTCCTCTGTCGGATATGAGTTTATCATGCAATCCAAATTGTTTGAAGATGGAATCGTGAAAGATTTGTGCGGTTTTGAGTGCGTCAATGGTTTTATGACAAGGTGAGAGGATTACCCCCTTACTAAGTCCTTGGTCTACCACGACCATTATACTGTTGTATCCTGAAGATTTTGGTAAATCAGTTATGAAGTCTACGGATAGGTACTTCATTGGTTCAGTGGTTTTTGGGGTCTGGTTTGGGATTAATGGTACAGTGGTGGGATGCGTGTTCACTTTTGCTTGTTAACAAGTTGCGCATCCTTTCACGTATTCTTCCACTTGTTTCATCATTCCTGGCCACCAATAGGCCTTTTTGATCAACTGGTAGGTTTTGAGCCTTCCTGGGTGTCCTGCGGACAGGGAATTGTGGTGATCTTTGATGATCGTCTTTGTTCTTCTACTTCGTCAATCATTAATTTATTCTGATAAAAGAACTGTCCTTCTTCTTTTCTCCAATCATCTTTCTTCGTTCTTCCTGGATAATTATCATTTGTGAGCATGGCTTGCTCGATTGTGTTTTTAATTGTTTGTGTGTGATACAGGAACACTGAGGCGGGTATCATTGGTGTGTCATCATCATCTCTTTCTGTTTCGACGTATAAATCAGGTCTTCTTCAGAGTGCGTTGGGTACCACCATGTGGGTTCCTGGTACGTGCTCCAAGGTGTAATTGTATTGTGATAGTTCCAGCTGCCATCTTCTTTGTCGTGGTGTGAGTTTCCTGGCTTTTTGCCAGTACATCAGGTTCTTGTGATCTGTCAGGATTTGGATCGTGTGGGGGCTTCCCAAAAGTAAGTGTTTCCACTCTTTTAAAGCTCTCATTACCGCTAATAACTCTTTGTCGTAGATCTGGTAGTTCTTTTCAGCGGGGGATAGAGTTTTGGAGGAAAATGCACATGGGTGCCATTGTCCTTGGTCATTGGGTTGCATTAATACAGCTCCTGTGGCGTGTTTGCTGGCATCTGCAGCAATCTTTGACAGTTTCGAGGAGTTGGGAATTTGTGTTACAGGGGATTCGAGGAATTTTTGTTTCATTAATTTGAAAGTGTCGTCTTCAGTTTGGGTCCAGTTCCACTTCCTATCCTTTTCTAGTAAAGCATTCAAGGGCCTGGCAAGGTCAGAGTAATGACCGATAAACTTCCTGTAGAAGTTTCTGTAACCTAAAAACTTCCTTACGCCTTTGGTGTCTTTTGGGATTGGCCAATCGCGGATCCCAGTGAGTTTGGCCGGATGCATTGATACCTGATTGTGGGAAACGATCATTCCCAAGTATTCAATGGTTTTTGCTTTGAAGGTGCATTTTTTTAGTTTTAGGAATAGGTCATTACCGCGTAGTCTTTGTAGAACCTGTTTTGCTCGGATTCGGAGTTTTTCGGTGTTGGTGTCAAAGATGAGGATGTCATCCATGTATATGATCATCCAACCTTCATCAATGTAGTCTTTGAATTTGTCGTTCATCAGCCTTTGGAATGTTGCCGGTGAATTGCACATGCCGAAGAACATGACCATTGGTTCGAACACTCCTTTGCTGGTTTTAAACGCAGCTTTCCATTCATCTCCTTCTTTTATCCTTACATTGTTGTATCCCCAATGTAGATCTAGTTTTGTAAAGATGGTGACTCCTTTCAATTTTTCGATGAGGTCGGGTATCAGGGGTAGTGGATAGGGGTCTTTCATGGTATATGCATTCAGTTTTCTGTAATCTTGGCACGGTCGGAGTAATCCGTCCTTTTTGCCGATGAAGAAGAAGGGGGACACCTGTGGTGACTTGCTCTGCCTGATGTATCCCTTTCTGTAGTTTTCCGTTAAGAATTCCGTTAATGCTTTGTCTTCCTTTGGTGCCAATGGGTACAGCTTGCAATCTGTTGGTACAAATTCTGGTTTCATGTTGATTGCATGATCATATTCCCGTCGCTTGGGGAGTCTTTCCAACTTCTTTTTGTCAAAGACGTCTGAATACCCTTTATATTCATCCGGGAGGTTATGCTCCTTCTTTTCTCCGTGTATTTGCGCGTGTTCCATTGCCGAGTTGACCTTTAATCGAATCGTGGTTCGAGGATAGAGTGTTTGGTCGGATACGTATCTATGACTGGTTTCGTACACATCCTCGTTTACTGTGGTTGTCCTGATTTTTGTTTCCGTGGTTGTTTGGTTCATCCTGATGGAGTGTTTGTCCGAGTTTGGTAATTCTTTGTCTTTCCAGTTAATGACAGGATTGACTTTTCGTAACCAGGGAAATCCCAGTAATACATCTTCTCCGTCTAGTCCGGTCAATAGGAACTTTGTAAACCTGTTTTGTCCTCCTGCATCTATCCTCTGATAGGTGTAATGCGTATTTTTTCCGTTTTTGTTCGTGGTTCCATCAACATTTTTACACATTATAGGAGTTGGGAGTTTTTGGAGGGGGAGTTGGTGTCTGATGGCGAATTTTGTGTCCATGAAGTCGTCAGTAGCTCCTGAATCTATCAGGGCTTTAGTTCCGATGGTTTTCTGTTTCAACGAGCAATCAATTCGTAAAGAGTTGGCATTGATCATTGCTATTGTTACAGTTGCCATTTTTGACGGTACTAACATCGGGGTAGTCCGTTGTTTCAAAAACCCTTGTCTTCTAATTCTTTCATCGCCTCTGTTCTTTGATCTTCTCCTAACTCCCTCCACATCCTCATGATGTTTTGGACCCTGTCTTCTTCCACCACTGTTTTGGTGTCATCTTCCGTTTCGGTTTGACGTACCTTTCTTTTGGGAGTTTTTCCTTTGTTCCTACAATTCCTTCCTATGTGTCCTTTCTCGTTACATATGAAGCATCTTCCCTCTTTCCTCCTTGATTCTTCTTCATCTTTAGTTAATCTTCTGGTGCTGGTGGATGGTCCACTTTTGCGGTTTCTGTTGTTCTGTCTTTCTTTGTTTCTGGCGCCCCACGCTCCTTCCGAGATAGCGTTGGCACTGATCCAGTTGGCGTCTAGATTCACCACTGTGCTCATCCAGTCTTCAATGGTGAGTAGTTCCTTTCCGGTGAGTGCCCCATGAAGGAGGGGTGACCGGATAGCCTTTTGATAAACCATGATCATGGCTTCGTTGTTGATGCCGCTCTTCCCAGCATCTAGCATGAACCTTGAGTTAAATGCTACTGCATTTTCTCCTTGTTCTATCTTCATTTTCATCAAGGCGGCCGAGGCCGTTCCTTTGATGTTTGCCGTTCTGAAACTGGCTGTGAAGGTTTTCATGAAGTCTGCCCATGTGGGGTAGGTGTTCTTCTCTTTGTATTCGGTCATCTTGGCTTCGCTCCATGAGGTGGCATTGCCATCCTTCATGTAGCTGAGGGCCACATATACCTTTTTCTTGTCAGAGTTGTAGATGGTGTCATTGATATCAAAGTGTAGATCGGTGGACAATATCCACCTTTGGGCTTTATCTGGGGTTCCATTGAAGTCATCAATTTTCCCGATCATCGTGGGTTTGGAGGCTGTAGCGTTAGACATGGTGCGTGGTTGTGGGATAGGGGATGGAGCAGGTGCGGCTGGGAGTATCTGTGACGTGGGAGGTGGTATCGGGTCGCCGCTTGCTGCAAATTCTTCAAAGTCATTCTCGTTGTAGAGGTTTTCTACGGTTACTGGGGGATTGTGTTGTGTTGTGGGTAGTAGCTGTGGGTGGCTTTCTGTGTAGTACTGTAGCCAACGTGTTCTGGCTTTGTAGAAAATGTCTGCTTGTTCTCTGGTGTGCAGTCGGGTTACGCCTGGTTGGGGAAAGGGAGGTGGAGCTGCTATCCTTTCTTGTCGGGATGACGTCGGTGGGGTTGCTGTTTGTGGGTTGTCTGAGCTTCCTCTTGCTCTCTGGGATCTGGTTGTTGGTCGTTGCAACGTCTTGTCGACTTTTTCTTCCCAAACCTAAATAGGTGGGACTTCTGATTAAAATATGATTCTTTTGTTACGCACAAAGTGCTTAACAAAGTCTGAGGGTTCGTCGAGGTTTGTAAAGAGACTTATCCAAAGACAAGTTCGAGAACATAGTTCTGAGTGGAGGCCTTCCAACGGGAGTTGGTCTTCTTCTGAGTAGAAGTCTGATCTTAGGAGTCTAGCTTTGTAAGCGTAAACTGCGTAGAATCGTATTAGAGAATACTACTGCTGTTACATGGTATTTATAATGGAAAGGAATCGGTGATAGGAGTTAGGTCCTATCTAGGGCAGGTCCGTCCGTTGAGGACTAAGTACTATAATAGGTACTGCAAATGCGAGAGGAACGGAAGTGTATGTGAAGGAAATGAGTCATCAGTCCGATGGTATAACCGATGAGTAAAAAGAAATGAGTAGTCCTTAAATGTCCAATAGAGATTGTAACAATCATCTATCCAAATATGTATGAAATAATTGCTGGAATAATATTACAATACACAATTTTTGGACCTTTAACTTTTATTCTCCTATTTAACTTTCCTCTTCTTTTGGACACTTGTACTTTCACTTTCTTGTGCTGTGCAGCCTCTATATATTTTTAGCTACAACCTACTTATGTGGTGAAGCTAGTCACAAGGGCTGCACCCTATGACATCATCAGCTACCACATTGATCAACTGTATAGTATATATGTACAAAGACCATATAGTAGTATATAAACCCCTTCATTCATCCTTTCTGCTTGTTGTAGTTGTATGCTAGAGTTTAAACTTTACTTGTTACACTAGGACTGTGAGGAATCAATTTTTCTCATTGCATTCCTATCATGTTGTGGTTATCCGACTCATTCCCCATCACTCCTCTCGCCCTTGGACTGGAGATCACAGCTGGTATTTTATTACTCTTATCTTTCTTCTTCTTATTTTCCATTTATACTCACGTCCTATCATACTTATGATAATGGAGAGCCGTTGTAGACCCTCGAGAAGATATCCAGATGGCATAGCGACAACCCAATGCTATGTCCTGGAATACTTCAGAGAGATATTAATCAGCGATATAGGCTATGGCTCAGCGCCTTCTCATGGGCTTACTGATACAGCCAATTGTACATCCCTCACCAAGACTCTCTCTCACATGATTAGTAAATACAATAAATCAGACCACTTCCCCTTTTTCTTATTGGTTAATTGTTACAATAACACAATTTTCGGACCTTTCCTTTATTTTTCATTCTCCGCTTTAACCTTGTACTTTAGCTTTCACACATGGTGCCACGCGGCACTTCCCCTTTTGTCCAAACTCCTCTTTCTCGCGCTGCATTGCCTTTCTTCTTATTTTAGACACAACTCTCTCACACAGTGGAGCTGGCCATGCGGGCTAGGCCCCATGACATCATCAGCCACTGTCTCTATCAAACTGTATAGTACACATATACAAACAACCCTGTAGTATATATACCCCAATAAATCCAGGAGACTCCTCAGCGAGTCCTCCTGTTGTTAACCAACAAACTCTCTGCAGCTCAAGGGGTAACCACTCCCCATTCACTACCCTTATAGTGTGTTCTTGTGTGTGCCAGAGTAACTAACTCTTGGTTGTTACATTAATCATTCAGTCAGGCCACTCTTGTACCTTCCTCTCTTTCTGGCTTGACCGCCACTAGTCAGTATATAAGGAGTAGATATTTCATGTATTGTTCTTTAGTTCAATATTAGTTTGGATTTGTGCCTATATTGATACTCTTCAGCTCTCATACTCTGATTCACTGTCTTTCATCAAGGACTTGGCCAGGCATTGATTGTTGCTATATAGCTTCGTATTTGTTGCCTGACAAGGACTTGCTCTTCTACTCTTTTGCACATTGTGCAAGCTGGTCCATAGGCTTAAGTGGCTATGCACCTCATTGTAAGATAAACAGAGGATAGTTTGAAAACCCTAGATGGTAATACACCACTTGTTGGGCCTGGTGTCAGATAGTAATACTTTGAGCCTGCCCCCTGATTTCAAGATGAGCTCCTTGTTCTGGAGAGATAGATAATTGAATTTGGGCACACAGTCCCCAGTGCAAAGGAGCAGAGCTACACATTGGTCACTTGGGAAACAAATTATACACAGCCCCCAGTGTCAATGGGGAGTACTTAGCTCAGCAGATGGTGTAGAAACTCTGTTGATTAGAAATTAGAAAAAACTGTCCTCTTTGCTTTCCTCTGACCAGGATGGACACTTGTCTCCACTAGTTTGGAGAAGGGTTGGCAGCTTAACAAGCAAACCACCCTCCCAAATCTTTGATACTCTCAGAATTACGCTCCTCATGCTCTGCCGTTTGGCATAGCCCTGCACCCAAACTCCACATGGTACTCCAGATATCCGCTCCTGTACTCCTGCACTGGACTTCTAGTCTGCCATACATTTTATCCTCTACTCTTACCTATTCACTCTATTGAGTTAGGGACTAAGGTCCACAGAAGGGCCTAGCACACAAGCTAAGTCAAGCCTCAGCCTCATACTTTATTCTGCTCCCTGCCTCATCTCCACGCTTCAAAGTCCGGTTACTACAAAGGTCACGGTTCTGACAATCTCAATCTCCCACTACCCACACTGTTGTATTTAAAAATATATATAATAAGTAAACATAATAAACCCTGGTCCAAATAGTTATTAGGGCTCGGACTTAAGGATCTCTGACTTTTCAGAAGTCCAGAAATCATGGCCTGTGGCATGGATATGACAGAGATCCAATACTCAGCTGGGAAGAGGTACTGTATATTCCCAAAATCATCTATCATCTCATGTTTATTGAACTTTTTAGTGTTAGCCAGCTCTGAAGTGAACTTGTGCATAAAATAATCTTTATACTGATCCAACCACTCCTCACAAACAAAGTTTTTGGCAATTTCAACCCATTCTCCTTCCTATTTATGTGCACAAAAGTATTCAAGTTTGAGACCAGGGTGAAGAAATAGAGAGGAAGATGTGTTATTAATCTTGCATCTCACTATCAAGACATTGTACATACTTTATACAGTATATACCCATAGCAATTTGGTACACATTTGAGTTGTCTATAACCTTCCAGTAGTGGTTCATTTTTTTTGCAAGTGAGCTGCATTGCTGCAAGGATAGCCAGATCAAATTCTTGCTGCAATTTTGAGTCAAGGTGGCAGTCAAGCTTGTTTATTACAGGTATCACAGCGGCAATTTAGGCAACATTCTGGGAGAAAAATAGTATGGCCTGTTTACAGCTCTACAGAAAATGAGCAACAAAGGTAAAATAGTGGAGTTCAAACTGAGTAAATTATCTCTAGTACTGAAACAAGATCCTCAGCTACTCTTTATTCTGAATCATCAAGCTCAAACTTGCAAAATACTGGCAATTTCTTGTCAACCATAATCTTGTCAATGGCCTGTCTGTACTTCAACGCAAACCAAAGCATATCATAGGCAGAGTTCTATTGAGTTACAACATCACAGGGAATAAGATTTAGCTTAAGGTCAATATAATAACATTGTGACCTCAAAGCAGGCAAGGCCTGGATAAGAGCAAATGAAAGCTGGTGGAACTGGGAAATTTATAGCCTCTGCCCAATGTCAAGTATGGTGACTGACCTTGGTGATAGCATGCCTAATAATAAATACATCATTGAGCATTACCTCTCTCTGCACACCATCTAATGATTTCTGCTTGTCAATTTTATCATCCAAATCATCTGTGGAACCACCATTGCTGCCTAAATTCTCCTCCTCATTGGTCTCTTCTTCCTTGTCATTCATGATAAGTGGTGCCAGTGGGCAGTCATTATCATCTCCACCTGGCTCATCTTCATTATTACCCATTATACCAGGATTCAGTGGCCTTAGGAGTGCCTTTGCAGCTAGCTAAATAGTGTGATTAAAACACCGCACTCTGTTGTTAGCCTCAAATGAGTTATCTAGCTTTGAAAGCTTAGCCATTTGAGTGTTGTTTGATATTGCATTATCTGCATTTACTGATAAAATCTGCGGTTTATTGCCTTTAAGTAGTGCTACTAGTGAAGATTAGGGATAAGATGGAAAATGAATTTCTTGCGTAAGATCAAAGCGCTCCAACCGGTATGAGACTGGCAAAGTCGTTGACTTACTACCTAAGAACTTTTGGCACAGTTACTCACCTCTACAATCTCAATGTGACAACACCAACAAGACACAGTCTTGGGGCACTGGAGCACAACAACAACAACAACAACTCATTAAGAGAGGGTACTTTCATACTAATGTTGGTAGACACTAGAAGAGGACTTGCTGAGTCCCTCCCCATGTATTGCTCCAGTATATATACTATTAATACATGAGGTACTGTACAGTTGTAAATAAAGTTCAAAGTCTGATGTCTAGCATGTGACCAGTCACATGATGAGTCTAGACACTGGTCAGGTGATTATGAAAAGTCTGAAATGTAAAGTAAAGTCAATGGCCATGTGATCAGTCACATGACTTGGAAAATGAAAAGTAAAGTATATAAAAAGTAAAGCGTAAATAGGTGCTGGTATGTCTATTGTAACTTCATTTATGATATTGACTGGTTGTTCTCTGTGACCCAGCATACAAGTTGAGCCCTAGAAATGTAGTGTCAAATATAGAGTGCATTAGACAGCATTAAACGACTTGACATACCGGACTTCATCATTTATGTGCATGTAGTGTATGTGATGGACTGGCTGTTGCCCCTGACGAGTAAATGCTGCATAGATTGAGCTACTCTGTCCCTTGGTCAGCTGCCCATTAAAAATGTTCTCAACTGCCTCTTTTCCCCAGCAAATAATTGCATGGCGCTTCAGGTTTGTTGTGGAGGACTTATCCTTTGAATATTGGTACCGGTGCACACCACCAGTTGAGCTTTTACACTTTTGTGCACTACACGGAAAGAAATGTACAAGCTGGCCATCAATGTACCCTACAGTCACAGCGTTAAGCTTGAAAAAATAGACTAAGGAATGCCAATGCTTTTTGAGAGCCGCTAAACCCAAGAGTGAGCACACAACTCCACCAGCAACTCACTCAACTCACCCAAGTTGAGCTCCCCCCAAGTCACTGCCAGCACAGGCTTGTGAGGGGAGAGACACTTTGGCTTTTTTGAGCAGTGGGATGAGGATTGCTGCACCCTTTTTGACAACTTTTGAGACAGCCTTTGTCATAGATGTGGATAATGATTTTACAGACAAGGAGCCTTTGTGGGACAATGGAGTCACGATGGGGGAATACTTGTAGTCAGTGCCAAAGACAAACTTGGAACGAGATGATTTTTTGCTCACTGCCCTTCTCTTGCATTCACACAAATTTGTCGAGTCCAATGTCTTCAGTGGCAGTTCTCTCGGCTCTTTGCTCTGACTGCAATTTATGATGCAAACTCTGAAGAGAGGTGCAATGTAAGCAAAAGCCATGTCAATTAGTGGATGATGGAGGGAAGAGTGTAGTAGGAATCATGATCCACAGAGGTGCTACTCCGGGAGCCATACCCGTGGAAACCAGACCCGCCACAACACTGTGTACGAGCCATACCCGTGGAAACCCGCACACCATGCACACAGTACAGTGTTGTGGCGGGTCTGGTTTCTTCACACTGTACCCACACCCACCATCCCTGTTGACCCCACACCGCAGTGCCACCCACACCCGTGAACAACCCTACGGAGCATGGCCACCACTCCATGAAGTCACCCATTGGGTAGCACCCCCAACAATATTGTAGTAGCAGCTGGCTTCAAGTGAGTATAAGCATGCATACCTCACTCATCCCCATAGCCTTCCAGGCAGCAGCGGCTCAGTTCAGGCATTCTGTCGTTTTCATACTCAAATTCGGGATTCATTGATACTCGTGTTCTGAATATTCACAGCGGTGGGTGAGGACGACTCGGCGAGGGCTGGATAATGATTGTCTGCGAGCGTCTAGCAAGACCTCGAGACCCTTTTTACCGGCGGAGCCTCGGGTGCGAGGGCTATAGATATAGGTGCCGGACTTGAAACGCTGATCAGAGCAGAGACGACGTGGTACGAAACACAAAACACAGAACACGGAACACGGGGCTGTGTGGGCTTGACTGGGCGACGCGGCAGAAACGAAGTAGTACGACACACAAAACACGAAACACGAAACATAGTACACAATCTGGGCGATGTAGGATTCGGTTTGAAGGTGCGGCGACGCGACTTAGAGGACCGCCCCGGTTGACGCTTGAAAACTGGAGCGTACATTAGGAGAGTATATATGCTGCAGTTTGGAGCGGCGAGACGAGATCTGCAAAGGAAGATGAAGGTGGTCCTTATCTTGAGCTTAAGCTTAAGGGGTGACAATAATGACGAGATGAGACGAGACGGGGATGGGGCTGTGAGTGTCAGTTTCAAGAAACAATAGAGATGATGCGACACGGTATCAAATGCAAGGAGAGTCGGGGGTGGTGGATGAGTTGGGATCTAGATTGAGGACGGGGAAATTTAGGGTTAGATTCTGTGCTGCGAGGGTTGTCACGACGAGAGACGTCTCCCCCTGAAACCAACTTGCCACTTGCGAACCTTGGAGCCCGACATGGATGACTCAGTACTCCATGCTACAGTAACGGGAGTGGTTTTGGAGGGGATACATATATATATATGTACGCGTAGCGTGCTTACAGCCTGACATTGGGGAGAAAACGACGGGTCTAGGCAGTGGTTCAGTATATGAAAATGTTTATTGAAAATTGACGAATCGGGTGATAATTTTCAGTCCCTGAGTGCGAGATTGGCTTTTGTTGGAATTTGTAGGAAAAAGGTATTATAGAGAGACGATCCAGGCCGGTAATGACAAGGCGCAGAGGAACGATCTGGGCGATCGAGCCCGAGTGGGAGGTGGATATTAAAGTCAGTCACCCGTCGCTGTCGATGTGGATGTGAATGTGGTGTGGTAGTCATGCTGTGTAGATAAGGATAAGGCGGCGCCGAAGAGGCTGATCGGGAGATGGGGATAGGAAGGGTGTGGTGGTCATGGCGTGATCGATGGGAGATTCTCAGAAGAGGGTGGGTTGACGCGTGGGGAGTGTGATGGGGTGATGATGGTATGGTGTGATAGCGCGGGGGTGATGATGTTGTGTTGAAGAAGCGATGGTGAGATGGCGAGTAGAAGCAGTGGATGCGGGAGGGAAGGGAAGGTGATGGTGGAGTGGTTACTACTGGAAGCGACTTGAAGTGGGTCGACGTGATGGTACCACAATAGGATACATGGCGTGGGGATCAGCCTGTCAAGAGAGAGCAGCATGCGGGACAGAGCGGGTGATCGAGTCTCGTGTGCAGTCACGAGGGGCCGTGACGAGCGCTTGTCGTCGCCCTCTTGCTGTGACGTGAAGCAGTGTCCAAATACGCGTATGTGTGAGAGAGCGAGCGGTACCGGTACAAGGCTGACCGAAAAAGTCTATTCGAGGTTCGTGTGCAGTCAGGTGAGCAGAGATCTGGATCGTGGATCTGAGATGGCATTCGATCATCGAGTTTGATTTGAATTTGACGAACGTCGAAGCGGGGTAATGGGGTCACGTCTGTCACGCCACCGGTGGTCGTCCCCTCCGTGTTGAGGAGAGATGGCGAGTGGGAGAGGGAGAGAGAGGAATAGGGGGGCTGATGAGAAGGAGAAGAAGGGAAAGAGAGTGATTTGAATTTGCAGTAGAAATGGACGACTCTAGGCTGTGATAACGAACCCACTCTCCTATTGCCCCCGCGATCTGAGATCCCCTCTCACCACTTCCTTTATCTCCTCTTCACTCTCAGCTTCTCCCAATCAACACCCATCAACAACGACGACGACGACGAGCTAGTTCCACATCGACTGCCACGACGAGCCCACCTAGTTCCACATCGACTGCCACGACGAGCCTACCCAGTTCCACATCGACTGCCACGACCAGCTCACTCAGTTCCACATCGACCAGCACCTCTCCTCCATGTCGCCCGACGCCCTCCCCGTCTACGGCCTCACCTATCCGCCATCGCTGCTGTCCTCCCTCACTCCCCTCCTCTCTCGCCCACGCCCACACCCGCCCATTCGCCTCCTCCCCGCTTCTGCCTTCTCTGCCCTCCACCTCGCCCACCACACCGCCCACCCCCCTGACTCGGTCCTCTTCCCCTTCCTCCACGGCCTCGAGGCCTCCAACGCTGCCCAGAACCTCTTCTTCGCCGACCCTGCTGCTGCCCAGCATACCCTCGCACACAGCACCGACTCTGGCACACTCGATCCAGCACTGATGATCCAGGACAAGCAGGGTCGCGCCCTCCGTCCCCCACGCTATCGCGGCCTCGTCTGGGTCCTCTGCGAAGACGACCTCGAGAGCGACGCCGACATCCCCCTCCCCCATCACTCCACCAACCCTGACGGCGAGGACGACGAGGTCGAGTGGGAGGAGGACAGCGAGCTCGGGCTCCCTGACGATCTCCCAGATGACATGGCCATGAGCGTCTCCCTCGACCACCACGATAAGGGCACCGCCATGGACGTCGACGCCGACTCCACCCCAGCCCACATGCACCCCGTCCACCACCGCCCCGCCCCCCTCAAAATCACCACCACCACCAACCCAGACTCGAACACCAAAAACCACCTCGTCTCCCTCTCCCATCCCTCCGATCTGCGCCCCGCCACCGGTGACGGCCCCCACGACCGCCGCGCCTCCTCCGCCTCGTCTACATCCACCACCTCCATCAGCACCTCGGCCTCGTCCGCACCCTCGTCGGCGTCTATGAGCGCCACCTCGCGTATACCCTCTGGTTCCACCATGGCGTGTTCCCCTTCCCTCCTGTCCGCCATATCGACGACGCCCTCCTCGACCTACGACTATCCCGACGACGCATGCGCGCCTATCATCGTGCCCTCCCAGCACCCCGTCTCCACCCCCACCCCCTCTCAGAACGGTGCGAAGACGATGGCTCCGAGCGCACACGCTCGCACCGCCCAGCCCAAACTGAAGCATCCCCCAGTGCTCACGTCCACATTGCGTCCACACGAGCTCATCAGACCCGTCGTCGACCTCTCCGCACCCTGCTTCGCACGCATGACACACGGCGCCTTTAGCTCCTTCTCCGCCTTCTCCGCCCATCCTCCTCCCCAACACCACGCGAACCCTGCCAAATCTGCGGGCTCGAGGACGCGGGGGACGATGGGTATGGACGTCGATGGCAATGGGGTGGGGTACGAGTATGAGCAGGAGGCTGGGGACGATGAGGATGTCGAGTATGAGTTTGTGCCTCCGCGTGTGCCTGATGGGATCAGTTTGAGAAATTTTGGGATCCAAGTCGTGAGTCTCATTTCTTCATTTTTCACGTTTTCGCGTTTTTGCCTCCCTATGCGCCCCCACTTATGCCATAAACGATAATCAATTAAAATTAACGACCACACTCATATTTATTTTATTCATGTTTGCCCCTATCTAGCCCATATACACGTCCATATCCGATATAGTGATATACTCCCCGCGCGGGAATACGCCTGCTGCTCGGAAGCTCGCGAGGAAGTTTGCACGTGCGGTGGAGAGGAAGTGGGAGGAGAGGAGGGAGAAGAGTGGCGGTGGGAGTGGCGGTGGGAGTGTGAGTGGAAGTGGGAGTGTGAGTGGAAGTGAGAGTGTGAGTGGAAATGGGAATGCAAAAGGAGCAGAAGAAGAGAAAGACGACGGCAAGGGAGAAGGAGAAGAGGAAGAAGAAGGACGCGAATCCTCTTAAAATACAACGTGGCCCTCGCTCGATGCGGAGACGCGGAGCATTGAGCGCCGAGTTGGCACATCTTGTGGTGAGGAAGGAGGGGAGTGTGAAGGAGAGGCGAGGGCTTGGGCACGGGCACGGTGGGGGTGCGCATACGGAGGGCACGGATGGGCGGACGGGGGGTGTGAACGCGCCCTCGTCGTCGTCGTCTTCGTCATCATCATCTTCTCGCGCGGCAAACCAAGCGGACGATGCAAAAGGGATACGGGTTAAAGACTATGCCAACGTGAAGGAGAGCGAAGGAAAGAGGGGAGGGAGGGAGGAGAGGGAGGGACGCGCGAATACGATTGATTTTGCGCAGCGGGAGAAGGAGGAGATGCGTGATTTGACGCGGGCGAGTGAGATTTTGAGTTTGGTGCCGGAGAAATGGGAGTCTGCTCTGGGAGGTATGTCCTGCTTTTCTTTGAGACTTTGTTGTTAGTTTTTTTCGTTGGGTTTGGTCGAAAAGCTGAGCGTGTCGTTTTTTATTTTTACCCCAATTCTAGACGTCCATCGCCCGAACTCGAATCCGAATATAACCCAAGCCCAAGCGCAGACCATCTTATCTGCCAGCACGACTGCCACCTTCTGGGATCCCAGCTTAGGCCAGGTGTTTTTGGGCAACGCGAGCGACGTCCCAGCCGTCCCCCCCAAAAAACGGAAACGCAAGAACGGAAGCAGGGATCGCAACAAGCGTCCCCATGGCGTTGGCGCCATGAACGGCGGCGGCGACCTGGAGTTTGACCTCGAGAGCGGGGGCGGTGCGTATGATGACGAGTCTGAGTACTCGAGCGAGGAGGAAGAGGGTGCGGGAAGGAGGGGGTCTTTAGCTGGCCCCTATGTCGATCTCGTGCAGCATGGGTATGGCCGATACGAAGATGTGGACGAAGACGAGGACGAGGAGGCGGATCCGTTCGAGACTCATCCGTCCAACTCGCCCTCGCTGGGGTTCGGCTATGATATCTGCATCGAGTGCCACGACCTCGCTCCCTTCCCGTCTACCGCGCATCTGAGAGCGGCGGAGGAGCATGTGTGGGCGCTGGAGGGGATGTGGAAGGAGAGAGCGAGGGGGAGGCGGTATGGCAGCGGGAGTGGCGGCGAGGGCGAGGAAAGGGGGGAGGTCATCCCCCCTCGTCCGCCCCCGCACGCGAGTGCCGTCGTGCACCTGCCGTTCCCGAGCAGTCCGCCGTCGACGGGGGTCAGTTTGAATTCGATTCTGCCGGTGGTGAGGTTTTTGGAGAGGATGGTGAGACCCCCGCCTCCGCCTGCACCGCCTGCGTCGTCGCCGTCGTCTCCCACCGGCACGTCTCCCACGTCTCCGTTTGCGAAGCGGGCGAGTATGAGTGGGGTGGGCGCGAGCGTAGTAGGCGCGTCTCCGCGGTCGTTGCCATCGTCGTATGCGTATCCCTACGCCCAACAATTCATCTCCCTACCCACCACCCTCCTTCCCTTCCTCGCGTCCCAAAGTCCTAGTCCTCACGCTGCGT